AAGTAAATCCTGACTACGGGCTTGAATTGCCGGAGTTTCTCTCTTGTAGGTCTACGTCCAAAAATATCCTGATAGTTCTCTTAAAGATCGATATTTATAAGAATGCCCATGGGCTTTTCAAGAGATAAATCTCTTGAAATAGACGATCGTGGGTAAAACAAGCAACTCTGGTACATTGTCTCAAAGCATACATGAACGACTTTAACATTGTTCAGTGAAATTAGTCATCACTCATGTAACCATTGTCAAATTCTTTGGCAGACATAAAAGTAACATTGTCATGTGGTACAATAGCTGGCTGAACGTAAGCGATAATAACGCACCGTTGGCCCAGATTTGAGAGTTGAATACTTTTTCTTCAAGGTTAAGCCGTATCCCCTTCTTCACCCCATGAGAAAATATTACACGAACTTAAGATTACCATGAGATGTTGACATTTTGACAGTCAAGAACTAAACATGGGGTTTTGTACAGTCGGCGTAATTTGAAAATGTACAGGAAACATTGGACTCTTCACATTAATATTTCTCTATTTATTTGATTTCCCAGAACAATATAAAGAAGGGGAATATAGACGTGAGTATAATTAATTCAATTCCATGACATTTATCATAAATATTATTACTATTCAACATAATTTGACAATAAAAGTAACCCGTTTCCGTCACGATTCACATTGACTCCTAATGTGTTTAGATTTTCCCGCGAAAATCTGCCCTACTCTGACGTCAGAGATTTCAGATTTGCTAGTTATAATATTCATGAGCTGACTTTGGGGAAAGGTGAATAGTGTTCAATTGAGCAAACACAAAATAGGGATGCACTCATAACATCAACTGCCTTGAGTTTAAAGATGGCATTTCAATTCATCTTTTTTAAGACTTGATCCAAATTCAGCCCAGTCAGAATACTATTGAAATATCTGGACACCCTTCATAAAGCAAACTTCCCTACAATGTTAGTATGCATATGTCATCTGCAATTCATGTTAAAACCACCACACCAAAAAGCTTAAGTATAAAGGCAACTGAAGAAACTATTATTAATCAATATATTACTACAACTGATGAAATTCCAAATGAAATGCATATTGACTAGCTGCAACTCAGTCAAAACAAAAAGTATAATTTATAGATATTCACACTGGTATATATATACTGTAATTGTATAATTATATATAAAGTCTTATTGTTTTATTCAATTAAGATGAATAAATGAATTAAAATTTTAAAATTTTACCAAAAGGACAAACTTTCGCAAAAGGCCATTGAGGTTTCGGATTTACCAAAAAGGACATTTTGTAGTCTATAACATAGGCCTACCTCAAATATTGTAGCAGCTGTACTGCGCACCAGGGCACTAGTGTGGACTACACCATCCCATAATACACTTAGTAACACTTCATGGTATTCTGATACCAAACTGAAACATAGATAAAATACTGTTTGCACATGGAATTTTATTTTGTATAATCAACACACACCTAAACAATTTTTCAATCTTGGAAACATGAATTAAAAATACATGGCGCTTTTGTTAAACTTCACAATTGGTTTGGCAAATAAAGTGAGATATACAAGTCAAAAATTCAGTTAACTTCTTGAATCCCAGGCTCTAAAATCGGTTGAAACCAGAGAATTTTTCATTTTTGCCATCTTTTGAGATTTTACTAAATACCTATACAACGTTAGATGCTCATCTGAGTAAAATTAGACAGCAGATATCATTTCTACACATTTTAAAACAATTTTTGTGTAAACTGGTTGAAAATTGTTCAAATAGTTAAAAAATGTTGTCACTCTGGGATTCAAGATCATTTCTGAGATGACGAGAAATCTTGTCACTCCAGGTAGTCAAGAAGTTAAATACAGTTATCTCACCTAAGTTCAGCAAAAGATGCCTTTAAACTGTCTAAGGGGGAATGTGTTAGGGAGAGTGTCCCTAGAAGTTCTTGTAGAAAACTGGTCAACAATTTTCTTTCTTCCTCCTGTAAAAAAAGCAGGTTAGTACATTCACATCTTTTGATATGTAATATATGAATAGCAACTGATTCTATTCAAACTACTAATGAAATGTTATACTTATTCATGATTAACTGGTATGAACCAATGATGAAAAAAAAAGAATCTATAATTGTCTCAAAAAATAGTGAGATTGTCCTCCATTTGTTTATTTAAATTAATCAATATCTTAAAGTGATCATTGGATATTGAACAAATATTTCACTCTATTGAGGTGAATACCTGTACATCTTTCACAAGTGATATTCCACGAAGCCCGAAGGGCAAGAGGAATATCACCTTGTGAAAGTGCTACAGGTATTCACCGAAAATAGAGTGAAATATTTGTTTTATTATATCACTGTCTAGCTAAACATCCCTAATATTATTAAGTCATAGGTTAAGATTGAAATACATTGAATCTACTCGGTTCGTCTGCCATTTTGACTTACACTGAACTAAATTATTTACACTGAACGAAAACAAATTCTTTGAAAATTCCCGGGAGCGTGGGATATCGCTAGATATCTCACGGTTGTCTTATCTGATTAGCATTGCCATTGGATATCGCCAGATATCCCACGACATGTGACCCGGTTTTGGCCAATCATACTGTCGCTAGCTAGATAGTGATATAATAATTTTCTTTATCATATCACTATCTAGCTAGCGACAGTATGATTGGTCAAAACCGGGTCACATGTCGTGGGATATCTGGCGATATTCAATGGCAATGCTAATCAGATAAGACAACCGTGAGATATCTAGCGATATCCCACGCTCCCGGGAATTTTCAAAGAATTTGTTTTCGTTCAGTGTAAATAATTTAGTTCAGTGTAAGTCAAAATGGCAGACGAACCGAGTAGATTCGTATGTATTTCTAATAAAACAAATATTTCACTCTATTTTCGGTGAATACCTGTAGCACTTTCACAAGGTGATATTCCACTTGCCCTTCGGGCTTCGTGGAATATCACTTGTGAAAGATGTACAGGTATTCACCTCAATAGAGTGAAATATTTGTTCAATATTAAATAGTATGCAACAAAAACGTGTGTACGGTACTATTTAGTAGCAACACTTACTGAGTTAAAGCTAGTGAGAATCCCAGCTGCATATATTGGCACTATACATGTGGTCAATGCAGTTCTTCCATTAGGAACATCAGTGTCTAAAATATAGTTGAAATATATAGTAGCTGCATATATTGGCACTATACATGTGGTCAATGCAGTTCTTCCATTAGGAACATCAGTGTCTGAAATATACTTGAATATATATATAGTAGCTGCATATATTGGCACTATACATGTGGTCAATGCAGTTCTTCCATTAGGAACATCAGTGTCTAAAATATAGTTGAAATATATAGTAGCTGCATATATTGGCACTATACATGTGGTCAATGCAGTTCTTCCATTAGGAACATCAGTGTCTGAAATATAGTTGAAATATATATAGTAGCTGCATATATTGGCACTTTACATGTGGTCAATGCAGTTCTTCCATTTGGAACATCAGTATCTGAAATATAGTTGAAATATATATAGTAGCTGCATATATTGGCACTATACATGTGGTCAATGCAGTTCTTCCATTAGGAACATCAGTGTCTGAAATATAGTTGAAATATATATAGTAGCTGCATATATTGGCACTATACATGTGGTCAATGCAGTTCTTCCATTAGGAACATCAGTGTCTGAAATATAGTTGAAATATATATAGTAGCTGCATATATTGGCACTATACATGTGGTCAATGCAGTTCTTCCATTAGGAACATCAGTATCTGAAATATAGTTGAAATATATATAGTAGCTGCATATATTGGCACTTTACATGTGGTCAATGCAGTTCTTCCATTAGGAACATCAGTGTCTGAAATATAGTTGAAATATATATAGTAGCTGCATATATTGGCACTATACATGTGGTCAATGCAGTTCTTCCATTAGGAACATCAGTATCTGAAATATAGTTGAAATATATATAGTAGCTGCATATATTGGCACTATACATGTGGTCAATGCAGTTCTTCCATTAGGAACATCAGTGTCTGAAATATACTTGAATATATATATAGTAGCTGCATATATTGGCACTATACATGTGGTCAATGCAGTTCTTCCATTAGGAACATCAGTGTCTGAAATATAGTTGAAATATACATAGTAGCTGCATATATTGGCACTATACACGTGGTCAATGCAGTTCTTCCATTAGGAACATCAGTGTCTGAAATATAGATGAAATATATATAGTAGCTGCATATATTGGCACTATACATGTGGTCAATGCAGTTCTTCCACTAGGAACATCAGTGTCTGAAATATAGTTGAAATATATATAGTAGCTGCATATTTTGGCACTATACATGTGGTCAATGCAGTTCTTCCATTAGGAACATCAATGTCTGAAATATAGTTGAAATATATATAGTAGCTGCATATATTGGCACTATACATGTGGTCAATGCAGTTCTTCCATTAGGAACATCAGTGTCTGAAATATACTTGAATATATATATAGTAGCTGCATACATTGGCATAATACATGTGGTCAATGCAGTTCTTCCACTAGGAACATCAGTATCTGAAATACATTTACATAGTTAATTGAAATAAATAAAGTAGATCAGACAGAAGAGTTAAAGATTCATAGCTTTTAAATATTTAATATTATCAAAAGCAGGTTACAGATTTGAAAACTAGAGTATAAATGTGTAACAGATTTGGAGTAAAATTCAAGCATCTGATCTGATTTCAGAAAATGTTGACACAAAATCATAAAATTAATTAATAGGTCTTTTTCAAAACAGAGGACAATTGAACAATGCTCTGATCTAGAAGACTTAGTAGCCAGGCTTTTCCCCATAAGCATGCTGAATTAACATTTAATATCAACATAAATGAGCATGAAATATCATCACTTAACCCATATCAAAATAAAATGGCCAGCCTTTATATCAGACCCTATACATGAGTGCATATGTACTCACCCATAACTTCTTCTGGAATGGTAAGTACCTCTTTGAATATCGGATGCACCTATAAATAAAAATATGTATGCTTGAAACTATGCTATTCCCTACATTGAGAACTCATATGGTTTTCACTGTTCACTTTGAATTGTAGAGGGCCTGGATATAGGCCTAAGGTGAAAATATAGCAGAACTAGGGCATTTGATGTGATACACCTTGGCAAACACAAAACAGGAAAGTCATATCAGTTTTTTCATACATATCTCTTTGTTCATTCAAGTGATATATGATGTTCTTGACACAAACCTATTTACTTTTACTAAGAGATAAAAACGACTTTAAAAGAACTTGATAATATGTCATGAGTCAGGATGAACCTCAACAGCCAATTACTCAAAATATAAAAAAGTTACAAAACAGGTACTGTACTAGTCTAGCTACAAGCCATTGTGACCTCCCTCCTCCCACTACTCGACTACACACCTTCTCACACTTGTGGGGAGTTTGGTAGTGGGGGAATCACAAGGGCTTGTACCTAGACTAGTAACTTGCTACCATGACAACAACTAAATGACCTATAAACATACCTTTGTGTGGACAAATGTCTTTCCAAATGTCCTACACATATTGTTGAAGAGTAAAGCCAAGACATGTGTTACTCTCGGCAGTGACATGTCTAACATTCTAAGCACCTTTAGCAATCGAGGAATCCTGAAAAAAAGTCATTTCATCAAATGGGAATTTTTCATAGATTTTGTTATTGCCTTAAAAGGGATGAAACGGAATAGCAATGACCTCAAGTCAATTTATCTATGACTTAAATTAGACTACATGTTTAGAATAAGGCAATACTAGCTTACATGTCGTCAGTGGCCCATGAGAACCCATCCCAGGGTGCAAACCACTCCTCAGCGATGTATGCCTCATAGAGGTAGATATAGCGGGCAAGTGTCGCTCGAGAACCAACAATGGTCGATAGATCAGTCAGCTGAGATGACGGTTTTGGAAACCTTGCAACTGAAATAAACAACATGGTTATGTGTCAAAAAACTGAATGATATCAAGTTTTCATGAAACTGGGGGCTCAATAGGCTTGATTGAGGCACAGGGCCTCACTCTGATTTGTTGCCTCCTTGTTGCCTCACTATAATACCTAAGAGCAACTTTACTTTACCTTTAATCTCAATTAAACATTAGTGCACATTTAGACAATGACTATTGTATGTATTAAATGTATGAATTCAATCTAAAAACTTAAAAGATCATGTTAGCATCTTGAACATTATTCCAATATTATTTTGGGAATGTCACTTTCAAAAGTAAGATTCCCCTTCCCCTTTGGCCATCAGATAATATCACTTGTGAAGGAGTTCTTTAAAAAAATATGATGACTAAATAATGATTAAATAATGTTATATCAAAATGAAAGAAAATTCAAAAAATATTCAGGAGGGGCAACAGACAGGGTGCTTTTTAAGTGTTAAATCAGCCATATTATATTTCAGTCTTAAAACCTATGATGAAACAATAATTTATTATTATATAAATAATTATCATTAACTTATCATATAATGAAGCATTTAGATTAAACAGAATTTAAATATATAAATATACATGTACACGTGTGTTTAACTAGTGCTGGCTTAAAATGAAGTGGCTTTAATATGATTGGTATGTACTTCAATATCAACAATATCATTATTCTTCAATAATGTTTTGAAATAACCATCCCTAATGATATGATGTCATTCTTTACCATTGTTAAATATTATATACCACCTTGCCATCCCTGTTCTAGGGGTATTAGTGCTAGTTTAAAAGGCATTTATTTTACTGTATCGACAAGAGCAGTATGTGATGTCATAGTGGCGGGCCATATTCTCAGTCAATAATGCTTTTAACAACAGGCAATTTTCCCCATGAAATAAGTGTAAGATTTTCTTGCTATTTCTACACTGGTGGTTAACAGTGGGAATAATACTGATAACGTCATTTCTACGGGCAATATAGTGAAATATTGGACCGAGGGCCCTTCAAAATGACGTTATTGTACTATTCATGAACAACCCTTATAAGGAATATCTAGGCTACCCTTATATGGTGTTTTACATTCCTTTCTACTAAATTGGTCATCAAAGGAGGCAACCACTTAAATGATATAAAGATAATGATGAACTTTGGGAAATCTCCTCCTCTGATTTTAGCCCCACTGAGTGCGATACCTCAACATAAATATATGCGATACACATGTATAAACTATTTATCCCATACTTTGACGTGTTACAGGTACATAAAGCAGGTTTGTAAAAACCTATATTTTCATCAGCGGGCAGATAAAGCTTTACGTCCCACTCCGAGTAGGCAGATATAGTATGTCTGCCCGCTACGTCATAATCGCCATTCGCATATTGGTTAATTTTCGTAAAGTTTGCATGTTGGAAATTTTCTGAACTGTGGCCAATTGAACAATGTGAACCAGATGACCAAGATTGGTATGGAATGAACAGATCATCCTATAGTCAGTTCAGGATATTGCGATTATCCCTTGGCAAATACAGTATATCTACCCTCGGGACCTACGATATATTATATTGGCCTCGGGATAATCCCAATATCCTGAACCTCATAAAGGATAATCTCTATATATTTTATGCTATGACTACATATTTTTCAACTACTGTATGTATACCTTAAATAATGATTTATTTTATATCAAACTTAACTAAACATATGTGTATCAATATACTATTATAATCTACAGTATAAATAGCATTATCCATCATATTTACACATACAATATCTAGAATATGTTTTGTCTCCTGCTTCCTCAATGGCTTCCCCATGTTCAGGACCAAGTACTTAAAATAATGACAGGTTTATTACAAAATGACAGGTTAATTACAAAATGACAGTTTCTCCTTAAAATGACAGCTTGACAAGATTGAAAGGTTGTTTCTCAGAATTTATGTTATTATTTGTTTCGGATTTACGTCAATTAAAAGGTAAGTGCAAAACAATGTTTAGGACTTTTATTCAAATGATAATGTCAAGCTTACAAAAAATATTGGGGATATACTTCAGACTGACAGCTGAAATCCATGTCTAATTCACGGGAAAGTTGAGCTTCAAACATGGATTAGAGTAAATTGGTGGACTTTTCAGTAGTCTGAATTCACAAATCTTAGGATAACAATTGTCTGGCTTCAAGACCCTGGACCCCCCCCCCCTATCTACTTTACACCAGTTGTGTTGGAAGAAGATGAGGGGGTCCACAGTCTTGAAGCAAGACTAACCAAACCAAAATAAAGTACATATTCTAATATTTAAAAAAATACATGCAAATAAATAAATAGCTCATATAAGGGACATAGTTATTTTCTTGATTTACAACCAAAAATGGAGTGAATTATTAAAGTACATCCATTTTGAAAAGGTTGGTCGACTATTTGACTGGAAGATTTCAACCAGAAAATTGATAATTCCAAAAGTAGCAAATCCTAACAAACCAAATATGTTCATACTTATCATTATGTTATATCAAAAACATTCTCGATAGAATTCGATTTCCAGGTGACCATTTTCTTTTGGATAAAGTCATCAAAAATCAATGCAAATTAAATCAATAACAATAAATAGTATCACCCAGCCCCCAATGAATCAAACTGATTAAATATGAACAGAATATACGATTAACATTCAATCGTCTTACTTTCAACTTCAGTGACATCACGCACGGTTTCTATTTTGTCTATATATGGGCCTGTCAGCAAGATGGATGAGAAAAGGAATGGCACAAGCTCTTCAAAGATGGAGATATGCTGGTTGAATTTTGTCTCATCTAATGGGAGAACTGAGGAACTTGACCTTGAACTCACAGCTCCCTGTAATTACAAAAACATAGCATAACATCACAGAAGGGTTACACTTGTGTAACAATCTGTAACAACCACTGGTCATAAAAATGGTGGTAATGATAAAATGGTGGCTAGAACAGAATTTGCCACCACTTCTAAATGGTAACATAAACTGCAATTACAATTGTTATCCAGCATTATCCACAAAACAGCAGCTGTGTTGTAATACATAATGTATATGATTGGTAAAACTACAACAATTAATTTTACATCATGGTTTACTAAATTGTAGATTGCTCCCCCTCATTTTTCATTCATCACATCATCCTTTATATTATTTGCTCTCCTGAACCCCCCCCCCCCCATTCATTTTAATAAGTTCTGTATGAAGTAAGTTTTATCAAACATTTTTGCAACAGTTTCTAAAAATTTCAACAATAGCTTTGTATTATGTTACAAAGCATGTACTATAGCTTATAAAAGTGGTTATTGTAGATCAGCTTGGCATAAAAGTGTTCTGTACTCAGTCATACATCAAAAGAACTGTGGTGCCATAGAATTCAAGTCATTTTATGCACCATCAAGGTTAAACCTGCCAAAGTTGGTCGTGACAACTTTTTTATATTATTTGATTTTGTGAAAAAATATGAAAAGCTATTGAATTCAAATGGTGGTCATGACAAACTGATTTATGACTTTATAAAAACCTGCATTTGTTAGCTATATTCGTTGCTTCATCAAGTTTTGTAAAAAAAAGTACTTCCATATAAGCATTTTATGCTGTATGTATTTACTGTGATATTATAGATGTAATTTAGTTTTATATAGTTAATCATAGTGTAGCATTGTCTACAAGAGTTGAGACTTATCAGCCTGTGCATGTAGATATATATGTGTCATACTTTCGTACAATTGTCAATAAAAGCAATATTCATATACACTAATTTTTCAGTTTTGAACATACCCATATTTTTAATTTTTTGGAGTTGTTTGCCTCAAAATAAAATTCAAAAAACAAATATTACACATCTTGTGTTTATATACTGTTTGTTATGATTTAAAGACACAAAAAATTGACAAAATAACATAGCTTTAATAAAACCTTATTACTAAGAATTATCAAAGAAGACGCATTATCATCATGTCTCATCTCAAAGAAGCAAGCCCTAGGCAAATAACTGCAATATGTTTCAATATATATTTAAATTATGTAAAAATTTTCATTTACATTTTTCAGTTGATAGCGAGATCTTAGAATTCTGTCATGTTACTGCATAAAACATGATTCACATTTAGCTACCAATATTTGCAGATATTTTCTATTCATTTGACAGAAAGCAATATGATTACAATATTTTCAATAGAGAATATGGTACTCTGAAATCTCTCTTTTTCATAATCGTGTCGACTCCAGTTCTCTCCGCCACGTGCCCCAAACTAGTCTTAAATTAAAATTTAATTTAGGAGATTTGCACTTAAATATTTTCCATATGATTGCATATTTGAATTCATGTTATTTGAATCTTTAAAGTTGAAGTACTCTTTTAAGGATCACAAAGGTAAGGTAACTAAATCACAATCTGCATGTCATGTAGTTGCATGCCTATGGAGTTTTACATTAATTCAATCCAAAATATTTCATAAATTCAATAACACAGTAACTTTTGTTGAATCTAAAAATACTCACAGCCACCTCAGAAAAAACTTCTGCAATATTCTCGTGTTTGTATTGAAGACAACCAATGTCAAATAATATAAAAAGTGAACAGCATATTTCTAATAATTACAGGGGAGAAAATCATGAAACAACTATCTCAGTTTGGAAATAAGTCCCTACCTCAGACATAAATGCAGGATTTCTTTCTTTCAAATACATATGAATGTATCACATGTATGGCACATGGTCTTCATAAGGCAATTAAATGTACTGTTAAGCATACTTTAAGTACTAACTTTTGATTTTGAGAATTATAATAAATGTCAAGGCTCGAAAGAGGTGTATAAATTGATGCATAACTTGTAACTAATTGTAAAAATAAAATTGTAAAAAAGTTCTTTGAATATAATATGATCCCTGGAATCATTTCTTCATAAGTGAAGCACTTCCTTGTCCATATAAGGGCATCATAAAAAATTCTTTTTATCAATGGTAAATCTATATCACATAGAAAATATGTAACTTCGATCTTAGAAATCTGTAACATCTAAAGTGAAGCTAAATATAGGGTCGATATTGTTTATTTAATTGTCAGAGATGCCCAGGTAGCTTTCTTGTGGCAATTTTATGGTATTGATCCTCAAAAAATTATATACTGTATTAACAATGGAGCAAAACCTACAACCTTATTTGCAACTTTTTTCTATGAATTGGGAAATGTTTAGTTTAGAGATACAAAATAGTGTAACTTATATACATCTTTAAAGCATTGAGTCTTATATGTATACTTCATTTCAAATTCAAATTCTATTTATTCAAGTACTTTTAATAATATCTTATTGCAGTGAGTAAATGGTCCTTCAACGACTTCAGTGTCCTTCTCCGAATCTTAAATGAGATATTTTGAAAAGGGAGTGCAATTCAAAATGCAATTTCAAAGCAACATGTTCGGTTTCTATTTTAAAATGATGAATAATTATTTCTATCGTACAAATAAATTTTAATCTCTTTATCTAATTTCTAACACCCTTAATTTATTAAACTGTTTTTTTTTGTTTAAAGCCTTTAAATACAGCACTCCAGCATGTTGAAACAAACAAGGCATTAACATGCAAAATGTCACCACCTGCCATTTGTTACAAATGCTGAATGCCAAGCACCAAACACCAACTTTTGAACACCAGCCACCAAATACCATCCTCAAAAAAGTTACCCTGCGTGCAAAGTTTAGTTAAACTACAAGACGAAGCTCTCTTTTAAGAAGTGAAGACAAACGAATGCAAAGGGTACAAAAAAGTTGGAGATTATAACAATATGTCACCACTTCTGGTGGTGACCTAATAAATTAAATGAATTTTAGTCTGTTTTTAATTTTTTGATGCAGTTTAGATAGAGATGTCTTACATAACGTAATTCTTTCCTTATGGTCAAATGATTGAACATTGTAAGTAAAAAGATTAAGAATTAAATACACGTTGAGGCAAATAGATGTAACACTTAAATATCTCAATTGAACTCAAGTATGACAAGCAAACCTATTCTTTGAAAAGGTTTGTCATACTGTAAAATGATATTAAAGCACATATTTGATTAGGGGCTCGAGAGAGCAATGAAAATATTTGTTTTATGTATCTTAAGCATAAACATAAGAGTTATGAGGACTGTATTGCAAAAACATTTTAAAAGTTTCTCAGAAATTTTTCTGATTTCTGATAAGGGTTTGGTTAGGCAAACAAATCCAGTGCCTTACAAAAAATCAAAAATATATCACATGTGCCATTTATGTTCTATTGAACATTTCTCATAGATTCACTGGAAGTCTATCAGGTTTGTTTAAATCCAAGATAAATAAAATAAAATATCTCCCATTCTGTACTAAAAGAGTCTAAACATACATTTAATCATACTGCCTTATTCTCAGAATCCCTCAAGACGTCTATTAAAATCTAAGGAGAAATCCAACCCGTTTCTTTGAATATTAATCACAATGGCTGAATACCAACCAATCAAATGCCTTTTATTGTACTGACAGCTCTTCTTTGAAATAAATCACAAAACATTCAACATTATAAAGAGAGAGAAAAATGAGCCCAATTAAACCAAACACACTGACATGAGATGAAAGCTTTCAACTTGATGTAGATATAAAGACTCAATTGTTGACAAGTTCCAGGCATCAAAAGCCAAGGGTACTTTTAAAGTATAAACTGGAAAACAGTTCCATCAGTCTGGACTCCGCACCAATACGTCAAGTACGGAACACTGTTGCTAAATCGTTGTCAGACAGACAAACCCCTTCAAGCAATAGAAAACCAAAATGCTCCAATCTCATCCGCCTTGCCACCCACAGAGGTAAGTCATATTGACAATTTTTGGAATGTTGCATAATTGCACTGGCATAATTGCAGTGGGGATTTTTGGTCATTACTGGGCCTTATTTAAAGGCCTTATTTTTCAATTTCAGGCCAAATTTTGAAGAAAATGGGCCTTAAAATTTGGGGTGGTTGGTATAAGATGGGTTAAAAAGTGAAAGTTTATTCAATTTTTGTGTTTATTTCTAGAGAAGTCATTATAATATTATAACTGAATTATTAAACCAGAAATTAAACTGTCAGTATTAGTAATCTTTTTTTGGTTTCATCAATTTTTTAAATTCTATAATGAGATTTGAAATTATTAGGATTATGTGAATTTATGCAATTTTCTATAGCCTTTGTAGTGGTAAATTGAAGCAAGGACATGAATTTGGCTCATAAAATTGTGCAATCCAGTCTGCAAATATATTCCATAAATTAAGCATGTGCTCAATGAAACTAAGAGAACAGTTTACTGTTTATTATGTCACCATTAAAAGTGGTCACATATTGTTATGGTCTCCATTTTTTGTGATGACAGTTGGTGTATGGCATCTGGGGTCTGGTAGTTGACACCTGTAAAGAATGGCAGGTGGTGACATTTTGCATGTTAGTGCTTTGTGTATTCTTAGTACATTGTCATGCCAAATAGAAGAAATAAATATAAACATTAAAATATAAACATAAAACATAAAATATAAATAGAAAAACATTGGCACTATAGGTTGGTATATGTAGAGCTATTGAGATTTTATGACTTTCAAGTATTTCATACTAAATTGGCAATGGAAACACGCACATAAAAAATGTATCTTTACATTGTAACAATAGGCATTGCAAAATAAATATCCTCTTTAACCATGGGGAACCTAAACCAATACAGCAGCATTACAATAAGTAAAGTGATCTTGACCTTGAGTCGAGTGCAAGAAAAAATCAATATTTTATAAACTTGATAATCAATATAGGTATTTCACAATTAAATGTTAATTTATCATTTTTTCTTTGCATTTCATCATGTTCTGTTTCACTTGAATATAAACTTAATTTTAAAATTATTTTGATATTTTGAATTCATAAAAATTCTGATATACATATACAGGCACTATGTATCACTAGGAAGATTATCTACAGGGACCTCACGTTATTTGTTGTTTTTTGTTGATTTTTGCAGATCCTTTTTTACTTTCAGAGTTGTCTACCAGCAATCAGGATGGGACCCTAACATACAGTATGTCCAACCAGAGGGAACACCTAGGGGTCACAATATAGCAACAAACAGATCTTATGAGCCAATCACAAGACTCAATTCATATCATGTGACCACAACTACAGAATCAAACAATCAGCTCAATTCTCATTACATTGTCAGAAAAGTTCAGCCAAGCAGAGAGGTCAATTCTCATCACATGATCAGAACTGGTCAGCCAATCAATGGTGTATATGCAAGTCATGTGATGCATACAGGTGGCACTCCACAGTTCAGAGGTCAGCCAGCACCACAATACAAACTTGGCCCAGGGATGGTGATTTCACGTCGCTTAATCACAGCCCCACAAGGAAAGATCCCAAAACGCTATATAATCACACGACTACCAGAGCAACAAAATCCCATGGACAATCAACAAGAATCACCATATGAAATGTTCAACAGATCGTTAGAGAAAACATCAAAATGGCTGACTGAGCAGAATTCGCTAAAGAATAAATATGCTGATGTGCCAAAAATCATCCCAGATGCACCAAAACTGATACGTAAAGACAGCCTGTCTGCCAAGTTATGATGAATACATATCCTCAGTGTCAACACAAGGTGATGATGTCGTAAACAAAATGAACAATGATGACATATATAACTATCATACTTATAGATGAAGTTCCAGACTGCACCATAAAATTATATATACCAGTGATATGAAGAGATAGATTCTGAACTTTAAAAAACTTAAACTGTATACTTTATATTCATTAAACATTTGTAAACACTAATATGTTATATTTTATGATATTTTTGTCAATAAAAAACTTTCAAGTTTTTAATAATCATGTTTTTGATGATAAAAACCTTGATATCAAACAGATAAGTGTGACATTATACCACAAGCAACCATCTTCGCCTGATTCATAAAGCATTGCAGTGTTAAGTGATGAAAATGCGATATCTCAGTCTAGGCAAATGAACCTCATTCATACCCAAATCACAGGTTGGAATCTCTAATCGGTCGCAGTGAATACCATGTGCTTGGCACATGTTACATCAGTCTAGTTTCATGTTTAAGGATCAATGTGAGGCCACACTTGGTACAATTGGTATACCCACATAATGACGCCATTCAAAATATTTTGAAAGAGATTAATGTTAGTGATTTCTAATTATATAGACACTATTGTACAGATGACATGACTTGATGACACTGAACGATGTTGTCTTAAATCATAACGGCAGTTTTCAAAGTACATCATCTGAAATTATCATATTTATGCTATTTCTAGATGTCTCAAGAAATGTAGACATAATATGAACATAAAGTGCTCATTAATTATATTCTAAACATCAGAATATTAACCTACAATCTGATGTGCAAATTTTAAAATGTTTAGTTCGAAAATTTTAATGGAGTTCAATAGGAAATAGCAAAAATGCCAAAACTTTAAATATAGCATGATTCTAAAACAATCATAACTGGAATATTAAAATGTCCAAATGTTTTGATTTTTGTACATTTTACAATCAAAATATAGTTTTACACAATGTTTTGCTCATAAGACACAATATATCAAATTAAGACTAAAATATTCAACCAGGCAAAGAAAGAGATGAGGTACAGTGTGCGTTCAGGAATACATGAATTCCCCAATTTTATTGATAATCAGACTAAGAAAACAGTGACGCAGCTACATGATATACTATGTATCCAAGGTACTCAAAGGTGTACACTCAGTTTTTGAGAAAATAGTATTCTGTAAAACATAAATAAAATCCAGAATAAAAATAGATATGTAATGAATTAAAGTTTTATATTTCTCTATAATTTCTAATTATCAGTTCAAGTATCTATGTGTATATACATCATCCAACTCGGATAATGCAGTATTTAATGAGATGCCTTTGGACACATGTACATTTTATGCCCCTATCTAAGCCTACAACTGACTTTGCAAAGTTTTAATAAGTGCTATTGTAACAAAGTAATAAACAATTCAGTTTATATTATTGTTTAACCAATACATTGTTAAATAAATATAAATTGCGGTTTGGATGTTAAAATAGGAATAACAATAATGAAGTTGAAATATAATACACCAACGAGAATTCAACAAAAGCATGAATCTTTAGATCCTGATTGGATACTTTGAAATATTGCTTATAGTCATTTTGCTGACATATTATTTTTTGTTAAAGTTTGCTGATGGTCTGATTCATGACATTTAGATGTCACAAATTAATAATTTCATCATTGATATCTATCTTGAAAATTCTGATATTGATATTGAATTCATCATGACACAAACTACATGCAAATTCTGAAGTCATGAAAATAACATGTGTGAACGAAACTTGTTTTACAGTAGTCATAGATCCTGGTATTAAATCCGATATAAACTATTCCTGATTGTAATGGAAAACAAAAGGACTTTAAATAATAAAAGACACCCACAGGAATTCAAAATAAGCATGATTCTTCAAAATCTGATTGGACAATTAGACAGTTTAGTCATCAGAAGGAAGTTAATTACAACCTATTTAAACTGGAATTTCACACCCTGGAAACCAGAAACTTGCAGACACTTGCGATTGAACAAACGAGAGAAAAATAAATAAAAAATTCAACATTCTTCAACTTCAACTGAAATAAATCATAATCTTATAAAATGGAAAACTTTGTATCACTGCTCTAATAGTTTTAATACTGGCGACTATGACACTCTCAAGACAGGTTCCAGTTGCTGGGCTTCAGGAGCTTCAGGCAGCCCCTGCAGGTCCAGGCGGTGCAAAACAACACTGTAGCTGCTGCAAAGGACATTCCACTTGTTCTGGTGACAACTGTAAATGTGGAGGATTGTTTGGTAAGATTTTTTCACATCTCTGATAAGAACATGCAGTTGAAAATGTTGTTAAAATCTCTGAATAATACAATTTGACTCAATCATTCACTTTTCTGATTTTATATTTGCTTTGATCACTTTTATTTTTATGAGACCGCAATACTAGATTAGTATTAAGCACCAAGGTTGTGTCAGTAGAACAGAAAGCAGTTTTGAATTTTCATATGATGTGATCTTAAAAAATCAAAGATTTTTCTGCCAAATAGGGCATTCTGAATTTTTGCATTATCTTAAATATTTCTACTCATTAATCAAGTTTTTAGAACAAAATCGCTGGAAGTCAAATGACACAAATAAAATATAGCCATTTTAACTTTTTTGTTGATTTTTGTCAAAGCAGGTAGATATCATTAGTAGATATGGCCACATGATGGCTGAAAATATTTATATTTATCAAAATAAACCTTGAAAATGTCCAAAAGGTTTACTTTCCACAATATAATTAGGTAGTATTTTAAGTCTTCAAGATATTTTGTCAAGATAAAGGCAGGGTGTTTGTTTTACAGGGTGTCGATGCAGAAGCTGGTCAAGTGCACGCTCAATGGAGAAATCAGATTCATTGGATAAAGAAGACTTGGCTTTAATGGAAAAGGTGGAATCTGCTCTGTTGGAAAAAGCAGAATTTCCTCAAGAAACCACAATAGAAACCACAACAGTAGAAGAAATATGAAACAAAGGTACATATTAAAACATTTGGCTCATGTATTAATCATTTTAGTTTATTCAAAGTACTATATTTAGAGGTTATGTCACTATCGTGGCATATATGCCCGAGGTCACAGTGATATATGGCCCGACCTTGGGAGGGACATTGATCTCTGAGAACCGAGGGCATATGTGCCAAGATAGTGACATAAACGATTTATAACATACCTATGATGATGTAGACTGGTCAGAGAGTACCGTTTTCTTATAGAATTGACAAACAAATGGTTTGAAAATGATTGAAATGAGTTTAGAAAAATTGCTCGCGCAGTTTTATCTTCGATTGATTGGTTATGACGTCAGCGCCTTGACCAATTAGAAAGTTAGAGGGCGCGGGCTTTTCAAAACTTATATTGGCCCGCTGTCTTGTGTACACTTTGCACTATACATCATCATGGGTATGTTATAAAATGTTTTATCCCATGATCACTACAATATTAGGTAGACTAGATAAAACAGCATTGCCAAGGTGTAGAAAATCCCATCGAACATATTGTTATTTGTGGAATATTGGCAACCAACCATAATTTCTAAAGCTGGCAACCATAAAAGATGAACTGTTAAATAACAATGCACAGGGTGAACAATATCGTACCTAAAACATAGCAGTGTGGGCTTGATGACCTAAAAAGCAAGATAGCTGCAGAAAAAATAATCAGTTCAAGAACTTCTTACCATGTAACATGTGTAAAAATTTGAAGTAAATTCATTAAGTGGTTTTCCTGGAATCACAATAACTAGCTTGATCTAAGAAGTTCCAAAATCACTGATGAAAAATTAATCAGCTCTAGAACTTCTTACCATGTATAATGACTGAAAATTTGAAGTAAATCCGTAATTAATAAGTGGTTTTCCTGGAATCACGATGACAAGATTTATCTAAAAACTTCCAAGATGGCCGCCAGAATGCAAAATGGCCACCGAAAAGTTGATCAGCTCTAGAGCTTCTCAACATGTAATATGTATGAAAATTTGAAGTAAATCCTTCAAGTGGTTTTTCTGGAATCGTGATGACAAGAAAGTGAGACGCGATTTATCTAAAAACCTCCACAATGCAAGATGCAAGATGGCCACTGAAAAGTTAATCAGCTCTAGAACTTCCTACCATGTAACATGTATGAAAATTTGAAGTAAATCTGTGAGTGGTTTTCCTGGAATCACAATGACAAGATTTATCTAAAAACTTTCCAAGATGGCCGCCAGAATGCAAGATGGCCACCGAAAAGTTAATCAGCTCTAGAATTTCTCACCATGTAACATGTCTGAGAATTTGAAGTTAATCTGTCAATTGGTTTTCCTGGAATCGCGATGACATCAAAGTAAGACGCACCCGCCACCCGTCGAGCTGACTACGATAATAAAATAAAAATACCATGCTTGCATACATTTACAAAGAAGTATCAACATAATTGTTTTATTACATTTTGAGTTGTTGAGCTGAGTTGAGTTGAGTTGCTCTGTACCCTCTGTTACAAAGGACCAAGGCTGATACTACTATACATATATTAATAGTATATTCTGATTATTTCAGACTTGACAGAAGCAGCATGTTAATGTGATGCACATTACTAAGGATCATCAAACTGGGAAAAAAAAACGGCTTATATGTGATGATTTAACTTTGAAACCTTGAAATAAACTGTACATGTATGTCATAATTGAATAAATTTATATTCCAAAAATGTGTTTTAATCTTGATTTTTTTTGAGTGAAGAGAAAACTGAGGATTTGAATTTAAAATACCCATTGATATAATGTCAGATTATGTCAATCATTATACATTTATGGACACCCTGTGTATCTTGATCTAATCAGAATTTCAGTCATTGTATTTTATGCATTCATAAGCATCAGGCATTCATAACAAATATCACCTCGCATTAAAGGTCATGAAAAATGACTTCAATAACAGTACAGTGTATTATTTTGATGTTGAGTGTATTCAGGGCGCAGGTAAACCTGCATCTCATTATGTGATAGCATTGCTTTTTAGAGTAAGTCTGGCATTGCTTTTTAGTATTCCCAGAGGTGATATGCAGTAGACTATTTTTATCCAGTGTTGATAGTCAAATAGCTGTACAAATGAACAGGAGGTAAACAAAGGAAACAATATCTAAAAAAAATTAACCACATTTTGGACGTTGATTTTTTGACAACCTTTAAAAGCTTTGATCAATGAAGGAACTAAATTAAATAAACTTAAGAAAAAGGGGAAGAAACCCCCCTCACCTGAACAAGATCTTCTATCTTATCTAATAAGGCATTCAGCATATCAGACTGCAATTTCCCCAGTTCATCAGCCCACATAGCAAATGCTGGTAGTAAGACCTGGTGGGCCACAAATGACACCTTTTCATCACTATCATGCAGCCCTGTCCATAGAAGCTGGGATCCCTGAAATACATAGAAGTAAATATATTATAAGTCAAATGCTGGCAATAAGACCTGGTGGGCCACAAACGATACCCTTTCATCACTATCACGAAGCCCTGTCTACAGGAGCTGGGATCCCTGAAATACATAGAAGTAAATATATTATATCATAAGTCAAAAACTGGCAATAAGACCTGGTGGGCCACAAATGACACCTTTTCATCACTATCATGAAGCCCAGTCCATAGAAGCTGGGATCCCTGAAATACATAGGAGTAAATATATTATAGCGTTGCCGGAAGTGATGCATTGTGGGTGATGTGTTAAATAAATGATTACTGATATAAGTACACTAAATGTGTAATGATTCTATGAATAAAAGTGCAAAATTTGCCTAAGTGTGTGTACTACTCATAACAATGTGAATATGAAATCACATATAGCAAGTAAAGCAGTTAATTGTAATAAAGGTAGCGTGTAGATTTGTTTGCATTGATATTTACATTTGTGATTATGTAAAATGTAATTAAGCCTCATAAAGAGGCATGAAGCTTTTATGTATTTTGTAATATTGTAATTGTGGGATGAAAAGAAAGTATATCTTCAGCTATTTATTAAGCTGTACGTCCATCAAATGTATCTCTTCTGTCTCACTGAGGAATCATTGAAGTGGTAATGTGAGATATACACATAGGTTATAGGTCTCGAGCATATGCAGGCATCATAAAATGCATTACGTCCATGACAGGCGCCTCGTCACAGACTGACATCAAAGTGGATTCCTGGTAAGACCCGTGCCCTCAGCTAGTCATCTCATCAATTAACATCATCATAGAAATCCTGGTTCATCAAAGACTTGGAAATATACCTCGCATATACTGAGCCCTGGAGATGCGATATATTGAAACAGTGGCTTCAAGTTTCTAGAGCATTACTCTGCTGAGTGAAGCACTAATATAGGATGCTGAATTTTACAACACTTGTTGAATAATTTGACAAGGCCTTTAAATACGTGAGTGTTACATGGGACCTTTAAATACTGAATTGTCAAATATCCTTGTACAGGATATAAATTAATACAGGGCCTTTAAGTGATTTGACAAATATCCTTGGACAGGATACGAATTTATACAGGGCCTTTAATTGACAAATATCCTTGGACAGGATACGAATTTATACAGGGCCTTTAATTGACAAATATCCTTGGACAGGATAATCATATGAAATAAATTCACACGGGGTCTTTAAATATTCTTGTACAGAATATATTATGTGAAGACATCGGCATCTGGTCGTTTGGCTCAAGCATCAACCCCGGGTGTTGGTCTCATCGAATATCCCCGGGTGATTTCTATCTTTCCTTTTCCATCCTTATTTCTCATAGAAAACACCAACAAAACTGAATTTAACTTTCTATATACATCTATTTACACTTTATATACGTTTTCCCACCCCCCTAGTACATAATTCGTGTTCAGTCGTTACATTCTAGCTCAAATTCTACGGAGCTCAAAGTTTTCCAACTTCCCGCTCGAAAAAGTGTTTTCTCTCTCTTTTGTGCATTGCGCATGTCCAAGACGCCACAAATGGCAATTGACGCACCGCGCATGCGTCCCGGAAGTTAAGAAAGTCTAAACTTCCGGTAAAAACAAACGTGAACATTTTATGTTTACACTTGAAAATGAGAAGATAGTAAGAGATTACATTAATATAAAATGATATAAGAATGCTGAAATATAATGCAAATACATGATTGAACTAATGAATTGAACAGTTGAAGGTAAGAAAGTATGGCACGTAAAAGATCGAGTGAAGTGAAGTGAAGTGAAATGAATTTGTAAATTTTCTGAGTTCCTAAAAATGCTACATTACTCCCCTCTTAGATTCTTCGTCCCGAAGAATCACTATAATTGTAAATCCGAACATTTACATTGAATTCATTTAAAATTGTTGTAGTTATAATATCATGCATGCAATAACAATACTGGAACTATGTTTATAATGGCATGCAATGTCGAGACTGGATACAATGTTCATAATGACATGCGATGTCGAGACTGGATACAATGTTCATAATGGCATGCGATATCGAGACTGGATACAATGTTCATAATGGCATGCGATGTTGAGACTGGATACAATGTTCATAATGGCATGCGATGTTGAGACTGGATACAATGTTCATAATGGCATGCGATGTCGAGACTGGATACAATGCTCATAATGGCATGCGATGTCGAGACTGGATGCAATGTCTATAATGGCATGCGATGTCGAGACTGGATGCAATGTCTATGATAGGATTCTACAATGCTAAAGTCTAGAAAGGTTCCATCGGATCCTCTTCTTTGTGGTCATCTCTTAGCGATGGCTAAATAAAACTTTAGCAAAGTTTCCTTAAAATGTTCATTAGTTTCCCAGAGTGTCCCTTTCAATCGCTTGAACATCTGGTTATGTATTATTGGATCGTGTAATTGTATGTCTAGTTGGTCCTATTTCATTCCCCATAGAATCCTTAAGTAGCATCTCATCGCCTTTCATTCATGACTCCAGTGATTGATATTGGCAATCATTTGGAGTTCTCCTCATTGTGGTATCCACTACGGCAGGTCGCTAATAGTTTCTGATGGACTGGTAGGGAGCCACTTCAATAGTATACGGATCGCCATTTTGGTATGGACATCAGATGGCTACCTCTTTTCATGTATTCTGGCTGGCATCTGATTGAGTTTAGGATGCATACAAACATCTTCTTCTATCAGGTATGGGTTACTCCTCGTAACTTTCGGGCGACTCACAGCTTATGGTTGATTGGCATTGAGCATTTGTGACATATGGTACATCACATAGTTATAAATTGTGTTATGTGACTTCTCTCATCAATGGGAGCTTCTATACAAATAGGTGCTTGGATATGGCTATTTATTGGCTAGCACTGACCCCTTGTGGCATATGAATTATGATACTGTACATCATTTACAAAATGTGTGGTGTGACTTCTATCGTCAATGGGAGCTCCTATACCAATAGGTGCTTGGATATGGTTAATGGCTGGTTGGCTCTGAGCATTTCTAACATATGGTACATTATCTACAAGTTGTGTGCTGTGACTTCTATCGTCAATGGAAGCTCCTATACCAATAGGTGCTTGGATATGGCTAATGGCTGGTTGGCTCTGAGCACTTCTAACATATGGTACATTATACTCCTATACCAATAGGAGTTGGACATGCACACTATGCTGTTGTGGACGGACATCTTCCTGCTGAACTAGCAAACTTTCCCTGTGGTTCAGGGCGGAAAGGCACCTCATCAGTGATATTTGTGTATCCCAACTGACTAGATCCCGCATCTAGAACTGTTATCTTCTTTCGGCTGACAGAAGTGGATGAAGATGTCCCAGCATCTGCCCTGGAACATGTAATAAATGCCTTCCCGGTTGTTCCAGAGTAATCTTCTGTCCGGGTACAGAAGCGGTGTGTGCATGGTACTGTATTTACAGAAGAACCATTCCTGCTAACACCTCTAGTTTGATCAGTACATGAAGGTAGCATGTGATTGGAACTTATGGAATTATTTACACTATGTACAGACATATTATCATTTGGTTCATTGGATTTATTTATCAGATTTTCAGTAACATTGGCCTTTGGAATATCCCCTGTCCGGGAATCTGAGGCTCGTCGTTTAAGGAATTGAACAATATTTTCTCAGAAGTGATTGTTCGTTTTCATCCAGATATTTTCTTCCTTTCCCTATGTCAGCAAGTTGCTGTTGAACTTAACTTCAGACAGATCATCACCCTCTTGATTCTGAGTTTTCCTCTTACATCACTGTTTTGGTTACGTTACTGGTTAGATGAGATCCCACCGCTGCCACCAATTATAGCGTTGCCGGAAGTGATGCATTGTGGGTGATGTGTTAAATAAATGATTACTGATATAAGTACACTAAATGTGTAATGATTCTATGAATAAAAGTGCAAAATTTGCCTAAGTGTGTGTACTACTCATAACAATGTGAATATGAAATCACATATAGCAAGTAAAGCAGTTAATTGTAATAAAGGTAGCGTGTAGATTTGTTTGCATTGATATTTACATTTGTGATTATGTAAAATGTAATTAAGCCTCATAAAGAGGCATGAAGCTTTTATGTATTTTGTAATATTGTAATTGTGGGATGAAAAGAAAGTATATCTTCAGCTATTTATTAAGCTGTACGTCCATCAAATGTATCTCTTCTGTCTCACTGAGGAATCATTGAAGTGGTAATGTGAGATATACACATAGGTTATAGGTCTCGAGCATATGCAGGCATCATAAAATGCATTACGTCCATGACAGGCGCCTCGTCACAGACTGACATCAAAGTGGATTCCTGGTAAGACCCGTGCCCTCAGCTAGTCATCTCATCAATTAACATCATCATAGAAATCCTGGTTCATCAAAGACTTGGAAATATACCTCGCATATACTGAGCCCTGGAGATGCGATATATTGAAACAGTGGCTTCAAGTTTCTAGAGCATTACTCTGCTGAGTGAAGCACTAATATAGGATGCTGAATTTTACAACACTTGTTGAATAATTTGACAAGGCCTTTAAATACGTGAGTGTTACATGGGACCTTTAAATACTGAATTGTCAAATATCCTTGTACAGGATATAAATTAATACAGGGCCTTTAAGTGATTTGACAAATATCCTTGGACAGGATACGAATTTATACAGGGCCTTTAATTGACAAATATCCTTGGACAGGATACGAATTTATACAGGGCCTTTAATTGACAAATATCCTTGGACAGGATAATCATATGAAATAAATTCACACGGGGTCTTTAAATATTCTTGTACAGAATATATTATGTGAAGACATCGGCATCTGGTCGTTTGGCTCAAGCATCAACCCCGGGTGTTGGTCTCATCGAATATCCCCGGGTGATTTCTATCTTTCCTTTTCCATCCTTATTTCTCATAGAAAACACCAACAAAACTGAATTTAACTTTCTATATACATCTATTTACACTTTATATACGTTTTCCCACCCCCCTAGTACATAATTCGTGTTCAGTCGTTACATTCTAGCTCAAATTCTACGGAGCTCAAAGTTTTCCAACTTCCCGCTCGAAAAAGTGTTTTCTCTCTCTTTTGTGCATTGCGCATGTCCAAGACGCCACAAATGGCAATTGACGCACCGCGCATGCGTCCCGGAAGTTAAGAAAGTCTAAACTTCCGGTAAAAACAAACGTGAACATTTTATGTTTACACTTGAAAATGAGAAGATAGTAAGAGATTACATTAATATAAAATGATATAAGAATGCTGAAATATAATGCAAATACATGATTGAACTAATGAATTGAACAGTTGAAGGTAAGAAAGTATGGCACGTAAAAGATCGAGTGAAGTGAAGTGAAGTGAAATGAATTTGTAAATTTTCTGAGTTCCTAAAAATGCTACAATATTATAAGTCAAATGCTGGTAGTATAAGACCTGGTGGGCCACAAATGACACCTTTTCATCACTATCATGAAGCCCAGTCCACAGGAGCTGGGAGCCCTTAAATACATAGAAGTAAATATATTATAAGTCAAATGCTGGCAATAAGACCTGGTGGGCCACAAATGACACCTTTTCATCACTATCATGAAGTCCTGTCCACAGGAGCTGGGATCCCTTAAATACATAGAAGTAAATATATTATAAGTCAAATGCTGGCAATAAGACCTGGTGGGCCACAAATGACACCTTTTCATCACTATCATGAAGTCCTGTCCACAGGAGCTGGGATCCCTTAAATACATAGAAGTAAATACATTATAAGTCAAATGCTGGCAATAAGACCTGGTGGGCCACAAATGACACCTTTTCATCACTATCATGAAGTCCTGTCCATAGAAGCTGGGATCCCTGAAACACATAGAAGTAAATGTATTTTAAGTCAAATACTGGCAATAAGACCTGGTGGGCCACAAATGACCCCTTTTCATCACTATCATGAAGTCCTGTCCACAGGAGCTGGGATCCCTGAAACACATAGGAGTAAATATATTATAAGTCAAATGCTGGTAGTAAGACCTGGTGGGCCACAAATGAAACCTTTTCATCACTATCATGAAGCCAAGTCCATAGAAGCTGGGATCCCTGAAATACATAGGAGTAAATATATTATAAGTCAAATGCTGGCAATAAGACCTGGTGGGCCACAAATGACACCTTTTCATCACTATCATGAAGCCAAGTCCATAGAAGCTGGGATCCCTGAAATACATAGGAGTAAATATATTATAAGTCAAATGCTGGCAATAAGACCTGGTGGGCCACAAATGACACCTTTTCATCACTATCATGAAGCCCAGTCCACAGGAGCTGGGATCCCTGAAACACATAGGAGTAAATATATTATAAGTCAAATGCTGGTAGTAAGACCTGGTGGGCCACAAATGACACCTTTTCATCACTATCATGAAGCCCTGTCCACAGGAGCTGGGATCCCTTAAATACACAGAAGTAAATATATTATGAGTAGTAATTATATAGTAAATACATTATACAAAGTGCAAGGGTAGACTAAAAGATATCATAAATAAAGAAAACATGAAGAGAACATTTAAATCATTTTGAATGATAAATTGAATAACGTAGTATTTAATGTCACAGTGATACTTACATATATGAGGGCTATACAATAAAATTTATAAATACCCTGCCATGCCATTGCAACTTTTTCTAATCTTATGTTTCTGTTATACTTGATATTTTTTGTTGGACCATAGGGTCGATGTTTGAAATGTTGAAATTCTGTGAACTGTGGGATTTAGTGAAAACCAAAAATTTTAGAGAAATATTATGAGAACTTTATGATTAACCCTCGTGCAAATATACAAACTTCGCGACTGACTAAATTAGATGAAAAGAGTTTACTAAATGCAGTATCTGGTTTAATTCAATGCATGTATAAAGAATTAACAGTTGCATATACTTGGAGGTAGGTATGTCTAGTTTTTTATGTCTAGTAGCTATGTCTAGGCTAATGGTTGAGCAATAGGGATCGAAACCAGCCATAGTTTTCTCCTGATGACAATTGTGAATTGTTGTGTTTTACGGATTATGATGACGGCTTTGCGAACGGATGTTGACCCTCTGAATTGCGTATGGACTTGGAGGGATATATAGGGTCTACTTTTCTTATGACAGATTTACACTTACAGTTTGCTTTTCTTGTTGGGTTTCTTTAAAGGCCCCATATAAAGTTTAACCCACTTTGGCTTATATTGTAGTCTTACCCAATGTTATCAAAGTGTGATATGTGAAACTTTTTTTTTAAATTTCAAAAAGTGGTTTTTGATAGACTTTTTGTTCCAAAATTTGTGCATTTATTTAAAACCAACTTTTAGAGGTCACTCATATCTTCTAATTAGCCACAATTCATACCAATGCATAGCATTCATCCTCCCATGTTTTTTGCCGAAAGAATTAAGAAAATCGGTTCATAAATAAGCGAGAAATGAACTTATCAGTGCATGAAAATGGTTCTGAGAAAAATGCATTTCAAAATTTTAGTTCTCATAGAAACCAATGGTATAATGATATCTAAAACATAATTTATTCTTCCTTTTAACCTGGTTAGACAATCAACATTGGTGTTTTATGAAAGTCTAACATATTTAGAAAAGATTGACATCGAAAAAAAAAATTCTAAAAATTTCTGAAATTTTTTTCTAAAGTTTTTGGTACCTTAGTGACATCACTAATGTTTCAAAATATTTTTGATATGTTAAAACATTGAAGTGGCCCATTAAATATGGCATTTTATTATTGAAATTGTGTGTCCTTTGTTCAACCTCTGCATTGGTGTTAAAAAGATAATCTTTTTTGAAATGCATTAAGAAATATTTGATGATTAAGAAATTTCAACTTTTTTTGAAAAATGGCGGGAAATTTGAATATTTGAGAAATGAAATGCTCACAACTTTTTTTCAAAATTTTTTTTTGTTCAAAAATCTCTAAAATCACTTTTTAGGTCCTGACAAATAGTAAATGAATGATAAAAAAATATTTTCAAACTTTAGACTTCATGAAAGGTGCAGTTTGCAACTCTCAGTTAAGTAGAATTTTGTAATAACAGTCAAAGGAAATCTGAACAACTGCAGTGTACTTTCTGTGGTAATTAAATGGTTATTACATTTTAGTAGACCAGATTCGAGTAGAAATAATCATTAAATATTCAAAATCCAGAAAAAGTGATATTACATTTGAAATCTACTTATAAAATTACATCTAGAAATGAAGTTTTAAAAAGTGTTTTTTTTTGATTTTCATTGAAAATGTGACTTCTAGGTCGGGGAGATTCTCCATAGAGCCAACGTTATAAAACACAAAAGGTGAAATATCTTTTCATGTATTGGACAGATAGTATCTTCCTTTTCTGGATTTATTTTAATTTGTTTAACTATCAGACACATAAGGGTGATTTGAAAACTGAACTACTAAAACTGCTGAATATTCAAGTTTAAGGAAATTTTCTAATACCTACCATGTTATCTAACCCGAATTAGCCACCTGGTGGTGAAACTGGAAACTACCTACTCGCATCTGGGTAATTGGCATTTCATTATTAGTATTAGCAGACATACATGAAAACTTATGGCAAGAGTTTATTTTACATTAGTTTTTAGATTTTTAACATACAGCTTTGAGATTTTACCAACATACAAGAGTATAAAGTCTATTGGTTAATAATTAAGTCAGCATGATGACTATTTTGAATACTGTATATTTGAACATCTGTCTAACACCCCAGCGGTCTTTAATGTGAATACAGACAGATTTTCACTATAGAAAGACTGAATAAACATGATTCACTTCATGTTATTGTTTCTTCTGTTTTGTTTTGACACGTGACTCAAGTGCATCTGTTGACTTCACCTCTCAAGGTCAATTACAACTTTTTACAAAATTGAGCAAAATTAATACAGTTTCTGTCTCCTTTCAAGCTGTGTTGGTCAACAGGTATGTTTACCTTGTATTTGATGTCCTGCTTTTGAATTCTAATCAGGATGGAAGTGTGCCTTAACTTGCAAAACCATGGGCCTCATGATTTTGAGTGTGAGTTCTATTTCAACCTGTCTGACACCCTCAAATGCTCTGGCAATGTTAAGGCCAAGGTGCATGTTGGAATTGTTTTGCAATTTCGAAAAGTAAATCACTGAATATTCTAGTTATTCAAACATTCTGAAGAATTATCAACCCTCAATTATTAGTATTAGTCTAGATACACTAATGCATCTTTTGTGCAATAATGAAAGATGTAGATGATGTGTGGAATGAGTTATGTTTATCTGAAAATAGCACATGGTCATGAAATTTCATCAAAGTGCAACCTGACCTTAACACCAACATTTTTTCTACCAGGACTGTACTGTAGTATGTATCAGACAGTCTGTCAACCTTACATGTATGTTTTAACCAACTATTTTCCAATTTTTTCCATAAATACAGCTCCCATAAGGCTGAGATATGGCAGGTATTATCAAGCTCCATGGAGACTACACATCTCAGCCAGTGAGAGCTTTGGGGATTATGCTGAAGGCATGCAACATTCCATTTGAATTTGTCTACTGGAGTTTTGAAAAAGGAAAACGTAAGTATATTCATGACCAATTCAGTTTTTTTTGACAATGGAACACATAGGAATAACATTATTATACAGGGCAAGTCAAAAAATATCCACATTTTTATTTCGCTGTAATTTCCAAATTTTTTTCCCATATGGATGCAACATTTAAGTTTATTTCCAAAAATATATACTGCAATTGCAAAAACACATACTGTAGGTATATTTCAATGAAAATGGTTTAAATACACAAATGGTATAAATGCAAATTCTCTGCAATTTCCAAAGCTTTAGCCATTTTGAAAATTATAATAATCCGTTTTTATAAATTATTTTTTAGAATTCTACTAATGCCAGGAGTATTTTGTTTATTTTGTAGTTGAACTGCATTCCCCTGCAACAATTCTATTATATTTTTATGTTTTATAGATAAAAGTGAAGAGTATACCAAACTAAACCCGCTTCAACGTGTACCAACCTTAGAAGTTGAGGGTTTCCCAAACATAATAGAAAGGTATAGATGTCTTATTTTTGTATGTTTACTTTGTATTCTGTATTACATTAACATGTGCTTTTGAATAGTGAATAACAACATTGTACTTTTTCAATTTGCCATTGAGTGTATCAGTATAATACATACAGGGTGTTCAATATGTACAGGTGCAGGTCACAATTATTACAATATATCTATCATACAGTGGTGTATTCTAGGCCCATAACTTCGAGAAAAGAACAAGTCACATAATATGCAGTTTAAAGAGAGAATCAGATATAGCGAGAAGCCTAACAAAAAATTGTTTCAATTTTAGAATTTTTCTAGCTTATGTCATTCCTTTTCATGTCTATTTTCTAAAAATCCCTGAAGTGCATACTTTATTTCAGGAAAACTAAAGATTTTTACGAATCATGTATTATTTTTCTATGAGAATGGTTACCATTCTTATTACTTGGAAGAATTTAAAACAATTTCACCCATTTTTGCACTTTGAATTCATAATAACTTCACTTATTTATAACATATCGTGAATCTTTTTGGAGATCTTGTATTTGATATTGTAAGGAATACATTGGTAGGTCAATTGTACATGCTGCTTGTAATTTTGTCACCCCCATATATCTGATTCTGCCTTTTAGTGTCCAATTAATCATGTTAAAAACTCTAGATCAAAGATTTCGACACTTGAAATATAATGCTTTCAAAGATCAGTCAAAGATCTCATTTAAAGATCAGTAGGACTGACTGAGCCCTAAAAATTGTAAAACTTGTTTTTCAATGTTATTTTCAACTAGTAGTTCAGTATTATTCCTGTCCAAATGAAGTATCATGTACATATTTCTGACTCCAGCAATGTAGCCTTTCAACTGACAAACTGTAAAACTAGTTTTCAATGTTCTTTCCAACTATCAAGTCAGTACTGTGCTAATCTATAAATTAAACACCATTTACATATTTCTCACTAGCAATGCAGCACTTCAATTTCTGGCAGAGTTAGATGGAGTTCCTGAGCATTGGTACCCCAGAGGTAGAAAGGAGAGATTACTTGTGAACATGTACCTGGCTTGGCATGGACCTGATATGAGAAAATGTATGATTGCATATGCTATGCCAGAGGTATGTACGATGAATTAAATTATTGAGCAAGCATGAAATATGGACTACAGAGTAGTAAAGCCCACAAAGCAAAACACATTTTATAAAGTTACTCTTCATTTTGGACAAAATTATATATCTTAAATGATAACTTAAATATATGTGACAGTATTTTCAAGGGCTGTGTTAAAATGACAACATTTTGTTTTCTATCAGTATGCCAAATGTAAGAGGCAGTGCATGTTTAAGGGCTGTATTAAAATGACAACATTTTGTTTTCTTTCAGTTTGCCAAATATAGGAGACTGTGCATGTTTAAGGGCTGTATTAAAATGACAACATTTTGTTTTCTATTAGTATGCCAAATATAGGAGAATGTGCATGTTTAAGGGCTGTATTAAAATGACAACATTTTGTTTTCTTTCAGTTTGCCAAATATAGGAGACTGTGCATGTTTAAGGGCTGTATTAAAATGACAACATTTTGTTTTCTATCAGTATGCCAAATATAGGAGAATGTGCATGTTTAAGGGCTGTATTAAAATGACAACATTTTGTTTTCTTTCAGTTTGCCAAATATAGGAGACTGTGCATGTTTAAGGGCTGTATTAAAATTACAACATTTTGTTTTCTATCAGTATGCCAAATATAGGAGAATGTGCATGTTTAAGGGCTATATTAAAATTACAACATTCTGTTTTCTATCAGTATGCCAAATATAGGAGACTGTGCATGTTTATGGGCTATATCAAAATGACAACATTTTGTTTTCTATCAGTATGCCAAATATAGGAGACTGTGCATGTTTAAGGGCTATATTAAAATTACAACATTCTGTTTTGCTGTTTGCCAAATATAGGAGACTGTGCATGTTTAAGGGCAATATTAAAATGACAACATTTTGTTTTCTATCAGTATGCCAAATATAGGAGACTGTGCATGTTTAAGGGCTATATTAAAATTACAACATTTTGTTTTCTATCAGTATGCCAAATATAGGAGACTGTGCATGTTTAAGGGCAATATTAAAATTACAACATTCTGTTTTATATCAGTATGCCAAATATAGGAGACTGTGCATGTTTAAGGGCTATATTAAAATTACAACATTTTGTTTTCTATCAGTATGCCAAATATAGGAGAATGTGCATGTTTAAGGGCAATATTAAAATGACAACATTCTGTTTTGCTGTTTGCCAAATATAGGAGACTGTGCATGTTTAAGGGCAATATTAAAATGACAACATTCTGTTTTCTATCAGTATGCCAAATATAGGAGACTGTGCATGTTTAAGGGCAATATTAAAATGACAACATTTTGTTTTCTATCAGTATGCCAAATATAGGAGACTGTGCATGTTTAAGGGCTATATTAAAATTACAACATTCTGTTTTGCTGTTTGCCAAATATAGGAGACTGTGCATGTTTAAGGGCAATATTAAAATGACAACATTCTGTTTTCTATCAGTATGCCAAATATAGGAGACTGTGCATGTTTAAGGGCTATATTAAAATTACAACATTCTGTTTTATATCAGTATGCCAAATATAGGAGAATGTGCATGTTTAAGGGCTATATTAAAATTACAACATTCTGTTTTGCTGTTTGCCAAATATAGGAGACTGTGCATGTTTAAGGGCAATATTAAAATGACAACATTTTGTTTTCTATCAGTATGCCAAATATAGGAGAATGTGCATGTTTAAGGGCAATATTAAAATGACAACATTTTGTTTTCTATCAGTATGCCAAATATAGGAGACTGTGCATGTTTAAGGGCTATATTAAAATTACAACATTCTGTTTTATATCAGTATGCCAAATATAGGAGAATGTGCATGTTTAAGGGCTATATAAAAATAACAACATTCTGTTTTGCTGTTTGCCAAATATAGGAGACTGTGCATGTTTAAGGGCAATATTAAAATGACAACATTTTGTTTTCTATCAGTATGCCAAATATAGGAGACTGTGCATATTTAAGGGCTATATTAAAATTACAACATTTTGTTTTCTATCAGTATGCCAAATATAGGAGACTGTGCATGTTTAAGGGCAATATTAAAATTAAAACATTTTGTTTTCTATCAGTATGCCAAATATAGGAGACTGTGCATCTTTAAGGGCTATATTAAAATTACAACATTTTGTTTTCTATCAGTATGCCAAATATAGGAGACTGTGCATGTTTAAGGGCTATATTAAAATTACAACATTCTGTTTTATATCAGTATGCCAACTATTGGAGACTGTGCATGTTTAAGGGCTATATTAAAATGACAACATTTTGTTTTCTATCAGTATGGTTGGGATCTCCCCTTCTACGGGAAAAAGACCAAGACGGAGGATGTCCTAAAGGCCAAGGAGGATTTGGAGAATATGCTGAACCAGCTTGACAAAATATGGCTAAAGGATACAATGTACCTAGCTGGTGATGACATCACAATTGCTGATATACAATGTATCACAGAGATAGCTCAGAATGAACCAACAGGTTATGATTTTGGCAGGAACAGACCAAAGCTATCAGCATGGATTGACAGGGTCAAGGCCAGGTTACAGCCTCATTATGATATCATACATGAAGCCCCATTGGCAGAATTTAGGGCAGGCTACATTAAACTGAAATCTGATAAATAATATTTTATTTTGGATATTATGACTCTTCATAGGCAACAAAGAGTAATCTGATAATGACTTGCACATATTATAATATTATTGTAATGTCATATTTTTGAGCCATTACTTTTGTTTTAATTGTTTTAAATTGTAATGAATCATTTTCGATACATTGCGATGTACACTGCCAAAAGGGATTGTGGCGATATGTCAACATCTATTATTTATTTCCTTAGTTCATTTATCAATGTTCTCTGATGTACTTTCACTTAAAAAATGTTTAAGCTTATCAAAATGAACAAATGTCCTCCAATTTTCACAATTTGTTTTCGCACATAGTTTCCAGAAGTATTTCTTTTTTGTTGTGATCAGTATTTTAGTGCATTTGTGTTCAATATTTAAGAGAACTTTTCTCTGACCTTTTCCCGATGTACATCACGATGTGCATCAATATTTACTTCTTAAAATTGCTGATGCATCAATATTCAATCATGGCACATCGCGACATCACAATTATTAAGAGCCTGATCTTTAAATATTATTAAAAATCAGCCAGCGACACACAATGTAGTAAGCTTATACTGTACAAGTTATATCGATTTTTACCTTTCAAAATATACAATTTCAAACATACATATAGTTTTGTTTATTTGAGACTGGAGATAAATGGTACTGAATTCAGTTCTGCCACATCCAAGTTAAAATCTCAAGTACAGACATAACTATAATATATTCAGTAATAACATGCATTCATTAGTTAGTTCTGTCATTACATTTACCCTACTTACCAGTATTATTACAGATTATTATATACCTCATATGTATTCTAGATGTTCATTGGTTATTCATGGTCACATGATATGAAATAGATGAACTAATTCCCTGGAAAGTCCTAAATGCCTGGTATCAGGGAAGATGAAATATACTGATCACCAGTTATGTCATAATATGTCGTCTTACAATTATGTAAGCATTCCAATTCATCAGACTGTACCATGTGCTTTTGTTGTTATGATTATTATGTAAATACGTCACGTGACCAGAGATGATGCAACAATAAAGCGATACTTAGAAGTCACTGATCTATGAGTTCAGTTCAAGTTAGGTTGTGTGCCCAGTCATTAGCATGTTTTATCTTCCCCGATAGGTGAGATTATAGGAGTTGAAAGACAAAATGCCTTTAAGTAGCAGATAATAAACCTGTTATATGCTTTTAGAGACTTTTAGTGTATATAGATGGCAGCTTATATAGGCGTATATTTCTGACCAATCAGATCAGCTGAGAGATTTACTGCAAAATTTGGCATGTGCTTGAAAATAATTTTTTTTTTGCAGTAAATCTCTCAGCTGATCTGATTGGTCAGAAATATACGCCTATATAAGCTGCCATCTATATACACTAAAAGTCTCTAAAAGCATATAACAGGTTTATTATCTGCTACGTTAATGATATTTTGTGACTTTTTCATAAAATAAACCAACGTTTTCTCTAATATTATTTGAAATTTGGATTTGATATTGTACTTTGACTAGGTTTACCTTATTACAATGAATCCCATATTGAACTTACAAAATCGCTCACTTGAATTTTATGGATAATTCTTAAAAATAATAATGATTTTTACCATTTTAATTCTTCAAATACACTTACACTTTCAAACATACATACATAGTTTTGTTCATTGAAGACCGGATTAAATGTTACTGAAGTCAGTCTGCCATATCTGATTTAAAGTCTGAAGTTCAATTATAACATTCATTTTCTAATTCTGTCATTACATTCACCCTACTAGTAGGATATTATAAGATTATTACATTTACCCTACTTACCAGTATTATTACAAACAACAAGGCACAGACGTGAACAATATCGTACCTAAAACACAGCATTGTGGTCTTGTTGACCAAGAAAGCAAGATGGCCGCAGAAAAGTTAATCAGCTCTAGAACTTATCACTGTGTAACATATGTAAAAATTTGAACGGTTTGGCTGGAAACCTGTAGACAAGTCTTGAAAGTGAAGATTTTAGGACAGAAAATCCAAAATGGCCACCTTAAAATTTAACCAGAATGCCCAAAAACTAATCAGTTCTTGACGTTGATATGTAGAAACATCCCTGAAAATTTCAGAATCCCTCAAAAGGTTTGGCTGGAAACCTGTAGACAAGTCTTGAAAGTAAAGATTTTAGGACGGAAAATCCAAAATGGCCACCTTAAAATTTACCCAGAATGCCCAAAAACTAATCAGTTCTGGACGTTGATATGTAGAAACATCCCTGAAAATTTCAGATGAATCCCTCAAATGGTTTGGCTGGAAACCTGTAGACAAGTCTTGAAAGTAAAGATTTAAGGATGGAAAATCCAAAATGGCCACCTTAAAATCTACCCAGAATGCCCAAAAACTGATCAGTTCTTGACGTTGATATGTAGAAACATCCCTGAAAATTTCAGATGAATCCCTCAAATGGTTTGGCTGAAAACCTGTAGATAAGTCTTGAAAGTGAAGATTTTAGGACGGAAAATCCAAAATGGCCACCTTAAAATTTACCCAGAATCCCCAAAAACTAATCAATTCTTGACGTTGATATGTAGAAACATCCCTGAAAATTTCAGATGAATCCCTCAAATGGTTTGGCTGGAAACCTGTAGACAAGTCTTGAAAGTAAAGATTTTAGGACGGAAAATCCAAAATGGCCACCTTGAAATTTACCAAGAATGCCCAAAAACTAATCAGTTCTTGACGTTGATATGTAGAAACATCCCTGAAAATTTCAGATGAATCCCTCAAATGGTTTGGCTGAAAACCTGTAGACAAGTCTTGAAAGTGAAGATTTTAGGACGGAAAATCCAAAATGGCCACCTTAAAATTTACCCAGAATGCCCAAAAACTAATCAGTTCTTGACGTTGATATGTTGAAACATCCCTGAAAATTTCAGATGAATCCCTCAAATGGTTTGGCTGGAAACCTGTAGACAAGCTGAAAAGTGAGATGCCGCCCGCCCGTCAAGCTGACTACATTATCGTACCTTTTGTTAGGTACGATAAAAACATTGGTTTCTAGCATTGATTCACATTGAGCTTAAGAACAACAGTACCATAGCTTATCTGTTGTATATGTACATATTTGGTAAAAATCACATGCCAACCACTTTTGATTAAATATTTGTTATTTTCTGTTTCTTGATATTTTTGCTTGATTATAAAAGATCATTGTATGTTGCACATGCTGTGAACTTTCTATGGGACTTATTGAAAACCAAACTTTTAGAGAAATATTAGGATAACTTTAAGATCACTCCTCGTGGAGTAAAGGGTATACTGCACTTTCTATGGGACTTATTGAAAACCAAACTTTAAGAGAAATATTATGAGAACTTTAAGATCACTCCTCGTGGAGTAAAGGGTATACTGCACTTTCTATGGGACTTATTGAAAACCAAACTTTTAGAGAAATATTAGGATAACTTTAAGATCACTCCTCGTGGAGTAAAGGGTATACTGCACCGGTTTAAGGTTGTTGTTTTTTTTATTATGTTTTCATGAAGGAGTGGACTTTGAAGTTTACGGTAGCGCAATGACAACCATAAATTTACCTGTCAGCTGTGATGTAAAGTATTTTGTAATAAGTATAGGGTCAAATGAACCCAGAACAACTTCAGTGTCTTTCTTTGGACAAGTAGACATACGTGAGTTTTAACAGGTTTACAGCTTTACATGTTTTAACATATTTCAGCTACGAGGTTTTAACAACCTGCAAGCGAATAGTATAAAGCTAAGTTCACACCACGGCTTTAAAACGCCATCAAAGTGCCGTTGGTGTGAACTTAGCTTTAAGGCTGAGAGATGCAGCATTAAATACAATTGTTTTCAAATGTTGCCGAAATACATACTAAATGCATATTTTTTTAATGAGAAAATACACTATGAGTGTGAATGCAACTTTCCCGCAATTTCTATAGTGGCAGCCAATTAGAAATGAAGGAACCACGGTCCTGTGCTCACACAGTTTGGAACCTTCAGAGGAATGTATATCCTGACTTTCAAACAAAAATATTGATTTGGATTTGTAGTCTCGGACTTTGAGAAACTTAGATAGCACAGTTGTGTGACCTAGTTTGATGACCTTTGACCTTGAAAATTTTACATATTCAGAGCTCAGTAAGGTCTTTTGTGATTAAGCTGACCAAAATTTACATCTAAAAATCAATTTGAAAAATCAACCTTTTTTTGACCTTTCGAAGGTCACTGAAGGTCAACTAAAGGTCAAATCCTAAAACTAATGTCAGATTTGAAATCCTGGCAACTTGTAGATGATTTTCAAAAAAATATTTGGTCAAATTGAAGCAAGTTGAAAAATAACTTATTTTTACTGTTTTTTGACGTCAAATACAAGGGTGACCGGAAAAAAAGGAGACCATTGAAGTAATCAATTTCTCCTAAACTAGACAAGTGCCATCAATGAAATTTTGCATACACTGGAACAGTTATATGGAAATTTGTTACTGAAGGTTTCAATACAAGCATTCAACTGGTTCAGGAGCTATGATCATTTACATAACATGCTCCAAATAGGCACAATTGAGACCAACGCAGAGTTGGATTCATATGGCAAACTACCCTTACATGTTCTGCCCTCTATGGCATTATTATGGCATTACATATAGCAGTGATTGCCTTCTTTAGGTCAACAATAGTCTGAGGATTGTTTTGGTATAGATTGTCTTTCAAATATCCATACAAAAAGAAATCAGCAGGATTCAAGTCTAGGCTGTAATGGCAATGAAGGGTTATCTGACATGTGGTTCATCATCCTGTTGCCAAAGTGCTGATTTACCAAATCTTAAGAGTCACTTTAGGTATTGGGCATAGTGCCATGTTACTAAAACCCCTATATGGCACAATTAAATCCCATATGGAAACCAAGGGCTGCCCAAAACCTCCTTAGGATGATACTGTAACTGAGTGGGACCACTGAGTCAGAAGCCATAGGTCAGATAAGCTTCGTCTCCATACACCTCAAATTTGAATCCACCTGATTTCTTTTTGTGGGGCAATTTGAAAGACAATGTGTACCAAAACAATCCTGAGACAATTGCTGACCTAAAGGTGGCAATAAATGCTAAATGTAATGCCATAACAAGGTCGGAATATGTAAGGGTATTTGCCAAATGTATCCAGCTCTGCGTTGGTCTCAATTGCGCCTATTTGGAGCATGTTATGTAAATGATCATAGCTCCTGAACCAGTTGACTGCTTGTATTGACACTTTCAGGAACAAATTTCCATAGAACTGTCCTGATGTATGCAAAATTTCATTGATGTCACTAGTCTATTTTAGGAGATATTGCCTATTTCAATGGTCTCCTTTTTTTCCGGTCACCCTGTATCTCAAAAACGGTAAAATGTTGATGCTGACATGTATTGAGCAATATGTAGGGAATGCTCAAATCTAGTAATGATGTAATTCATTGCAAGAAATGATCAAGTATATGGTTAACTTTGAGAAACTTGTCAAATTTTATTGAGTAAACACCAAGAACTGTAATTCCAAGAGCTTTGAAATCTTCAGAGGACATAAGTTGCATCTACAGCAACTACTAAAAGTTATTTGAAAGTTCTACTTCAACAAAGTGTCTAGTATTTACAGAAAAAAATTGACTTTTTGACATCAAAATCCGCAATTTCTCAGAAATCGGGCGAACTTGGGAAATGGCGGTGATAGGTCAAATAGGCATTATGGATATGCATAAAATGAATGTGAATATGACTCAATCCGAATAGCAGTTTTAATTTGTGCGGCCAATGTTGACGGACGGATGGACGGACCAACGGACGGACGGACGGACCAACGGAGAGACGCCTGGTCTATCCCATAGGCTCACTGTGTGAGGTAAATGATGAAGTATAGAAAATCTTAATAAATCCTTTTATTTGTAGAATTTTACTGCCCATGACCATTATGTTTATCTCATACTGTCAAACTGCATGCTTTTGCAACAATTCTTTTACAATTTTCAATTGAATTGTGTACAAAACTCAATATATGTATGAAATATAGAAACATGTGTCTACTGCAACAGAGCATATTGAAAACCAAAAATTTTTGAGAAATGTTTATGAGAACTTTATGATCAACCCTCGTGCATGTGAATAAAATTTATTGACTGACTAAATTGGATGAAGAGTTTACAAAATACCTGCATAATTAACAGTAGCATACGCTTGGAAGGATTTATGTTCAGATTTTTCCTGAAGGAAAAAATGTTCAACTCTCAGTTTAGTATTTCACAATAACAGCAAAGGAACTCTGAAGAACTTCAGCGTGCTTTCTGTGGTAATTAAATTTTGAGTGTATTGATTTGACATATGTGAAAACTATCTAGAGTTGTATCTTGCATTTTGAGTTTTAAACCTCAACAATTTTACAAATTATTTTTTCTAAAAATTATTTTTTTCTAAAAGTACAGAACTTCTTTGGAGATGGCAGGTATCAAGCTACATGGAGACTACCTATCTCAACCGGTGAGAGCTTTGGGAATAATGCTAAGGGCATGCAGTATTCCTTTTGAATTTGTCTACAGGAATTTTGCAAAGGGAGACTGTAAGTATGTTCATCATCAATTTAGTTAATATGAAAATGTAACAGAATGGAATAACAGAATAAAAATGTCTACATTTCTTTTTCGCAATAAAAAAATATTTTAAGATGCAGTATTAACTATATAACAGTTTCCAAAATATTGCAAATTTATATACTATAGACATATTTTGATAAGAATATACACGCACTGTTCCACAACTAGTTATTTTGACGGAAGGTCAATATAACAAAATGGATGAACTTCCTGGATATGACTTTTTTGTTTTCTCAACTTGAACCTACAAATAAGTCACGTTGCAGATTATAATTTAGCAGAAAGTGAGAAAATATAGTCATGTTAGGGTGCTGCTGTTCTAAAAGCATTTGTCTAAATAAAAATAAATAAACAAACAGTCAAGCATGTGCTCCTTGTGTTTATTCATTTAAAAAATGCCTTTGATTTAAAATTTGGTTTGTAAATTAAGTTGCAATCCATATGTTTAGTTCCTCACTTTGTTCATTGAGGAAAATCCATTATATTGCCAATGTCACTTTTCCTTCAATATAACAAAAGCTAGGGACTAATTGTATGAATTACACCTTCCTTTCCAAAATCGAAGCATTTTTCGAAGCTAGATTATATTATCTAACTTTGTGCCATATTATAATCTGCAACTTGACTTATACAATTAAAGGCATTCCTTCAAAGTAACTAGTTGGTGAACAGTGATTTTCCAGCAATTTCTAGTTCAACAGCCATTTAACAAAACACACAGTGCAGTGATAAATATCGCACTTTGAAGACCTAAATGGTCACCATGTAATTTACCCAGTATGCCCAAAACATATCCAGATCAGATGGGATAAGTGGTTTTCCTAGATTTTGATGACAAGATTTATGGAAAAATTCAAAATGGCTGCTAAGTAATTTACCCAGCATGCCCTAAACCTACTCAGATCTTGGCACTAGTCTGCTCTTGCATCTGTAAAATTTTGTTGAAGTTGAACAGTGGCGCCCGCCCACACAAGGGCCCACACACCAATCAGAACAAGACGATATCAATATAGCACTTTTTTGAAGTGTGATAATAAAATGCTAAATAATGAAGTTTAATAATAAATCTTTATTTTGTAGAATTTTACTTCCCAGAACCATAGTATTTATCCCACATCATCAAACTGCTTTCCTCTTCAACAATTCTATTATAGTTTTTATGTTTTATAGATAAAAGTGAGGAATATACCAAACTAAACCCACTTCAGCGAATGCCAACCTTGGAAGTGGAGGGATTTCCATATATAATAGAAAGGTATGTACATAGAGGTTATTTAATGAGAGGAATGGAATATGAATTGAATTATTACAAAATTTATTTATTTTTGTATGTCATTTCCCAATACCCAATGATGGTGATATATCATGATACAATTTAATTTATCATATAACGCTTTCAATTTTTATTTACCAGTTCTTAAATTGAGAGAAATGTCAGAGGTTATTTCTGATACAAGATCTGATACGGGATTTTTTTAATATCAGTTTCCTGTTTATTTCCCAGGGAAAACATCTTATTATGGAATAATATACATTGTATGTATTATATTAATGTGTTCTTTTAACATAATGATTCATATTATAGTACAGTTTCTTTTGTCAATGCATGTATCAATACAACACAGACAGGGTGTTCAATATGTACAGGTGCAGGTTACAAATATTACAGTATTTTTATCAAACAATTTTGTATTCTAGGCCCACACAAAATAGAAAGAAGAAATTGTTAAATTAGGCAAACCAGATTAGATCTGATTTCTTTATTTTGAAAATTGATCAAAGATCTCATTTGAGGATCACCGGGATTGAACCCACTAATTGTTAAACATGTTGTTTTCAATGTTTTTGAGGACTAGTGTCAGTACTCGACAAATCATCATGACCATGAATAGAATTTATTCTTTTTAAAGAATATAAATGTTTTCTATATGTGCAGTGAAGGGAAGAGAGGCATGGTTCGTTATCAGAAGATCTAGCATTCTGTTCGAGTTGAGCGACGTCTTTTTGGACAGTTGGCCTTGAAGCTAGTGAGTTTAAGAAGTTTAATCATTCTGGTCACACTTGGTCACCAAACATTCGACTCTAATATCTTAAAAAATTAACATATAAATAAAACATCATGTGTGATTTCTGACTCCAGCAATGCAGCACTTCAATTTCTGGCAGAGTTAGATGGAGTTCCTGAGCATTGGTACCCCAGAGGTAGAAAGGAGAGATTACTAGTGAACATGTACCTGGCTTGGCATGGACCTGATATGAGAAGATGTAGTGCTGCATATGCTTGGCAAGAAGTATGTTTATTGTATTAAATTATTAATAAGTCATAGAAATGTAAGAAAACAATTATTCACTATAAAGCTATGACTAAAATATTATGTTCAGAGAAAAATCTGACTGTGTAAAAGGTTTAAGGGCTGTGGTGTGTACTTGTATGTCTGTGTACAGGTGCACAGGAAAGCACACAGGGCTCCTCCAAGGAGGGGTTTCTGGCTCTCAAACTCTACGAGGGTCAAATACATAAAATATGGAATATACCAATGAGGTATTGCTCGCCAAATATGGTGGTAACCAAGATACAATAAACATAATTTGACGCTCTATTTTCTTTTAGTATGTTGGAGAGTTTCTCGAAGGGAGAAAGTTTAAGGAAGAAGATGTCCTGAAGGCCAAGGAGGATATGGACCATATGTTGGACCAGTTAGACACGATATGGCTGAAGGACATGGTGTACCTAGCTGGTGATGAGATAACTATTGCTGATATACAATGCATCACAGAAATAGCCCAGCTTTTTCCTACTGGTTATGAAGTTGTGACAAACAGACCAAACCTGGCAGCATATACTGAGAGGGTCAAGGCCAGGTTACAGCCTCATTATGATATTGTTAGCAAAGCCCCCATTTCAGAACTCAGGGCAGGTTACATTAAGCTGAAATCTAAGAAATAATATTTGTTTCTTAAGAAACTATACCTTGCTCATTAGTATTGATGGTGTGATGACGCGCCATATTCGTATACATGTAATATTTTTGTAGGACTACGTAAAAGCTGCTTTTTTAATATACCAATCTTGTTAAAATATGAGACTTAAATATACAATTTTAAACAACCATATGCTTTTGTTAAAGACTGTAGGTAAATGTTACTTATGACAATTCTAATTATGCCACTTCTTACTCAATTAAAAACATATACACTGGGTGTTCTCCCCTTATCTTTAAATAAAAAAAATGTTAACCCCCATGTTATACATCAAACTAAACCTTGTTGAGGTATATATAAACTATTTGCATTCATTCTTCAGTTCTACTACTTAACCCTACTAGCTATACTTAAGTATTGTGTAATGTACGTATTTGGAAGAACAACCAATAAACTATAATTGGTGTCCATGGATAAATTATGACCGTGGTAAATAAATAAACTAATGAAGTTAATAATTTACAAAAATAGTTATAATAGTTACAGACATCAAATGGTGACACCGAACCATAAAATGCCAGCCACAAAATGGTGATTATAACAACATGTCAACAGTAAAACCTACATATCCGAACACCTCTCTAATCTGAACACCTCTCAATATGTACACTTTCTGTCTGCTCTGTTATCCCATATTGACTCGCATACTAAGAAAACCATGAAATATGAACACCTCTCTAATATGAACACCTCTTAATATTTACACTTTCTGCTTTGTTATTCCATATTGACTCGCAAACTAAGACAAGGCATTAACATGACAAAATGTCACCACCTAAAACAATTTGGTCAATTTAAAGCAAGTTGGAAAATACCTTTTGACCTTAAGATTTGATTTGAACTTCTTAGAACATGTAGATGATTTTGAAAAAAAAATTCGTCAATTTGAAGCAAGTTGAAAAAATACCTCTTTGACTTTTTTTGACATTGAGAAGGTCATTGAAGGTCAAATGTCAAAAGTAAAGTCAGATTTGAACTTCTGAGAACATGAAGATGATTTTGAAAAAAAAATTAAGTAAATTTGAAGCAAGTTGAAAAAAGACCTTTTTGACCTTGAAAAGGTCATTGAAGGTCAAATGTCAAATCTAAAGTCAGATTTGAACTTCTGAGAACATGTAGATGATTTTGAAAAAAAAATTAGTCAATTTGAAGCAAGTTGAAAAAAGACCTTTTTGACCTTGAGAAGGTCATTGAAGGTCAAAGGTCAAATCTAAACTCTGATTTGAACTTCTGAGAACTTGTAAAGTCAAATTTGAACTTCTGAAAAGATGTAGATGATTTTGAAAAAAAATTTGGTCAATTTGAAGCAAGTTGAAAACAGACCTTTTTGACCTTTTTTGACCTTGAGAAGGTCATTAAAGGTCAAATGTCAAATCTAAAGTCAGATTTGAATTTCTGAGAACATGTGGATGATTTTGAAAAAAAAATTAGTCAATTTGAAGCAAGTTGAAAAAAGACCTTTTTGACCTTTTTTGACATTGAGAAGGTCATTGAAGGTCAAATGTCAAATCTAAAGTCAGATTTGAATTTCTGAGAACATGTATATGATTTTGAAAAAAAAATTTAGTCAATTTGAAGCAAGTTGAAAAAAGACCTTTTTTGACCTTGAGAAGGTCATTGAAGGTCAAATGCCAAATCTAAAGTCAGATTTGAACTTCTGAGAACATGTAGATGATTTAGAAAAAATTGAAGTCAGTCTAAACAGTATTTGTTAAGTTATAGGAAGTTGTAAGAAATTGTTACAGACGCCGGACGCCAACCTCCAACCGCCGTCGCAAAAAAACGGAGACCATAACAATATGTCACCACTTTTGGTGGTGACATAAAAACCATGAAATATGAACACCTCTAATATGAACACCTCTTAATATGTACACTTTCTGCTTTGTTATTCCATATTGACTCGCAAACTGAGAAAACCATGAAATGTAAACACCTGATAATTTAAACACTTTTGGTCGATCCCAGTGCCATTTCAATAATACAGGTTTTAAAATACTCTGTGTTCAGCGCTCTCCCCAGGCTTTTTTCTCAGGTGGGTCCAAAATTCTCATTTTTACAAATCAGACAAAAATTGGTCAACATATGCCAATTTTTTGTGATTTTTCTCATTTTCAAGTGGGTGCAAATGGATTTTCAAGTGGGTGCACGCCTATTTTCAAAATCTCAGGTGGGTGCTGCGCCCACTTGCTTTAATGCTAGGGAGATCACTGGTGTGGGTGTCATAATAATAATTGTAGTATACTGAATCTTACCTGGTTGTATTTGTCTTTATCATCTATGAAACCCATTAGGAGACCAAGACTTCTAACTACAGCTTCCCGGACTTCCTCCGATTTATCGTCCATCAACATTTGTTGTAACATGGATAGCACCAGAGAACTGCGTATCTCATTCTAGAGCATAAACAAAAATCAAAAGTCCACTATTACAATTTGAATACCAATATACTGGATTCATTATCATTTGAATATGTCTAGCATGTCATTTGTAATAGATTAGTTTTCTCAATTGACATTCACAATTTAAAGTGGTGGAAATAAAAATACTTAATAAATGCAATCAATTCCAGTGATATTCTTTATAACATTACTATACATGTTTGACTTTTTTGTCATTATTAAGAGACCAAAATCACAAATCAAATGAGGTCTTTAGCAATGGGTAGAATAAATTTGATGACCAGATATCTGCCTCAAATCATAAGATGCTCTATTACTCACAGGTAGGTATGGGGCTAATGCGCCACATGCCTCAGCGACTAGTAACCTTCTTTCACTGTATTTGTGATTGATCTAAAATATCAAAAGATTAAATATTATAAAGATGGCTCAGTTATTGAGAGTAAATGCATGATAAGTATGTATACAACATGATTCACAGACATAGAACTTTATTTTATAAAAAGAAATCCTTAAATATAAATAGTGAATCAAAATCCTTCCAATGGTACTAAAAAAATACTGGAAGAATATCTGATGTACAAATTATCAATGAAAGAGTTTCAAAAATAAAAAAAAAACATGACAGAATAATTTCAAAGCAAACCAGAACAACGGCAACGCCAAAGCGTAGCAAATCCCATCGAACAGCCATGGATGGCATTTTTACAAACAAAGTATATAGCAAAAAAGGCAGCCATTTTACAAAATGGTCGCCTTCTACCAAAAGTGTCATTAGACCATGTGCCATGCTTATAATATTCACATACCAAATGAACAAAATCCCTCCACTACTTTTCAAGTTATAGTAAAATACGTTAAAATGGCAGCCATTTTTCAAAATGGCCAACTTCTACCAAAAGTGCCATTAGACAGTGTGCCGTGCTTATAGTATTTACATACCAAATATAAACAAAATCGCTCCACTACTTTTCGAGTTATAGTAAAATATGTTAAAATGGTGGCCATTTTGAAAAATGACCGCCTTCTACCAAAAGTGTCATTAGACAGTGTGCCATGCTTACAGTATTCACATACCAAATATGAACAAAATCGCTTTACTACTTTTCGAGTTATAGTAAAATACGTTAAAATGGCGGCCATTTTTCAAAATGGCCACCTTCTACCAAAAGTGTCATTAGACAGTGTGCCATGCTCATAGTATTCACATACCAAATATGAACAAAACCGCTCCGCTACTTTTCGAGTTATTGTAAAATATGTTAAAATGGCGGCCATTTTTCAAAATTTTTTTCAAAATGGCCGCCTTCTACCAAAAGTGTCATAGGACAGTGTGTCAGGCTTATAGTATTCACATACCAAATATGAACAAAATCGCTCCACTACTTTTCGAGTTATAGTAAGATACATTAAAATGGTGGCCATTTTTCAAAATAGCTCCACTACTTTTCGAGTTATAGCAAAAATCATAAAATAACGAGTAAAGGCCGCCATTTTTCAAGATGGCTGCCATATGCTTCTTTATTATCTACATTTCTAGCTTTATTAATGTCCTATATAATTTTTTTACATCTAAAACATATTGCTATTACAGTTTTACATATTGCACCGAAATTACTGTAAAATCAGCACTAAAATGGCCACCATTTTGAAATGAGCGGCCATTTTGAAAATCGGCTTTCGAGCAGAACTTCTACCCCTATAGGGTATATGTGTACAAAATATGAACAAAATCGGGCCAACGGTATTTGAGTTATTGCCCGGACGGACGGACGTACGTACAGACGGACGGACATACGGACGTACGTACGGACGGACGGACGGAGGCGTTCCCTATATCCCTCCGAACTTCGTTCGATGGGATAATGATATAAATGGAAGACCTTCCTCATGTTCATATATAATCAAGGAACAAGTTCAAAACAATATATGGCAGCTATTGTATATATTACCTGTTCCCAGCACTGTGGCAACAATTCAGCTTCCACCCTGGTTGGACCCACATGTTGAGCAAAGGCTATACAACCCGTCAAGATCATGTTCCTTAAAAGAAATGTGACCACATCACATCAAAAATGAATTTCATTTTCAAAGCAAAAAGACAAAAGTAAGCAATGGTAAGCATCATTTCCCTTTTTTATAACCAGCATTATAGCATATTTCAATTTGAAAAGTTGAAGCCATCTATACTATGTTTTACGAGGGGTGATCAATAAGTAATGGACACTTTTTTACACAGATGCTTTTCATAGACCAATCCCTTCTATTTTCTTACTAGTGATACATCATTCAATTATCTATCAACTCTGAAGTACATATGTTTTGTATACAGGACCAAATACCTCTGTTCCTGATCAGGTCTTTTAATAAGATTAAATAATGTATTCAGCTGCAAATCCCTTTCTTTCCCATCAGGATGAAGTGTTGCTGTACAGAGTATCAGTGGAATAAGTTCCTGAAGTAAAAACAATGGAATAAATTCCTAGAATGATTTCCAAAAATAAAACCAATGGAATAAAACCAATAGAATAATTTCCAAAAATAAAACCAGTGGAATAAGTCCCTTTAGAGTAAAAACAATGAAAAAAGGAATAGGAAAATGGGATCTAAATATGAAACAAATAATTGAAACGTAATCATGACATTTTTTTATGTTCTGATATAAAAGTCTATCATACCTCTCGTTTCGCCAGCAAAACATTTGGAACAATGTGTGGTAGACACCTGCCTAGCATCATCACAACCTTTTCACTACTGGAATCTGTAATCTTGGACACCTAAATAGAAGACAGACAGGGTACAAGAATAGTATTATATTTCCAATGTATGTACATTGTGCATGTACATGAAAACTGTAAAGATCAAAGTAAAGGGAAAAATATAATCTTGGACACCTAAACAGAAAACTTTGTGCATAACAAGTATACAGAAATTTCAATAATTTATAGACAACAGTATGTAATAAAGATGATACATTTAAGGTACCGAAGCCCCCCCCCCTCCCCCTTATACAAAGCAATCTTTAAAAAATAAATCCGTGTATTTTTGAATGAACAAAAAGGTTTCATAGCTTTAATTTTCATCCTGAATAACCTTGAATATTTTGAATTCATAATGATATGTAACTTACATAACAATTAGAAGTGAACAAAAACTTTTTATTTGCAATTAGCAAAGCTCGAAAAGGACTGTTCATGTAGAAAGTGAATCAACAGCATTTTAGAATCGAAAAGTGCAAGAGTTGTCAAACTTGTCAAACTGATTACTAAAAGTAATTTTTTCAAGCTTTCACTTTAAGAAAAGGATTAGAATCACAACTTTTAGCCCTTTAATAATAATGGTGCACTGACAAATAAAATGATTCAATGTAATAAAATTCATACCTCTTGTATAATTCTGTTGTCCTGGGATACATGGAATGCCATATTTAGTAAAGTTCGACTAAAAGCTTGTGACATTTTCCTGAAAATAAATCAAACAATTCTTTTATACATCGATAGCATCAAAGGGATTAAAGACCCTGCTATATTTTTGCTACATATTTTTGTGTTGTCAATTGTCCTGGTATTAATGAGGTACAACCAACATATGGTTGCCATAGCAACAAACTCTTGGATATACTGTTGGATGACAAGTAGGTAGGTCTAGTGGACTACCATAATCGCCATATTAAGGGCCCACCCCTAATAAGCACCCACCCCATTTCTGTTATTATGGAGAAATGGTGATGGAAAAGAAAGGTATATTATTTCTAAACAATATGATCTCAAGAATTTACTAACCCTCCATATAATAAAATTACACAAAGTACTGCAAGCTCGCAGTGATTTTTAAGACGTATTACCAGCTAAATGGTAGGGATATTAACATACCTTTCAACATGTTGATACGTGAAGTCATCCGGAGGTTTAGTGTCATCGTGTAAGGTAGTGTTATCTGTAGTAATGTCTGCATCTGTTGGATTAGTCACTGATCCAACTTCCACATTCATTGAATTGTCCACATCAGCATTGTCTGATTCATTCTTTACATGTTCTGTATCATTTGAGTCTATATTGTTGGGTTTTTCTATCAAATCACTTATTTTGTTATCTGGTTTTTCATTGGTTGATTCTAGTTCAGGTTCAATGTTATTGTAGTTTTGGCCAATCACAGTGGGTTTAACTTCTGCTTGTGGGATGGACTGTTTCATTGGGTTGACTGTGGGTGTAATCATTCTCAAGGCAGCAGCTTCTTCTAGCTCTCTGAAAAAATGTCATATTTCACTCTTTAACTATTATCTCTCATTATCTACCCAACCATGCAAGCTCAAATATGCCAGAATTCACTCTGCATCAAGAATACCCAATATTACACTCACACAAATGCGAAGATGTGTTTTTACTTACTATCCATGTAATGATAACTGTCAAGGCAAAAAATAATCATTTTTAGTCTAATTGGAATAAGACTACTAGAATTCAATGGCTTGCCCATGACTATTCCAACTGTAGGTAGAACGAGTTTGTAGGTTGAACACATGTATACATTTGATAGCAGAACTCCTCTGCAAGTTGATATGTTCAAGATTGACAGCCTTTGCTCTACTTCAAATTTCTTTGCAAACTTGCGCTATCCCACAATCCCACAATAACAGCGCCATCTATCTTACTCGCTAAAATCAAATAACTTCATTATTTATCATTTAATTAACTTACTGTTCTTTTTCACTTAGAGCCTGTTGCAAACTTTTGTTCTCTTTGCTGAGTTCGCTTATCTGGTCTTCTAAGTATGATATTTGACTGTCCTGCAATATAAAGTGGAACATTTTTCCTTTTTATTTTTTACATTTTTTTATACTTATTTTTGTAATTTTGTACAAAGACTGGAAATATATTGTTGTAGAAAATTATTGTGAGTCTAGTATTAAGAAGAGAATTTATTTTTACCCAATTATTCCCTGCTTATTTAACTTAATTATTTGATACATCTCCTCCAGGAGAATTTGGGAGATGCATTGAGTATTCATTGAAAGAGAATAGGGTACACAAGAATTCTGTTAATTCCCTATGTTGTGTTCTTTCATGGGCTTTCAAGAGAAGCTACATGGTTATTTATCATTATTATGGTCAATTGAATCAAAACACACCAAAAAATAAAATGCCACAGTGAAATATACCCAGTATATCAAAAACTAATGACACCACGAAATATCGCTGATGATTTCAAATCAATTAGTCTGTTTATTAGCTGACATCTGCTGAGCTGTTGACAATATTGATTCTTCAAGTTCTACTTAACATACCAGTCTCTCTTTGAGGTAGTCTACCTCTCGTTTCTTAGAGTTGAGTAGCTCATCCTCTAGGTTTACATTGCACTCAAAGTCCACTTGCTCCACTGTGGGGCTGAGGTGGTTGGAGAAGTCCCTATAGAGATGCAAGACATCTGGAGGTTTGGAGATGTTTAACCCAACATCGTCCCAATCATCAAAGTCCTAGAAATAAAAAAGTACAGTTCAGTTATAGGGCAAAGAATCAATTATGAGAAAAAATGGATATTAGGGGAACATGAATTGACAGAGGTAAAAGTCTACAAGTATTTGGGTATCTATTTTGACCGTTCTTTGAAGGATACTTACCACATTAAAGACACTTTAAAACCCAAGTCAAGAAGAATTCAAAATATGATTTGCTCTACACTGACAAAGCATTGTAATATGAAAAGAATTGATTTTGGCAATACAATGTATAACGGAATGTTTTTGCCTGCAATACTCCATGGTTGTGGAGTAATGTTACTGAATAAGACCACCGAAAAATATCTTAGCACTATGCAATACAAAATGGCTAAGGCCTTAATGCAACTCAAATGCAACCCTGCAAGAGAATCCCTCCTTGGTGACCTTGGGTGGAGACCAATCTGTGATATTATACATAAACGCCAGATTGATTATTTTATTTATTTAAAAAGTTCCTTGAAGAATGGACTCCATAAAGATATTTTCAATTATTTGCTACATGAGTTTAAGCTTGGTCACAAGGCACCATGGCCTTTTATGGAAAATGTCCACTCAATCCTAACTGAGGTTGGACTTGATGATGTTATATACCGTGACGATACTAACTGGTACACATCTTATTTAAATATTTCAAATGAACAATGGGTAAGATGCTTTAATGAGGCAATATGCGATAAATCATCATTGTCACTATTCAAGACTGTTAAGAACCATACTTTTTTAGAAAATTATCTGAAAACAGGCATGGATTTTTACAGCCAGCATATTAAATTCAGAGCTCGCGCTAAATGTCTGGGCTTGAATACTGATCTTGAAAGGAGGGGACTGTCAGATGGGTTCTGTAGTACTTGCCTCTCAGAAAAAGATACACTTGAACACCGCTTATTTACTTGCCCATCCACAACAACACAACGAAATATGTTTTTTGAAAAGTTTAATAAAGAATGCCCGGATTCAATTGTCAATAGTTTTTTACAACTTTCCATTTCTGAGAAAACACGTTGGATTTTGGGGGATGATGTAGCTATATATTGGGGACAGGACCTAGGTTCTACTTTTGATAAGCTATCAAAAACATTTTTAGTTGATATCAATAAAGAGATATTCAAACATTGATTTTATTCACTTTCACTTTCTGTAATGACAATGAAGATAAAAGTCTATTATCAGTATTGTAATGTATTTTAACAAATATTTTAATGTTTTTTAATGCTGTAATATGTTGTATTTTAATGATATGTCATTCTGCCGCACTGATACTCCTCATGTGCCACTGTTGTAAATAGTGAGAGCAATAAATAATAATAATAATAATAATAATAATAGTTATAGACACATTCAGAACTATTTTGGTAAGGGGGGTGCGATCACCAAAAATTTCCAGTTTTCAGTCAGGGGGATTCGGTCATGGCATAAACAAGCCAAATGATTAAGATTTCTTTTGAATTTTACAAAAATCAATATAATTTCCTTCAAAATTGAGCTAGAAGCTTCAAATAAAAAGCATTTTAAAGCTCCTCTTTCTCGTTGTTAATTTCTATGGGTTATCCACAAATGGATATGATATCTGCAAGAGCAAGCATATTAGCAAAGTTCTGTTAATCGTAGGATACAGCAACATGTCTCGTTTTATTTTGACAAATATCCTTTAAATTGAATATCAACGTTCCTAAAAAAAAACACATATCGTACAAATCAATGGGGTGCACAATGCATTGGGCAATACAAGATGGTACCAAACAATCACAATGAGAATATGTCCTGTCAAATATGCACCAAAAATATTGGAAATCTATACTGTGGAACTTTTCACTCCTAAAATACATTCAACTCAATCCCAACACTGCCCTCCCTACAAACACCCCCTCCTCCAGAACACCCCCTCCCCTCGAGCTCGCAATGATTATGCTAAAAATGCTTGTGAAAATAAAGCATGAAACACTGACCAGGAAACAGAGAATCTAATTGTGCACTTGCCTTGACTCACTTCATATTATGCTTAACACAACACAGCAGATAAGATAGCTCCAAGAGTATCCTTTGCAATACTTCAACTCCAGATATTAACTCTTTGAATATGATATAAATATTTTCAAATGTCTCTAATCAAAATATGATGTGACTGTTATGAAATCATGAATATTCCCCGTAGCTAACATTCATTTCATATCTAAACCATTTGTCTACATATAAAACATAAAAGCTCCATTTGAGATTCTTGCGACCTTCTAAGCATCTAAAATGTAAAATCATCCGTTATCGTCAGAGGGGGTGTAGCTAGCTGATATGATTCAGAGTAGTCTAAGAGGAGAACACTTGAAGATATTCCCACAGTTTTGTATTCAGTAACAAAAACATTGTAAAAAGCCCTTGTGATTATCTTTATACATTGTCTGAAGTAAAAATTATCTTGTCTAAAGGTTTGCTAACAATTTAATGTGTAATCAAAGATTTTGCACATTGGCATTGGTGGGAACTAGACTTGAAAAAAGCAGCTCGAGATACATGTACATTTTAGTCTGTTTTGTGTCTATAATGCCCCCCCCTCCCAGGATTTATTTGCCAGGTATGAGGCATGAGCAGAGACAAGTAAAATCCTTGATTACCTAATTACATTTGAAGAACCTAAAGTATGATGTACATACACATTCACGAAAATCATTAAAAATTTGTCAAAATCAAAAATGGATTTTTGTATTATCCCTTCGTATTCCCTCTTGTATTTGGCATTTTTTCATGACAGAAGTTCATTTTGGAGAAATGAAAATATTCAAAATCTAGAATCAAACATATTTCTTGTTGATGCTTGATATAGAAGAGAAATAGTTTGATGAAGCTTGACAGTGAAAGAAACCTGGAATGAACTTGGCAAGTTTCTCTTTCAGGATACATACATAATACACACGCATTCACTCCTAAGCATCATGAGCAAATATGATAAAAGATTACTCTGTAATTGATCATATATTTCTTGGTCATGATTGATATCGAATATGAATAGTTTGATAAAGTTTGACAGTGAAATAAACCTGGAATGGACTTGGCAAGTTTCCCTTTCAGGATACATACACAATACACATATGCATTCACTCCTAAGCATCCATGAGCAAATATGATAAAAGATTACTTTGTAAACTCAGTGTATCAAGCAGTTCCAAGAGCCACTTGACTGCTATCTTGAATCAGGTTAATAATTTACTATAAATTAACACAATATTATGATTATAAGCTGTAATACCTCGCAATATACAACAGATATAGACTGTTATGATAAAACATTTTAATTTCATATTGTAGCTAATGTGAATTGAATTGCAATAATAAAATATAGCTGGAGGAGATAATTATTCTCACTTAATTACAGAAACTGGACATGTTTTGAAATATTACATTTTGTTTATAGAAAAAGTACATGGTCATTTTATTGTTTCTTATATTTTCTCATTTTTATCGAAAGATTTCAATAACTACCACTACTGTGGAGATATGAGGTCAACATGACCCAGTCCCCATTCGGTTCATTCTAAAAGATTTACATATACAGTATGTCAATTCTAGATTGTGCCTCCAAGTTTTGCATTTTATTTGATATTTAATGAAATAGCTACTTTGAGTAAAACCAGCATAGAATTTTATCACATGTAATTTCAACCATTAAATACTAAATTACAATTTTAGAGAGCGTCTGCTAATACTGCACAAAAATGATGCACTAATTTGCGAAGAAACACCTTTAAATGACAAACACACATGATAAATATCCTACATGAAAAATACCCTACATGACAAATACCCCTTCATGATAAACTCCCCTGCATGACAAACACTCTTTTATGATAGCCATATTTAATTATGAACACTTCTACAGGATGAACACCCTACATGATGAACACTTCTGAACAAAATATAAACTGAATACTCTTGCACTATCATCAGTTCTCCGTGATAAACAGTAAAGTGTCTACATGATCAACACTCTCTCATACAGAAATGCACAATGAGAACAAACCTAAATCATAAACACTCTTACAGAAAAACACTCTTACAGATAAACACCCTTACAGATAAACACACAGATAAACACCCTTACAGATTAACACTCTTACAGATAACCTACCTGGTCTTCATTCTCTTCAGCAAATGTGACAGAAGTGAGTTTATAATCATGCATCAGTAGATATTCATTCACCAGGAAGTTAAGTGCACGAGTCTCATGTGGCTTGATGGTCTCTTCAATGTTGTTCTCATCTTGCTCATCAAGCCTCTCTGGAGTTGTAGCATCGTTCTCTACAATAAGTCAAAATTGTTAATTACAATACCATCATGCAAGTATGTACATGTATATAAAAAAAGAATACCTGTAGATATTCACAAGTTTTCTTTATCTGTTCTAAACTAGAAAATCTCATTCTAAACAGGATGCTGCTTCAATCATGAGATCAATTTCTTGTCTTTATACTACTTTCAGTCCCTTATATACAAAAAAAAACCATTACAATTTTGTTAAGTTTGTAATTAAGCTACCTTATAAATATGCTCACATCTCAGTACTAATCCAGCATTTCCAGTTTGTATGCAGCACTATATAGTAGAGGCATCACGGATACCCAATTTGGTTCTAATCTGCGGAATTATGCCCTCAGAACGGAACATGGATCACAAATTGAGAATTTTGGTTCAGTTCCGGAACATGAACATTTTACCCTTTCACAACTTTTGGCCCTTGAATCGCCACAAAACAGCATTTTTCTTTCAATATTTTGCACCAAAAGAGGTTCATTCTTTTCACTCCTTCTCATTGAAGAGTTTTGAAATGCTTTTCGCTACCAAATAGACCTAAATGATCAACTTATTTTAATCTTATACATGCAGTCACATTGTTCCGAACTGTTCCGAAATTGTACCGTTCCGATTTTTTTTGTTCCGTGACATCTCTACTATATAGACAATACCTTGCACTAAAAATTAGAAATTACAAGTATCTTTACTTTTGAAAACCTACCTGTTGCTTTAGTCAATGTAGCTCTAAGTGACTTTATTGTATCCTGAGCTTTTCTCAGCTCAAATTCCAGCACAGCCACCCTGTCATCAGCCTTATCCAAGCCATCGTCAGAGTACTTAGCAAAGTCTATAGAGTCAAAAGTCTGGATGCTTGATGAACGTGCTAAAATAAAAAGAATCAAATCAGTAAAAATTAGGAAAAGTTCCCTCTACAAACCTACATCACATTGTCTAAACTCATAGATTTGGGTCAGACTGTATTAGCATGAGTAGCTCAATAATTTTTTAAGATTAGGCATTTTCAAAATCTTGTCTTTTTTAAATATGATTATGTGGCTAAATCTGAAAAAAAATCTTTTTGACAGTTCACACCTCATTTGAAGTTTCTTGATATTCTGTGCATTTCGTATCACTAAAGACAATGATACATGCCTGAGTTAATAAAAGTCCAAAATAATGGTGCTTTGAAATTCAGGAAAAGATTAGCAAAATCTGATGTTGATGTTTGGGTTGACATTTCACAAAATGAAATGTGTAGAATGTGGCAAATGCCTTTCAAAAACATCAAATCATATTTTGCGATAGAGGCAATAGAAAAAGTGAGGCTTTTTCACATGCCATCTATTGCAAGACTTATGCCTGACACAACCGTCACCATGTTATTAAACCTGCACATCGCTCCAAAACGCAATATGTTGACATATATTGTTTTTACATTTTCAAGCTCTAATATAAAGTTTATGTAAATAAAAATTGTTTTTTTCTGCGTAATATCAAAGAACTATCATTTAGTTAAAAAAATAAAAAGCCTACTGCGGGATTCGAACCCGGGCCTACGGCGTGCTCAGCGAGGATTCTACCCGCTACACCACCGTATTATTATGAAGGAGGAAGTAATTAAACGCTACTTATTTTGAATGCTATGATTCGGAAGTGACGTCACGTTCTTCATTTAGAAACCTTTCCAAAATCATATCGCCGGCACCGATCGAAGCAAATTCAATGAAAAATCTTTGAAATGACACATTTATCGTAAGTATTTCTACACAAGATTTGCCCCATTTGTTCATCATTCTATAATCTTTCATTAAGCTCAAAATGATAAAGTTCACCCCCGAAACAACCCAAGATTGCGTTTCGGAGCGTAGTCCAGCTTTAAGTGTTTTTAAGTTTCGCAAGGATCCTGCCATGACCGTGGTATTGTTATCGTGAAAGCCTGGTATAACCGTGACAATGCTATATTATGACATGGTCATATCAGGGTTTAACATTACCACGATCATGACAGGCCTTACAACCATTGCCACAGTCATATAAGGCTTTAACATTACCAAGGTCATGACAGGCCATGCAATATAATATATCAATGTCACGGTTATATCCGGCTATCACGATAACACTATGGTAAACATGGTGCATTGTGCCAGGCATAAGTCTTGCAACAGACAGGGTCTTGGCTTTTTATAAATGATGGTCATCTTAAGGAATACTGTTAGAACTACATGTACTGATACGACAACAATATAGACCAGGGTTGATCAGTTAGACGTGTTCCCACGGACTTCAAGTAAGTTTCTGGCGAAAGCTGGAACATAGATTATAAAGAGGACTGGAAACAAGATGGCAGTCTATTTCAAATTATCTGCCAACTCGTGTTGGCCTATTTATCAGTATTGACTCAGTTGTTCATCTAGTTTTACTTACCTTAAATGCTTAGTAATCTATTTAGTATAATATTGTTTCCAAAATTATTGCCATTTGCGATAATTAGTACTAAAAGTACTTTGAACAGGTCAGCTGTCATTTGCTTGGCTTAATCATACCAGTCCACAGAAACAGTGAAATCATATTAAAAATACCAATAAAACTTTAAAATTGAGGCAGATGCGATACAAAGAGACTCTATAATACAGATATACAGGTTACAGTCACCAAGATGAGCTAATTTCAGGCGAGATTCAGGAAATAAAAAGGTAGGTCATTCTTGTTTCCAGTCCTCTTAATAATCTATGCTCCAGCTTTCGCCAGAAACTCACTTGACGTCCGTATGTGTACCATGTTTATTTGTCCCAAGTAAACTTACTATTTCTCATAACATTGCCACAAAAATAACTTGAAGCTTTATATGCACATATTAGTATGATGTAATCTGAAAGTTTGACATAATAATTAATATTCAAATTAGATAGATATCTATTCTTACATTGACTGGGTCGATCTAGGTGGTAAACATCATGATGTAAACAAACAAGGTTCGAATTTGGGGTCCCCGAATTTGTTTGGAGTGATAAAACAAAGTGATTTCTATGCTGCATAAAAATATAACGTATACTAGACTATAGTACTTACTCAGGCCGCTGGGAGATGAATCTGGCGGTTGTTTGGTTCTCTCAAAATTCCCTGGATTTGAGAAAAAATCTCTCAATTTTGGAATTTCTCTTCCTGTTTCTACAAGCTCTGTGTGTAATTCCAGTGCGGTCAGCATCAAATTTTCTTTGATCAACTTAGCAGCTACAGTATCAAATGTAATATCCGCGAGCTCTGGGGTCGACTGTCTCACTGGGGGAGCTATAGGAAGTTCATTCTGGGAAAACTCCCCCTCCAAAAAAGGATTTGGACTATCCGCCATTTTGGATAAATCACGTGATATTTAAAGTCTCGTTTAACCTACTTAGACTTTTCTCTGTAGCTATATGAATTTAATTTCTCATATTTTCCTGAGTGTTCCTCCTATTGTATTTCCTTCATTTGGCGTCAGTGCTTTTCTCATAAAGCAAATGGTTTTCTGTAAAATCGACAAATTATCGTGCCCTTTAAATCACGTGACCGGAAAAAGCGGGAAATCTCAAAATGGCTCAAGGAAAAGTGACCGATTTCTTTTCTAATAAAAAACAATCGAATTTACAAGCATCAAAACGTAGAAAGCTTCAACAAACAAGTGAAATAGATTTAGCATCAGCTGTGTTCGCTCCTGGGCCGAAAGAAAGTAAATCAAGCGTAGAAAAAGAGGTGAAAGTAATATCTAAAGTTGAAGGTAAAATTTTGAACTTGCCCACAAACAAAGCCAAACCAAAAGCGTCTACTAGAGCCAGTTCTAGAGTAAAGAAAACCATCAAGAAATCTGAACAATTAACAACGATAAAAGATGCATTTAAGAAAGTGGCTGAAAAATCTGAACAGCCAGCAGTTGAAGAAACAACTGCGATTGAGGATGATCATAATGGAAGCATTCCATCAACACCAACAAAGCGACAAGCTTCGAAAACTGACACTGAGCCAACTGCTCGAAAAAGAAATCGAACAGGCAAAACCCAGCGAAAGGATATGTTGAAAGAACTCATGGCAACACCAGAAAGAGGCTTTGATTTCGACAAATTTGTTCAAAAAGATGATTCCAAAACAAAAGGATCAGCTGTTCGCAAACGTCTAGTTTTGAAAAAATCACAGGTATTTATAAATGTTAAACCTTTTCTAAAGCTTGGCTGAAGCGGGTGCATCATTTTGTACCAGCACACACTTAATGATGGTTCTCAAAGCTTCTCTGGCGAAGTTATCTCCATCTACTTTGTCTTGTTGTTGATCTTCCGAAAATTCATATTATACCTCTCCTCTCCCATATAGATAAAGCTGTTAACAGAAGCTATAACTTAAGGTTTAAAGGTTCATAAGTGAAACAGAAATTAACATGCACTGTATTTAAATACATTAATTCATTTTTTCAGCAGGGGTCTGCTAAACTCCCTATACTAAACCTAACACAGCCAGTTGAGACCAATAAAGCACCTTCTACCAGTAAAGCTGAAGATGAAACTTCTGAGGTACAAGAAGAATCATCAAAAGACCTTGTCATCAAGAGAACGAAGGATGAATGGCTCGGTGAATCTAAGTCAAAAGATGACACAAAACAAAAAAAGGTATTTTTTAGAACTGTTATATGATTATATGAAAAATACCATTTCCTAAGTGTTAATTATGAAATGTAATTTTCTTTTTATTTAAGTCATGATTAATTACACTTCAGTTCAATAATTCTACTGTTTCTCCATAAGATTTCAATAGCAAGAAATCACTAACTTCTTAACTCCCTTTTTATTATGTCACCACAACAAGTTGTGACATATTGTTATAGTCACCAATTTTTTGTGGATGACATTTTGTGGTTGGTGTTTGGTGGTTGGCAGCTGTGACAAATAACAGGTGGTGTCATTCTGCATGTTAATGCCTTGTTTTCCAGTTGTTATTATCTGGACCCACCGTCAGGAAAATTCAAATATATTCCTACTTGGTGGCAAACAAAAAGTACACAACATTAGTTTTGAATACTTGTTATTTCTTTTAGAAACCCACGCTTGCAGAACTGAAGGCACGAATGGGAAAATCTACTAAGCTAGCAGACCTACAGGACAGACTTGCTAAGGTCAGTGAGGCTGCAGCCAAAGTCAAGAAGAGCAGGGAAGAGAGAGAAAAAATAGAGATCAAAAAGGAGGAAAAAAGGTAAGACTTCAGCAGGCATTCTTACATGCTCAGTCACATATTGTAGAATCTGAAATGTTTCAAATATTTTATTTCATTTTTTATTATGTATATGCTACATTTATACATTCCAAAGTTTTATTTTTCAAACCACGATGGGAATCAAAATATCTTGAATTCATGAAATTAAGGATAGGAATTATAAATTAAATATTTTCTTGCAGGTTGTTTCAATAAACATTAATTGTACATGTAACTTGACTTGTGCATTTGTATCCTATACATTTTCTACTCATTGACTTAATATACGTACAATGTTTATTCAGTGAGCCTACGCCAGCTTATGAGAAGTACCATTCCCTAGCTCAACCCATACCTCCCACTCTGAACCTGCCCTACAAATACAAGATGCTGGCAGAGATGTTCCGCTCCATGGACACAGTGGTCAGTATGTTACACAACAGGTCAGAAGTGACAACATTCAACAAACTCAAGAACTCTGTACAGGAAATGGTCAGAAAGTAAGTTTATCTTTTCAGAAATTAGCATTAAAATGTGAGTGTCCCCCCTCCCCCCCTCCCCCCTTTATTGCATCTTTCATGTACTCTTATTCTCAATAAAACAATTACTTCAGTAAAAAATTCAATTTAAAAAGTTATTTTACTCTATGTTATACAGATTTGCGATGACAACTTTACTTGGTATTATTCAATTATAGTGAGATTTCTTTTGATTTGGTTGGCCACCTTGACATAGATATATTCTTATTTTTGCACCATCAGAGGCAGAATCAGTGTTACACTCTAAGATCCCTGTATCACACACTAGGATTGATATTATGTTGATATACAGAACATGCCTAATCCAGATGTATGTTTCATATTGTAGGACATTTGAGAAGAAACACGTAGGTCAAGTAAAGACTGTCTACCCCGAGGCTTATGTCTACAGGCAAGAGAGAGGCCTGCAGTATGCAGGGAAGAAAACATCAGAATACCAGTTGACCATTGAGCCTAAACTGGAAAGATCCAAAGGTAATAATAAATCAAATCAATATAATAGTATTACACAGGGTGGTCAAAAAAAAGGAAACCCTGTCGCCATTTTCCTCATATCTTTGTCATTTTAGGGAATTACTCTCTGATATTTAGCACATTTGTACATCATTCAATTTCCTACCGGCCCACCATATTTCATGACCATCAAATTGATAGTCACAATGTTACAGCACTTTAAACAACATGCTCCATTGGCCAATATTGCACTTTCGGCAAACCTGCACCTATCATCCAAAATGGTCCTACCTAACTTCAACCTTTGGTGATACACCAAAAAAGAGTGTACGAGAATAACCCCAGGACAACTGCAGACCTCAAAAAGCAGATCATCCATGTCATTCAGGCCATACCTGCTGAAAAATGTAGTCAGATCATTGACAACCTGTTCAGATTTGCCAAAAGTGCGATGGTGGCCACACTGGGGCATCTTGTTCAAAGTGCTGTACCATTGTGACTATCAATCTGATGGTCATGAAATATGGTTAGCTGGTAGGAAATTGAATGCTGTACATGTGTGACAAATTTCAGGGAATAATTACCCAAAATGACGAAGATATGAGGAAAATCCAGGGTTTCCATTTTTTTGACCACCCTGTAAATAGGAAATGTTGAATCAGAGCTAAGTCTGTTTAATTGATAGTTTATGAGTAATCTTTGTGAATAATCTGACAACATGTTATAAGAAAATTATTGATGGTGTTTATAGATTGTCTCTGTCTGACCCCTTGGTGTAGAAATTGACATGGGCCTATGTGTAAAGATTTACGTGACAAGTCTAGTGGACCTATACAGGGAATATTTGGTTTTGGTCATTTGCGTTCTCATCTTGTGAAAACAAACAAAGTTGATTTATTATGTTTATCATATCTGAGTTATAAAACTAAAATATGGCTTCAGTATGTGAACATGTTAATAGTAAATACATTACATAATGCATGTGATTGTGTTAGCATAGCACCCTACATAAGTTTTTTGTTGCATACCTCAACAGACTAGAAAAAATGACCCGTGAAATTTTGCATACTTTAACTTCACACATAAATTGTGACACTCAGTTTTTATAGACTTTTGAGAAATATCGGAGAAGTATGAGTCATTGAATAAAACCAAATATCCATAATAGTATGTGAAAAAACACATATGTGGGGTACTATGTATTATTTATCATTTTCAGATGATAACATGGAAGAAAAGAAGCGGTTAGGACGACCTAATATGACAGCATCCAGGATGTTGGAGAGACGTAATATCTTCCAGCATAGTCTCATAGACATAGTCAAGCAGCATCATCAGGTATGCAGTCTGTGTAGACTCTGAACAGTGGTCAGTTATTGTTTATAGTTCAGATAACCATGGTTGTTTTTACCGTCATCCATTGCATCTAATATTAAGGGTTTTGGTTTGTTGATTTTATGTTAAAATTAATGAGCTTGACTGTAAATATTTTAGTTGATTTTAGAGTTTAAGTTACTGATTGCTTAAAACCCGTGTCTAATATAGATTTTTAAGATCTTTCACAACTTTGAAACATTTAGAGAATTTTTTAGAAAACAAGTGTATCATTTTGTCATCACAATAATAGTAAAAAGCACTTTCTCAATTAAGCATTATCTTTTCAGAAATTCTTGACTCAGCTTCAACGACCAATCAAAGTTCCAGATGATAAAATAACAAGATGGCATCCAAAATTTGCCGTGGATGAGGTTCCCGATATAGAGGTCTCTGATCTCCCAGAGCCGCCTGAGGTGCAGAGGTTTACCAATGCTAAAGATGTATTGGACAATCAGTGTAACACTTTAAATCCATTGGTAAGATTCATCATTACAATGCAAACTGTAGATATCATCTTATCTCATCACCAGAAGTGGTGACATATTGTTAAAGTCTCGAACTTTTTTGTGGATGTTGTTCAGTGGTCGGTGGTGCTCATCTGTACCAAATGCCTTGTACTGTTGACTTAAATCTGTTAAGTTTTTCAAATGTCATTCCATCTGAAATGTGTCTTCTTTAAATAAAGTTATATTAGTGCAGATTTCACTTCATTTGTACACTTACAAAATTACATCTTATGTACGTATTGATATGATTCAAATAATGATCTGTCTCATTTATTTAAAGGTTAGAAAGGCATTAGAGGCTGTAGTTGTTAAGAAGGAAAAGGAGGAATCAAATAAATCCCAGAGTGCACCTGTTAAGACTCCAGTGGTGTCATCTTGTGGTAAAAGTGCTCTTGCAGGGTTACCAAGCTCTTTACTAGAGAAGGTATGTACCCAGCAGTCCCAAAATGTGTGCTCGGGTATCCATTGACTTTTTGAATCTTCAAACTAGGATCTTCTGTACATGAGAGCCACAAACAATCAAACATTATTTGTTCTTCTATTTTTCCAAAACAAAATATAAACACAAATATGTCAATTAATAGAAAACATAATATAAATGATATTGAATATTCTCATGTCATTAATTAAAATTTTAAAAGCATGCAAAAAATCATGAATCAGATCAGTGGCAGTTTATTTCATGTTGATTACACTAGAACTCATTTTGTCTTCTACATTGCCAACCTCATATCAATGTGTCCTTTTCATAATATACAGATGCATCAAAGATGCCTATACAACAATGGCAAAGCAAAATTAAGCCTAAAATAGCAAATATTCACTTTTTGTCTGCTGAATTCATTCCATCTGACATGTTGTAGATTCGTGCCAAGGAGGCTGAGAAGGCTGTGGCAAAAATGATGCGACCCCCAGAGTGTGATGTCAAATTGGAACGACTCAATAGACTCCCAGAACTAGCAAGAATTTTACGCACCTATTTCGTCCAAGAGAAACGACCCGCAGTCTTATATGATGATGTCATCCAAAAAATGGCTGATAGCTACAGGACCGGCATTTGTTTAGGTTCGTTACTATATTTATCAATTTTAAGAAGACAAAGCTAATTATATTAAAATTAAATTTGAATTGAAATACATTTTAAAGTGTTGTCCATGCCAAACAAGAATGTATTTTTAATTTTGTACAGTTTACTAGTTTATTTCTAGTAATCCCTAAAAGTGTACAGGGGTTGAGTGTTCGGTGTCTGTAATAGCAGTTGATATTCTGCTTCTGTAACTAACCAAATAATCTCTGTAACAAATGGTAGGTTGTGTCATTTTGCATGTTGATGCCTTGTTATCCCATCGAACGAAGTTCGGAGGGATATAGGGAACGCCTCCGTCCGTCCATCCATCTGTCCGTACGTACGTACGTCCGTCCGTCCGTCTGTCCGTCCGGGCAATAACTCAAATACCGTTGGCCCGATTTTGTTCATATTTTGTACACATATACCCTATGGGGGTAGAAGTTCTGCTCGAAAGCCGATTTTCAAAATGGCCGCTCATTTCAAAATGGCGGCCATTTTAGTGACGATTTTACAGTAATTTAGGTGCAATATGTAAAACTGTAATAGCAATATGTTTTAAATGTAAAAAAAATTAAAAAGGACATTAATAATGCTACAAATGTAGATATTAAAAAGCACATGGCAGCCATCTTGAAAAATGGCGGCCTTTACTCGTCATTTTACGATTTTTGCTGTGACTCTAAAAATAGTGGAGCGATTTTGTTCATATTTGGTGTTTGAATACTCTAAGCATTGCACACTGTCTAAAGACACTTTTGGTAGAAGGCGGCCATTTTTCAAAATGGCCGCCATTTTAACGTATTTTACTATAACTCGAAAAGTAGTGGAGCGATTTTGTTCATATTTGGTATGTGAATACTATAAGCATGGCACACTGTCCTATGACACTTTTGGTAGAAGGCGGCCATTTTGAAAACAATTTTGAAAAATGGCCGCCATTTTAATGTATTTTACTATAACTCGAAAAGAAGTGGAGCGATTTTGTTCATATTTGGTATGTGAATACTATAAGCATGGCACACTGTCCTATGACACTTTTGGTAGAAGGCGGCCATTTTGAAAACAATTTTGAAAAATGGCCGCCATTTTAATGTATTTTACTATAACTCGAAAAGTAGTGGAGCGATTTTGTTCATATTTGGTATGTGAATACTATAAGCATGGCACACTGTCCTATGACACTTTTGGTAGAAGGCGGCCATTTTGAAAACAATTTTGAAAAATGGCGTATTTTACTAATACTCGAAAAGTAGTGGAGCGATTTTGTTCATATTTGGTATGTGAATACTATAAGCATGGAACACCGTCTATTTCTAATGACGCTTTTGGTAGAAGGTGGCCATTTTGAAAAATGGCCGCCATTTTAACGTATTTTACTATAACTCGAAAAGTAGTGGAGCGATTTTGTTCATATTTGATATGTGAATACTTTAAGCATGGCACATTGTCTAATAAAACTTTGGGGAGTAGTCGGCCATTTTGAAAAATGGCCACCATTTTTACGTGTGTTATTTTACAAGTACGTGTGCGATTTTTTCAAAAAAATTTAGCGGTGGCTACTTAAAAGCATTTTATTTCTTCTGATGACAACTTGGCTAGTGAGCAACCATTTTGAAAATGGTGGCCTTTCTGGTGTGTTGTTTTATGATATTTGCGCTTCGTTTGTAAAAATGCCAGCCATTTCTGTTCGATGGGATTCGCTACGCTTTGGCGTTGCCGTTGTTCTGGTTTAAAGGATGTATTATAGGCAAGAAACTTTAGTAATGTCTGGACATGACTGTTTTCAGGTGATGTAGAGCCCCATATAAAGCTTCTAATAGAGACAGTCCCTGACTGGGTAACAGTCATAAACATTAAGAAAGGAAAATATCTGAAGCTTGATAGGAACAAGGACATTAACATTGTACATGACATTCTTAATAAAGCTATCAAGGAAGCACAATGAGAAGACAATGAGTGGAATACTGTTTTAAAAGATGTAATGAGTCACAAATTTACTGACCATTATCATGGCAGCATTATAAGGTGATGAGTTGAAACTTTGAATCCTGATATGGAATACAGCATAAGCAAGGATGGTGTGAATTAAGTACAAACCCAGAGTCATACAGTTATCTGAGGCAGTTTGATCTGAGCCAGTCTATCTTTCAGCATGTATTGGAAAATAACATGGCCAGTGACTGGTCATAATAATTTTGTCTTTATGATACTAACAGAGGAACGGATTATACAGGCTAAAAGGCGACTTCTTATAAACTTAAACTGTATGGTGCGATAGGAATGCATGTAAAGCTAGATGATGAGAAACATTTTACTATTGATTTTTGAATGTTTTAATGAAATGGTGACTTTGATATCAATCTTGCTACAAATCATATTTTAATTCTCAATTTTATGAATCAATGAGCAAATTCAATCAAAATGATTTGGAGTCAAATTTTTAATTCAGTCTCAAATAACTCTAGAAAGAAGACTGCGACATCATAATAATATATGTTCTGATTTTTATGTCACCACCAAAAGTGGTGGTATTAAGTTTACTCTAACCTTTTTGTGGTTGGTGTCCATTGTTGGTCGGCATCTGTAACTCTGGTTAGTGTCTGTTACAAATGGCAGGTGGTGACATTTTGCATGTTAATGTCTTGTTTAATTTTCATATAATGTATTTTTATGTAAAATTGTTTCAACTTTTAGCATGATAAGATACATTTTAAGTAACATTTTGCATGTAATTGGTGCCTAAATTGGATAGTTTTGACACTCATGGTTTCATCTGTGGCTATCGTCATAAAGTTTAGAATGTTGGGGATGTGATTAACTTTGAGGTACTAATCAATACATAAAAGAAAATTCACTAAATAATATCTGACTTACATGTATTATGTAATATTTTAGCATGTTGACATTTTAGTGTTATAGAGAAGTTTTCATTTTGTTAACTATGAAGAAATCATTTTTTAAATAGTTTTCATACTCTCTGAACAAGGGATACTGTATAGAATTATCTTGTTCAGAGAAAAAGAAATAGTTTTGTATTTTAATTTGAAAAAAACTGAAGGATGAGCATTCACAAATTAAAGAATTAGGCCTATGTCAAGAGTTTTCCTTTGTAAACTGATGACTTGTAATGTTTAACCTTATAATTCAATATACAACTTGCAATCTGATACGCTCATAAATGGCTGCTATTCATCACTCAGAAGGCAGATCTCAATCAGGAATTATGTACATTGTTTATGCTTGTGTAAAGATGGCACTTGAGTAGTTCATTTTTATTTTTAATAATCTGACTGCGCTGCCATCTTTCTATGTATTCACTTTCTATCGGCCGGAGTCTAAGGATTAACCTTTATAACTATGTTAATATAATGCAGAAACTATCTGCTGTGGTGCTATATCAAGCTTTATAGAAGTAGGAGAAATATTGGGACTTGGAAAGTACAGGGTGTTAATAAAGTTGCTGGATACACACACTGAAGAACTTTTGCATGAAGATATTGAACATTTCTGTAACTCAGTATTTCATATATCGAAGAGAATGTCTGAAGGAATGGCATTATGTTTGAAGGAATGGCATAATGTCTTTATCAATGATTCCTCCCAAAATTCTGCGTCATTTTCTAATGATCTTTCTCCCTTACTATTTATTTATTTTTATTATTTTAAAATGTTATTATATCATTTTAATGTGTTTACTATTGTATAGTAGTCAATTTACTAAAGTTCAAATAACTTCCATTATATTTTCATTTGACATTAGTTTGTCAAAGAGCATGTAAAATGACATAAAATCAATAAATAAGTAATATTTGTTAATTTCATGCTTGGTATTTAGTTAATTATGTGATCTGTATTGGCCCTCGGAGATAACTTCCGTTTGCTGCTAGGTGCATCAGATAAAGCAGCAGCGAGGACAGTAAAATTGTGAGTGCCAGAAAGATGGAGAAGTATTGAGAATAAGAAAAGTAATTAACACATTATATTATTTGTAATATGAAATTTCATTTCATTTTTTCGTATTATAGCATAAATAATTTAACAAACACACAACACACAAAACGTTTTCAACAATTTCAATCACATTGAAAGGTCCTAAGCCAAATTTCATATTAGGTCTCATTGTCAAAATTGCTATAAGTACTTTGTCATTTGTAATAAAGTAGAGCAACAGACCGAACTCATTCGTGTATCTCTTGAGAGATTACCGTAACACGTAGTTCATCTCTAAACTTTCTTAGAGTGTCGACGAAGGCATATTTTAGAAGCCAGCTCCAACGAATAGAACGGATAATAAAGAAATACTAGATAGTAGTGTTCCGGATTGGACCTTTCCTTTATGGTCATTCTGTGTTAGTTGGATAGAAAGGGTTGTCATTATTGGTGTTGTTAGGTTTAACAAGGGGTTTGCAATATTCCTTGTGGCCATCTTTCCAGTTTTGTCTTTGGCACCCGATACTGCAGTACCACGCAGAGTGGCACCTACTACAGACGGGGAAGTTCTTCTCGCTTTCTCCGACGTCCCGGTGGCAATGAGTGCACGTCATACCGTCGTCCCCTTGGAATTTGCAGCGGGGGCACTCACACCAAAAGTTAAACGCACGAAGCAACTGTGCCCTGCGTTCTTTTCTTGGCTGGTTTACGTGGATGTATGATGTCAAAATTTCATCCCCTGCTTTGATGTTCTTTTTAGCTCTCACTTGAATAGCTGGTCGACCGTCTATGTAGTCATCGTAGCATTCAACATTGTTATCGCAAGAGTGGTTCAAACTGGAGTGGAGTGGAAACAATCCAGCGAATATTGCGGGATTTGGGTCGCCTTTCATGTACTTTAGCAAACCGACAGTTTGTTGAGACATTTTGTTTTTCAAGTTATTCAGAAATTTCTTGAATGGGTTGTCCCGATCCGAAAACGACTGCGCGTTGCAAGCAGCTTGGTAAAACCTCCCATTGAATTCATTATCGCTTATAGGGTACTTAATTCCATTCCATTCGCCAAACATATCTCGCATAACTTGTACCATTTTGGGGATATGGGGCACAAAGTTCGTGATACCATAGGCGATAAATCGACGGAACGGTACTTTAGCGAGAGCCCATTCTTCTATGGTTGGAGCTGTAAGGTTCTTGACGTCGGTGAGTCGTTTAGCCTCTGCGATAATCTGGGCCCAGATTCTGGCAAGTATCATTGGGGAACATTCTGACTTCCACATACCATCCTCCTCGGTTTCCCCACGATCGTTAAAGTCGAACAATGCAGCAGACGATCTATTCACTCCGGGACATATCACTTTGTGGCAGGTGTCCCAAGCCTCTTTCTGACATTTCACGCTGCAATATTTTTCCTGATAGCATTTCTCACAGTCCACAATGTCAATCTCCGGCCAGTTGTCCTTTACCAATCTACGTTCACTTTGGCTCATCTTGAGATAATTATCTCCAAAATAATCAGCAGCTGTTAGCAATGATTTCGCACACTGTACACATGCTGGATTCTTCACTGAATCTATGATAGGAGACCACACTATGGGAAGGTCTTTAAAAATATCAGTTCCAGCTTTAATATCATCAGTTGCATATACTGCTCTTCCATACTCCGAGAATCTGACCTCAATTGGTAGGTCTTTGCAACTATGTGAGTACACCCTCTGTGTTCTGATCTGTTGAAACAATATGGCTGGTTCGCAGTTCTTCGTCGGGCTCAACTGCGTCGCCTTCTTACACCATAGCTCACCATGAACCAAGAAGCCAAGCTCGTAGAAAACTTTCCCTGAAAATAAAGATCATACTTTCATTTGAGTTTCATATTACCAAATATAGATCATCCTCGGTTCCTACGCTCAATCACTACATGGCGTTTCTGATGAAACAAGATAGATAGGCCTGTATAGCTTATGGACAATGGGTTAAAGGATGTGATCACCCCATGACACCTACTTACCTCCCAATGTCCATTCATCCATCGTTCTATTCGGCTTTGGTATCTGAACAAGATCCATATAGGCCTCTTTGTACTTTTTCAATGCATAGAATACACTGGCTCGACCACCCCAACACCTATAAGTAAGTAAAGAGAATAATAAGTGTGTTTGTTAGACAAAATAGGCAGAAATGGTAATTTTCACCAAAACAAGGTTTTATAAAGGGACAGGGAGCTTGCATGAGAATTTTTTTGAGAATCCGTATTACATGTTGTAGACTGTGAGTCTGAGTCTGGTATATTGATTTTCTTATCTGGTCAGATGCAATAGTAAAAATATCACACATTGGATTTTAAAGGTACTATGTTAAGGTAGTTCGATTCTGCACTTTTTGGTTTTAACTTTTTATTCTGCCATAGTGTGTTACCATCCACACAGGTTAAAACGGTGAAATATTCAACTATTTCACTAACTGGTACAATAATGGCATGAGAACTATAGAAGTCTCATCACTCGGATTTACATAAAGAAATCTTATATAAGTGTAAATCAGAACAAGTGTTCAGTTCTTACCTGTCGTTGTTAGGGTTAAAGGCGAGTGCCATAGAAAAGTGTTCCAGGGCCTTTTTGTGGTTTCCGAGCAGCAGCATCTGCTGGCCGAGAGCCAATCTTCTGGCAGACTCCTTGACGTCCTGTGTTTTCACTTCTATCTCCGGAGATTCACCTGCCACTTGCTATAAGGACAGGGTGTTTTCAAAGTTGGTGGACCGATACGATAACAGTACTTAGTTCCCGTCACATTCATTAACGTTTCAAAGATGGCGGAAATAAACCCCGAGATCTGAGCAATTGGGTATTCATAAAACAAATGACAGAGCAATTGTAATTTTAAAAATTCTTTTCCACCATCTTGTAAGATTTTGTGAAAATTCGGGAACGGTAGTCATCGTTGTGAGAGCTACAGTGTTATCTCATATCAATCCAGATATTATGTTGTTCAACTTCACATACTATTGCTTCTAATTATTGTTCTACAGTGAAACATTATACATGGATATGGTTCAAATCCGAATACTAGTGTTACGTACGAAATAATATTTATCGACGTTACTGAGCAGTTGACACATGAATTCTATAATAAGGAACTGATCGCAACAAATTGCTTCTTTAAATAAATGATGACAAATCAATGGACTACCTTTAAGATTTTTGCTTCAATTTGGATCATTTCTCTGTCTTCTGGGTAAGGGTCTTGGCTGCAGATCTCTACAGGGTTATAGCTCATGTCAGAATCTTTCTCTTTTCCTTTGAACGAGCTGAATAACGAAACAACACGAATAACCTTTGGAATAAAATCAGTTTAGTGTTCCCAGGAATTACAATACGAACGATCTTTCCAATTATTTTAAAGTGTATCTTGCAATGTTAGGAACTCGTTAAAGCTGTCAATTTGCCATCGTAAGAAATCAATGTATTCTGCTAGTTCCTTTCTAGTTTAAAAACAGAAAGGTGCGATGAGTAAGCCCCAAGTAACAATGATTTCCCGAAATTACCCGGGGATTTAGAAACAATACTTTTTGCTGTCAATTCAGTGATTCATATCAGTTGCCCAAAAATACAGATGATTTGGATTGAAATGGATGGATTTTTGTCTTTGTCGTAATAGCTCAATTTGAACTTGCCTGAAGATAAAGTGCTGCATTTCAACGAGGTTCTGTGTTATGATTTTGTTCTTGGGGTCCATTTCTAGCCCCTCCTTGAATACCTCCAAGGCCTCTTCATACCTTCGACACTTCGTCAAGGCCTCACCCAGTCTGATCTGATTCGTTATGTTCTTCTTAAGCTTTAACGCTGTCTCGGCGTCCTACAATGCCAATTAAATGCATATGTAATCGAATTGTGTCGGATGAAAATGTTGCTGCTTCTGCACATGTATATGGATGGTGAGATATCGAAACCTGTTGCGAAGTTTGTTGTTTGAAGACCACATTTGGACATCCGAATGAATATTAATTTGAATGGAGCAATTATCAACGGTGTGCAAAACATCATATATAGCAAATACAATTATAGATTTGTATTAGTATTATTATTTGAAGTTGAAAGCATAAACGAGTCCTTGTATATTGTAACTGAATATAAGTACAAATAATTGAAAATGTTCAGCCTATACCCGAAAGCCTTACACCGAACTGCATGAACTTTAAAATGTACGACACAGTTTTTCTTTTCAGCATGTTTTTTTAAAAAGAAGAACTGAGACAATGTCCTGCTCTAGTTAAATGGGTAAATTATGTTTTGACGTTTAGTGGGGTTGTGTGCAGGTTTAGGTACGGGGGCTTGGGAGTTGATCAAAAATGTTTCCACACATCTTTCAAACCTACAAACATTTTAATATTTTGTAAATAAGCACAATTAATTGTGATTAAAGTCATAAGAGTGTCTAATGATCACAATGATTGGATTGGCATACTTGAAACAAGGCAGTAAAACATGCATCTGTAGAAACTCCATAATTTCCATGGTAACCAACTTGGGAGACTGGTAACTATAGAAACAGAAGGGTTGTTTAGTGTTGCTGACTCTCGACAAATGCTGAAATGACACTTTTATGTAAATACATTAATGTTTTCTCACAATATCTACCTAAATATTATTTGAGTTGAAATTTCACACAAAAATCAGTTTATTTCTACACACCTGAGTTCTCGCTTCACAGAAATGTCACATTAATATCACATCATTTAGTGTTCACACGTTTTCACACCACAAATGATTGAGTACTCGACATGGCATAGATGCCGGCAAGATTCTTTTTATAGTAGGAAGCTCAATAAATATTTGAATATTTCTGCGAGCTTCTGATATATACTACAAAGGAATCTGACCGGTATCTATGCATCTAGGATGAAGAAAATCTTTCCTTTGGAGAAAAACTTTTTTCAACCTAGGTGATATTAATCATTACGAAATTCGATTGAAAAGTATCGCGACGGATTGGAAAATATTGTTTGATCTCTCACAAAAATAATTTCCATGTGCTGCCAATAGTATTTAATATAGGGTTTTTAGGATTCTCTTTTACTGAAAGTAGTATTTTAAAAAATACAACGCCCTCTCCCCAAAACGATCTCGTCAGATGTTTCCAATCAATTTTCGTAATAACACACCAAGGTGTATGATCCAACTGATTAAAGGCTCCATTTACCACGTGTGTCAATTTCAACTGTTGACTTCACCGGGGCGTCACGTGGTATAATGGGTCCCGTAATCTCTTGGATGCTATCTATGACATCAGTGCCAATGAATGATAGTAAGGTGTATGAGATGGTTACACTTCAACAGAGTGGACGATTTGCTGATTACGTCTAGGCCAGAGATGAAAATGTGTTGATACGTCAAGATATGTGTAAGGCGTATATCAAGTGTACGGTATACGCTGTTACACATCCGTGAATCGTGCGTCGCGTACATTAGGTGTACGCTATACACCGTGACAACACCACTAGCATACGCTATCACTGTATCGTGTTATTATAGAAGGCTGAAAGGGTCACTCATACACTGCAAATTCAGAAGGGTACTAGTATTAGCGGTACTAGTAGTTGGGGTAGCACTACTGTCAAGATGGACGTTTTCCGTGTTTAGGATTGAGGTAAATCTCGGTCGTGCGGAAAGACAGGCAGCTACTGGTTCACTTCCAAACAGTGTTCACAACATTACCTTTAAACCTCTAACAAATTCTCCCTTTCTCTCCAAACAAAATGATCGCCTCTCAAAAATCTCACTTCGCCTCTCTACATCGTGAATGTCTTCATCCAACAAGCGTTCGTAGATACGAACGGCGTCAGTGTATTCTTCCTTCCTAATCGCATCTGCTGCTTCTTGGAGGAGGAGGTTTATGTCGTCATTGGCAACGCCGATATTGCCTAGTTCCAAATCATCGTTTTCAGTTGCCATAGTATCATCTATATTAACCTGTAACTTTATACATGCAAATCTGATCATTTAAGCCCCGTTAAACAACGGGGATTGTACCGTTACATACCCCATTTATCATTCTGTCAGTTCAGGCTATAAAACAAAATAGAAATTAAGTACAAAACATCACAACATAAATGTGATAAACAGACAAAATGGATAAAACATTCATTCTCTGATTTGAAGACAACCAAAAAGTTTACTAAAATATGTTATCTATTCAAGACAGGTGTGGCATTGCGAGATGTGATCATTCTAGATCAGATCAGTCGATTTTGTAATTAAAAATAATTCAAAATTATAACCTTTTTATACCAGTTATCGTTCACCTCTTTCCATCATGCGAAGCAAACTATATCCTTAACTTAGTAAAACAAACTTTATGGCCTTGGTTAAAGACTAAAAACCTCTTTTGACTTTTATAACCGCGATTTATATTTTACTGACTTATGATAAGGGCCAACCTTTAGAAGTTTAAGACTAATTTCTTCAATCAGAAAAAGAGATCAGGAATTTTTCGTTGAAGGAAAATGCTTCGTACGTTTCCACTGGGTTAGATATATCATTATCCCTTGCATAATTCTCGCCCAGTATCATTTTGGCGCTTTGTCGACAGAAAAATGTATTTGGTCCAGCAGTGAGTTTCAGAAAAATATGCTCAATGGCTCAACCCCCCCCCCCCCCAAATACATGGAAAATACGAGTTAAAGTAAGCTAAGAATGATAGCTTGATACGAGACCCATTATTGTCTATTCGTCGGCTAATTCTTTCTCATACCTCCAAGTCTTGGAAAAGGTGCTTTTGTTTGACACTCTGGGCAGCTCCATTCTGTTTATCCATACTTGCAAAAGGCCAGGATATGAAGTTTATTCCTGAAATAATTTAATATAACTAAGTTGTGTAAAGGCATAAGTTAACTTGTAGTTCAATATGTTGAAATACAGTTAGAGTTTTCGGGTGAATATCTGTTTTCAAAGAACACATGCCCAATGAACACGATTTCTAGAAAAATGCTCCACTAACCACGAGTGACCCGAGTGTTGAGTTAAGATCTAAACCAAGGTAGATAAAGCTATATTTGGCAATATTTTGAAACGAGGGCATACGCATGCAAATGGTAATACTTCATTGAGAATGGCTGACGCTGTAACAATTTCTTGGAGAACACTTATTTAAAGTCAATCCCGCTTTTGGGATAAAAAGATGTTCAATATACACATGTTTTACTGTAGTTTATTTCACTTCTTGCGATAGGTTCGGCTTGATGATATTCAGCGAATCTGCTAAGTGCTTGAATGTTTCAGAAGTTTCCTCCTATTTTACTTGACGTCGAAAATATTCGTTATGCTATACTCCAAAAGATTCATACAAGTAATATTAAATAACAAATACCGGTTAATATAGAACTAATTACTATGTAATCCAATGTTGAAATAAAATATAAGTAAAAAACACTTACCAATGGCAATATAGAAGCCCTACATATAATCCCTAAGCTGCTGGTAAATACATGTATATCTGTATATCCCGTGTATATTCTGCAAGTTTCTCTACAACTCAGCTTGGTAACAGAACACTTCTAAATATAACTAAACCAACACTCGTGTAGATAAGCCGCCAACTGGTTAATCCCACCTACAAACATACTACTAGAGCACCATCTTCGTCTTACTTTATCTGTTGGAAGGGCATCTTGTACAAAAATAGACTAGCCAGTAGCTGTAATTAAGCAGCATCGAGGGGGGGTCACTGGCGGATCCAGAAGCTAACAAGGGGGAGGGCCAAATAACAAGTCAGGAAAATAATTTAGGCGCTTTCAAAAATTGGGTCCAAATTTGGGAAAAAGGCCCATTTTTGATAATTTGGCCTAAAAAGGCCCAAAAAGGCCAAGTTATGCCCATTTTTGAGGCCCTACAAAATTTTGGGCCTCAAAATGTTTTTGGGGCCCTAAAAAGATTTTCAGTTTTTCCCCATTCCCAATCAAAGTCGTTTCGTATATTCACCGAAGAGCAAAAAGGGGATATTTCAAAATGTATTACAAAACATAGTATACAAAACATGATCAACAATGAGAAAAACAAATTCCCCAGATTATGACCTAAAAAGTACTGTATTGAAAGATACACAGTGGACCCCCCCCCCCCCCCCCAGTCACAAACACAATTTTGAGGAACAATTATCGCAATCCAAAAACAACAGCAATACGATTGTATGATACCTAGAAATATGTTTAATTGAGGATAAAATTCAATCTTCGAGTGATCAGACGTTGACCAGAAAGTCCAACGAAGACGGTCTGATGTGTTAAATCTTTTTTCTTTTGGGGGGTTAACTCCCATATAACTAATTTTTCTACAGAAACGCATGATGTATTAGTAAAGTACCTTATTGACATTAAAAAATTACTGATGCGTTTCCAAAAAATGTTATGCATTTGTTAAATTAAAGACACTTCTGTGACTCAACAAGTACTGATAGTTCTGTTTACTAGTAGGCTATAATATTGTTGATATTTAAAAAGGATGTCTTTACGAACGTCATAAAAGGAGATAAAAATAAAGATTAGTTTGTAGCCTGAGGATGGGGTGGGATCGTCGGTAATGGTACTGTTGAAAAGCTAATTGACCAACCCTCATAAGTCATCCGCAAAACAACACAAAATAATTACATATATCATATTTTATTTCCACCCTGGTATGATTCATTTGACGTTATTTTCAAGTTCGGAATTTATATTTCATCTATTTATTCTTTGAACTGATGAAGATGTCAAGTCTGATAAAAAGTTCTTGCATTACATTGTGTTTACTGTTTAGTGTTTACCCCCATGGCAGTGTTGTGTTATATCATGTTTTGGTTGAAAAGTGAATTCAAGAATTGTCTTGACTTTCAAGTTTTATAATTGACAAGTGTTTTCCCTATCAGAGATCACATTGATAAATAACCAATCAATCCAGAAAGGGGACAAACATTATCAAACATGAAACAATCGCATCTTATTTTGTGGAAATATATATTTTAGAATCGGACATATATCTTTTAAACCTTGTCATTATAATGATTTAGAATCTTATTCATTTGATTTCAAAGCAATAACTCGGTTAGAGGGCGTGTTAAAGATACTAATCTAGTAATACATCACCTACGCAATAAACTATTTTAAAACCCACATCCCATGAAAAAATATCATTTGTCCTCAATGATGCTAAATAGTGAACTAAGTATGAAGATGCTGCTTAAGCTATTACTCCTAGCGTTTTGTTTGACAGAAGTGACCTGCCAGAAACGGACAACATGCAGAAGCTTGAGATGTTTAAGGGATGAAGTGAGACAGTTGCAAACATGTTGTCATGAAAAAGATGTGTCGATTGCGAGTTTGATTCAGCGTATTGAAGAACTTGAAGAATCTCAAGAGCAGACGATGTATGAATTAGATCAAATCACCGAATTGCTGAATGAAGAAACAAAAAAATCACTCGATATACCCGATGATGAAGATAAGGTTGTACCTGGTAAAGATAGTTTTGATGTCCCTTCTACAACTGCACCTACCAAAACAACTACACGGCCAACTTCATCACCGAGTACAGGCGCTACGAAACCTACAACTACGAAAGCACCACGCAAGCGTGAGTTTGACAGTTTAGAATACTGAAGCTTCGAGCTTTGTTGTTTAAATAGCTCTGTGGGTTCTTCATAAAATAATATGGATTGGTCTTGTAATGTAAAAAGACAAGATTAACACAGAATTAATATACTCATAAAACTATACTTTATTCCAAGTAAAAGACTAAACATGTACAATTACACTCTTCAGTGTAAAATAAAACTATTCAAAGATAAAGAAAGAATGAAAATGAGATTAATAAGATGAAAATAAATGATGTGTGATGTTCCCCCCGATCTAACTCTCTACTGAATGAAGCCCAAAATGTCTCTTAAATACCCCCAAGTTATAGGAAATGAAAGGCAATCCCTTACCCTACAAAACCTATAAGAAACCCATTGAAAGATGGCAGCACAATACGGTAAATCATCATGAAAAATGCTATAATACACTATTTTAGTTGTTACAGAGTCTTTATTTCAAATGTAACTTTCTTTGGATGAATAATTTGAACACGTTACATAATAGAGTTTCACGAATAGTTCATAAATATCATAAATACATAATTTTATTTTCAAATCTATTTTTAAATGTGAAAAAAACTAAATCAAATAGGAACGGGAGCCTAAATGAATTTAAACGCTTATTTTCACAGTTCGCATTTTCATATTTTTACGAATACTTTTACTACTAATATAGATGTACATTCGAATTTACAAAAATGAAGCAGCAAAACTGCCAAATCGGTGCTAAATATTCTATGAAAAAGTGTCCCTTTACAGTGTCTGGGAGTGAAGTCTAATATGAACACAAGATATTTCCAAATGCAAAGGATGCAACGAGCTGCGTTAAATGTTTGCCTCTCACTCCACAGCCGTTGGTTTTATTTTAGGGCCACTAGACTGCCCCGATAAATGGACAAAAACGGGAATGAAGTGTTTTGTCGTGGTATCGAACCCGGGCGTTAATATACTGGATGTCCTTTTGGATTGCTCTGCGCTGAATACATTCGCCCATCCGGCCTCTATTCTTAGTGAGGAAGAGGACAACGCCTTCAACACGGCAAGATCTGTAAGTCACTAAAAATACCAATCCTGAATTCCATTGGCGAATACTCTTACACTCCGACTACTACAAATGGTTTTGAAGTTTTGATGTTGAGAAAGAAATCCACTGACTTCATAACTAGCTTTTATTTTATTTTTAAATAGATTTTTTATTCCAATCCCTGGTCATTTTGGACTCCTCTGAATAAAAGTTTTGTACTTTTGTATTTTACAGGCGGCAAATGTTTCAGACACATCGAAAATCTGGATTGGGTTAAACAGCATATCAAAGGGGTTTTATACTTGGTATCCTGATAACAATCCCTTTAATTCAACCCTTGTGGATCACCTTGATGATGCAGGTCAGTTCTGATTTACTATGTCTTTGAGGTGAACAATACAGACGGTGACGCCAAAAATGCAATCCTCTGGGAATTATGATCTCGAATGAATTTTTTGTTGATAGCGTTCAATGCGCGAAGCAGTGGTATGGAAATCTTGTTGGAATAAGCAAAATTCAAACTGTTATAATTCATTACTTATTGTGTATTTTTGGTTTGAGGGTACATGATTGGTTGTTTGTTTATATTGTAAAATAGCTAGCCATTTGTCATCCCCTATATAACAATATATATGGCTCGTTCTTTAATCTTTCAGCACAAATCCCGGAGCTCTTCCATGCCATCTATACAACAGAACTTGACGGTGCGGTTGTGTGGAGAAAAGAACAGGCGTTCAAAAAATTAGATGGGTATTCATGTTCAATAGGTCAGTAAAGCCATGTCATAAAAGCTGATATCATTATATGGTTTTACTGATACAATGATGGATTATATGTCAAATCATTCGAAATTGAATTTTCCTTACGATATGCTGTTGGTGTATCTGACTAAACTACGGTATGAATTGATTACTCCAGGGGGGGATTTTGGTCTACCCTGTGTATTGCGTATAATATTTACAGAGTGGTATAAAATCTGCTTTATTCTGTTTCAGTAGTTAAATATACTTTCATTGTTCATTGTTTCAGATCTGGCTCAAAGAATATCCACTGTCTAAATTATTTCTCCATCAGTAGCAAAAATGGATGATTCTGGCATAAAACTTTAATGAAAGAGAGCATGCAGCCAGTAAATATTGTACATAGTGACAGAAGCCTTGTATATTAGTAACAGTCAATAGAGGGAGCAGTCAGTATATTGGACTTAGTGACAGTCAACAGCTCAGAGGGCGCATTCGTTGCGGGATCCGTTATTTTGTACACAGTGACAGCGGCATGGGCTCTCAACAGACTCTTTGAAAGCCCATGGTGATAGGCAATATAGGGGGCATTGTATATAGCGCGGGCGCGGGCTTTCAAGAGAAAGCCCGTGTATATAGTTGCAGTCAATAGAGGGAGCAGCCAGTATATTGTACTTAGTGACAGTCCACAGAGGGCACATTGCACAGTCTTTGTAGTGTATAAAGTAACAGTCAAAAGATAAGACATGATAGAAGGAGCAGTAGAGGGAAAAGTCGGTGTATTTTGTATACTACAATGTAGTAGTGACAATTAAATGAATTAGAGGGAAATGAGAGTGTAAAAACTTAATTTTACTCTCCAAAAAGGAATTGAGATATCTGAACACATAAGCAGGGGCGTAGCCAGCAATTGTCAAGGGGGTGCGATTTTTGGGGTTTGTGTCATTGCAATCGAAGCGAGCCCCCTGGCTACGCCCATGTAGAGAAGATCTGGGATGCAAAAATACATAGTACTACCATTTCATTAGAATTTATAAGATGGCGTCCCTTTACCCTGAGTGAATTTTTAGAAGACAGTCATGTTATTATATGACATAATAAAAGCAAAATTAGAATTCTTTCACTCATGTATGTTAGAAATTATTATAATAAAATAAAATTGTGATAGAATAATACATCTATATAACCAATGAAATTCGGTAAGATTTTACCACACTCCCTTCCTGACAAATCCATTAAGGTGATGAAAACCCTCCATGAAGTTGACATTCATTTCTAACGTGTATAGAAAATCAGGGCAAGTTGCGTCATTTGTAGGCAAACAAACCCGTCCGAATGGGAGGGGCATTCAAAAAATCTTTTTTTTCAGAAATTTGTATTTAAGCAAATATGGTTCTTAGATATGCTCAGAATGTACCAGAGAGGATCTAAATTTCAATTTTTCTGGGGGCAGACTCCAAGACCCCTTAGCTTGCGGCGCTACGCACTAGACGCCTTGAGTGGGTGTGTCGGCGGCACCATCCATCCGTAAGCAAAAGTCACCCTCCCCCTTCTTGGGAAATCCTTCGGGCGGACCTGCCAAAGCTCAAATAAACTCTGACACTGGCCTATAACACGTGTTCACAAGAGAAGTGGAAACGTCACTTCAATACATATAAATTAGTATATTTTATTTTGAACTGCCTATTCTACCATATAAATATTATCGATTCAGTCTAAGAATAATTATAATATTGAAAATTACAAAAAAACAAAACTTTCCACCGTGTAGAACTACCTTGAGTAATCCTATAGATCAATATATCTAATCCCCCAGTAAATGGTGAGTGCTACTATGCAAAGGATAAACAAGACCACGAACCCAAATCAATGTCCACTGTTTGCCTATTACACCATTAGCCTATAACAGCACAAATATTCAGGTTCAATGGAATAGGAATATTTATACCATTCATCTCGCTAGGTCATGTGATAAAATTTACCTTTCAGCTCAAGTCGAGGATAAAATAATACGCAACGAACAGTGCTCTATTCAGGCATAAAGATAAAATGCATTTTGGATTAGCTAATTGGTAATGCCTGGGTCACATTTGCTCCGATCCATCAACCGGCCCCCGCCCGATTGAGCATTTTGTTCAAAAATGAATGCAATTCTGAACAAAATACTCAATCTGCCGGGCGCCGGCCGAATGGGAGCAAATGTGACCCAGGCATAAGTTGTGAGTTATATCATCAATGGTCAACTTTTGTGGATGCACTACTAAATTATTGCACATTTCGTTGAAAGTCAAATATGACAATGGAAGAAAGAACAACCACTTTATTGATCACAGCTGTCAGGTTACGAAACTATCTAGCCAGATGGAAATGGATTATTGCCGGGGTTTATGGAATGATTTTGATATTAATAATGACTAACATAGGGAAACCGATGATAAGAAACGAACAACTGAACGGGGTCATCGAGTCTCTGGATTCAAGGACTGTGAAACGCGAGACATCAGGAACAGCCGAGAAGCGCAACCTGACCCGAAAGGAAAAAGACATCTTACTTGTGGAAGAATATAAGAATTATGTCAAGACACACAATATAACTGTTACCATGTTCACAACATTTGCGGATCGTGAGGAATCGAGATACATCATCCAGAATAACACTGTCCTTAACTGGCTACACCTCCAGAATGTCAATTTTAAACTTATCCTTTTCGGAAATAGACAAGAAATTGCGGATTACCAACTGCAGCACGTCAAGAGCTTCAAAAAGCGGATAAAATCATTACAAACCGATGCGCACTGGCGTAGAGAACCTTCATACTTAACCTCAAATGAGTTGTACGAATCCAAAAGTTATTCAAAGAACAATTCATATTACCAAACCTGGGATTTTATCCCCTTGGAAAAGCACCTAACTGCTCATGGAAGACCTATATTGAAACAAATGTACTTGGAGGTACAGAGGCGCTATAATTCCGACCTTTACATGTACGTTAATGGAGACATTCTATTCCATGCTCGATCATTCCTTCATACGCTTTATGGAATAAAACAATTTGTTGATGATCGCAAAACTAAAACTAAAAAATGGCTCATCTTTGGAGGACGGAGAGAAGTTAGCTTCTACGATCAAAAGAAAAAAATGACTCGCGAGCTCCAGTATGGACACGATGCGGAGATTACGAATGTTTCTCGTAACTCTCGGGTGATGAATCAAAACGCACTTGATTTCTTCATCTGCAGTAAGACTAGCTTCCAATGGGCATTGGTTCCTAATTTTGTCGTGAGCCTCCCCTTATTCGACCACTGGTTAGTTCTCTATAGCAACAAGGTTGGCATAGAGACGTTTGACATAACAAATACAGCCAGAGTAGTACATCAAAAGGGAGTACAGAAATTGAAAGATTCGATCTATGAAAAGGCTGATGATTTAAATAGGTTTATATTCGATACCTCGCTTGGAATCAGATGTGCGTTTGACACTTCTATGGCAAGACTCCATTGCATGAGGAAAGCTACAAAGATACGGAGGGTGGGGAAAGAAGATGTAATTGTTGTTACCAAGAATCACAAATTCGATACTCCCGCAAATAACAGCTGTATTTTTCCCTATCCACTAACGGCACCTATTCTTGACCCAATAAGTGACGAATATTGAAATGATACCAGTTTTTCTCATCTAAACAGAATAAAATAAAATGATAGCCCATGGTGCAATGTAATAAAGAACCAATATTCCTAGTATGTTTTCATGTTTCAATATTTTTTTAAAACCTACACCAATCATCATGGATGTTGACAATGTCATTTCTAGGCTAAGCAAGATAAAAATCTTGCCACGTATAAGTACAACTACATGTACCATAGATGAAAGCACCTCTTCTACCCCAATGTTCCGTGGCCGGGGTCAAGTGAGCGTTTTGACAACATATAAATACCCTCCAGCCCTCTTCGGTGTATTATTTAGACGTAACATAAAATCTTTTATAGTGAAATGAAAAAGTTTAACTGATCATATTTTAATGTTTTCAAAAAAGTTGTTAGTCCCATGCACCCACTTACACTTCCCCAAATAAGTTTGACAACCTTTGATAGCATGTTAAAGCCTGCCAATCTATAGATATTATGTTTAGTACTAACCAAAAATTTCCAAAAGCCCTTAGTAAAAGCTTTAATGTCCTGTTTAAGAACCCATATTCTTTAAATGTATTCTTGTAATATTATCCAATATTATCTACAGTGTAGGTCTAGAAGTAGATTCATGTTGGATATCTAGAATCCATTTTCATTAGTAAGAATACGGGTTCTTAAACAGGACATTGGACTTGCTTTTTCACGGTTTTTTTAAAACTTTGTGTCAGATCTAGTTGTTGCTTAATTAAATTCGGCCATTTATGACAAAATTGATAGATCTACTGAGATCGCCAAACATAACAAAATGTGGTCTAAATTGGAACTTCCAGTTGCCAAATTTATGGGGGGAGTGCACATTTGTATACCCACTTAAACTGAAACAGACTTGTCGATTATCCTTGATTGACAAATATTCAAAATTTATTTATATTGATATCACATTTATTTGAAATCTACATAGAAATACAGTTTTAAAATTGTTTATAAACTTTGAAACTTTGAACATTTTTTCTATTCAATTTTTCATTGGATTCATCAAACTAAAAAAGCTTAGATGGAAATGGATACTCTAAATCTATTTCTTATTCAAGTTTAGATGAAGTTTTTTATGCCACTTGATCTGACCAGAATTAGATACCTGGTGGTAACCTGGCAACTTAGTAAATATATCTCAATTCATGTACCTCCCATTACAGGGCATTCAGCAAGCGAGCATTCTCTTCATCTAAATGTGTCTGTAAGTGTTCATTCACTTCATCCATAGTATCAAACATTAATGAACATAAAGCACAAACAAACTTCTCAGTAATCACCACTCCATTCTGCTCAACATCTTGGATTTCATTTGATTCATGCACAGACTTACATGCCCCCTCGTGTTTTAAAAGTTTGGATTTAGACAAGAAAACTTCACCACATTGACATGGAAAGAGGACTTCAGACGTCGAGGGGACAGAGTAGTGTTTTGCTCTGCAATGTTTCCTGAGGATATGTTTAGTTTTAAAGCTTATATCGCAGATCTCGCATGCATAGGTGAGGCCTAGGTGGCTCTTGTTGTGCTTTGATAAGTCACCCCTGCAAGACAAGACATCATACACTGATATAAGGTACTCATATTCAAAGATTCAGCACGATAACATACAAACCAGATTACAAAAACATCAGATTTTCAATGGGTTAAAATGTATGTGTGTCATCCAAAATGATAAAATTTCATTTATATAAACAACCATGGTCTGGTACGTTTTGTAAGGAGAACTTGATAAACAAGGTCAAGGACACACGCATGGTCAAAGTCTGTTTCAGTAGAGCATCACCAACACATGAACTACCAAGTAAGTTAAATAACAAACTGTTACAAAGTGAAAAATTTCAACACTAGTCACAAAAAATGATGGCTGTCACAATGTCAAAACTAATATGCTGAATGGGTTGTATAAGTTATCCAAAGAATATCAAGACCTTTAATAAAGTGTATAATGCAGTTTAACGTGACTCGTTTCCTTGTGTAAGGTAAACTCGTTCTAAATACTAAAAAGATTCTTACCTGTAAGCAAATGATTTATCACATTTAGAACACTGATGAACTGGTCGGTCACCTCTATGTGTGAACATGTGCTCCTTTAGTAAACACCTCTTTGCAAATGCCTTATTACATTCCAAACAATGATGCTTCTTGGGGATATACCCCAGCTTATGGACTGTTAATACATGATGATTCAAAGAGCTTGGCCTTGTAAAACACGACCCACATTCCTCACATTTATATGACTTAGAACCAGGATAATGAATATCCTGTATATGAGTTTTAAGATTTTGTTGATTGATTATTTTGCCACATTCGGGACATTGCGATTTCTTCCTTGTGTGTCCTTCGTGTACATAGCGGTGATGGATTTTCAGATGGTACTTTCCAGGGAATTCCTTTCCACAAACATTACAGAGATAAGTATCACCCTGGATATACTCCTGTTGGGGTTTCTTCTCTTTCTGACATGCTTGATTTTTCAAATGATACCTTAATCCTTGAGGAGTCTTCAATTCTTTACCGCAAAATTGACAGATTCTGTCTTCTGGTAGTTTGGGGTGACGAATACAGATTTGTTTCTCTATGTGGAACCTGAGATAACTTCTTCTTGTGAAAGATTTATTGCACAATTCACAAGTAAATTTTTTTATTTCTTTCACTTTCTTTACAGATTTGTCTTTCCGGTTTTCAGCCCTGACCTCGGTCTCAGTTTCAGTTACAGGTTTCTCCACTTGAAGCGTTATCTTTATTTTTTCATCTTCCTCTTGGAATGGAAGAGTTTCATCATTAGACACCACATCTTTGTTTTCAGTATGAATAATTTGACTATCATCAATGTTTTGATCACCATCAACCCTGGCTCCTTTAACAACAGCATCAATGATATTATCAATCTCGTCTTTAATAACATTGTTAGTAGTGTAAAAATAATCAATATTTAAATCTTCATTGAGCCCAACATCTTTTACATCACAAACCTTAACACCATCATCACTATTAGCAATGCTATCAATATCATTCACATCGAAGTCATTACTATCATCGAAATCTTCTTCAATAATTGTTCTTATTGTTTGAAGATCTATTTTCAAAGTTTCAGTATCAGTCTTTTCTTGAGCATCATTAGGGATTATCTTGTCATTTCCTTTCTCACAAAGCTTGACACGTTTTGATTGACGTGTGTTGTATTGTGTGATTCTAGCAGATTTCCTCTTGGTTCTAGATGATTTGAGATTCTTTGGTTGTGTATTATCTCCGTGGGCCTCAGTTCTCATACAGTCTTTCAAGCATACACTGACATGTTTCAATTTATTGTCTCCTTTTAATGCAGACCCTGCTTCATTACTATCGTCACATTTCAATGGAGTGATATATTCTTCATTATTGGCATCTTTCAATGGAGAACTAGACATTTCAATATTTTGCGTAACATGTCTTTGGGGTAAAGAGTCCTGATCAGTCTCAATGGACTTGTCCTTCATTAGAGATCCCTCTAGAGGCTCATTGGTTCCTGATGGAGTTATTAGATCGCTGGGAGAATTCGGTGCGTCATCTGCCTCATTAATGTTGTGTGAAGTTATATCTGGTAGAGTTTTTCCTAATTTTTCATTGCCACCTTTTTCTACCTGGACATTGTTATCATCAGCAGTCTTAGAGAATTCCTGGAAAATGGATTCAACCTGGAAAACAGAATTGAAGAAATTGATATGAGGCATTAACATGTAACATGTCAGTGATCGTTCCTGAAATTAACATGTTGCAAATAGGAGGTTTAACTAAACCACATTTATTACAATAAATTCAATATGCAAGTTGAATTTGGATTGTTGCGTGGATGGGGATACTTTGGGAAATCTATTTAAATCCTGTATTGCATAGGGTCCACTGCATTACAGTCATGCAGAAAAAGTATACATGATGTTATCACAATATTTGCTACAATGAATCAATTATGTAGTGGAGTAAGATTAAAATGCAAAACCAAAAAACTGCATTTATTAATCTGCACCATTAAAATTATATTACTTGAAGGTACATGAAATAAAAAAAGTAAATACTGTATATCAAACCAAGGAGGATTGGCTCCCAGAGTGCAACATCGATATTCTGTCCCATATATAGGCATGTCGTGCTACAAAATTTGAATTCCAACGACCGCCATTTTGTCCACTTCAACATTTGAATCGTGAATTTTGGTCTTATTTCCTAACGAAAAATTCCAAAACTCACAGGAAATGATCAAGATTTTGGTTCGAATCTTTTGAACTGTTTATTTTGAATTTATAATCGGTTTTAATTTCAAAAAATAACGACATTTCGGTGTTTTCATTGTTGGAAAATATCGAGTTCGATTCTGGGAGCCAATCCTCCTTGATATCAAACCTGATTCACATCTATATCTTTAGAGACCTTGGCAACCAATGGTGAAAGAAAATTGTAGAGCTTTGACATTTTATCCCATGACGCTTTGACACACAGCCTGTCACTCAAGAGAGAACACCTGACATTGAACTTGTGTTGTAGAGTATCACAGATAGCTTGCTTGTCTGCTGGTATATAATCCATTAGGTCTGGGGAAATTACGCTGGTCAATGTGTGAAAAATCTGGAAATATTAAACCAGAATACTTTAAAAAATTAATCCCAAAAGCAATGGACAAGCCTGAAACAAATTACAATGCATGACTAAATAAGTAACATAGGAAGAGATTTTGCTGTCAGTGGAATTATATCTCATGTTTATTTTTAAGTGTAATTTATAAATGAACCTTTTTGGGATGAGTAACATTTTGAATGTTGTTTTGACAGTGGTTTTTTCACTAATTTCATTTAATACATTAAATGCATGTTAGAGAAACATAACAACAAGTATATTACAATGACTTTCAACATAATGACAAGTATAACAATGACTATAACAGAGAAATGCAACTATCTAAAACGATAAGTATTCAAGCATGAAGGTGCAGGCCCGTAGCCAGGGGGGGGGGGTTCGCAGGGTTTGGGCGAACCCGCCCCCTGGCCAAAAATTCTTTCAAAATCATGCAGTTTTTCACCATTTTGAGCACTTCTCAAGTGATTTTAGCCATATTTGGGCCAAAATTGTCTAATGTGAACCCCCCTGGAAATTTTTGAAAACTGAACCCCCCCTTGGCAAAACCTGGCTACGGGCCTGAGGTGGTTTAATGAAACCTCTTATAGGTGTATAAGAATGGATGAACACAATATAAGTGAGTTACAAGATCTCTGTATTATCAGAAGCAAAGTAAAGACTAATATAATAGTGATTGTTTAAAAATATTAGCCTTTTAGAAATCAGTTCAAATAGAAATACATGTTTATTATATCACTGTCATATTCCCCATTCCCCGATTGGTCCATGTCCTGCACGTGCCATGTCCTATACATGATTTTGATGATCAGTGAAATGATCAAGCTTTATGTGAGGCAAAACAATGAACATGTTGGCAACTGCCTCACCTATTTAAATTTCTCTCATCCATTTTCAGATATTTGATATGACTATGTGTATACTAAAATGCATCAAAGTTAGAACAAAAAAATTAAATTAGACTCACCTCTCCAGGCCTGTTTATAGACAGTTCACCTGCTCTATGTTTCATTAAGTGTTCAAAATCAAGTCCTCCTTTAAAAACCTTGGTGCAATATTTACAGTGGAAGTGTTCCCTAGATTTATTGCCTTGACAACTTTTCTTACACATCAAGTATGTCAGACCTAGAACATAGAAACATCAGTAAATTAGACCTAGAACATAGAACAATATGCCATAGTAACAACTTAATAGGTCATGGCTGGAACATAGCAACAACTTAATAGGTCATGGCTGGAACATAGCAACAACTTAATAGGTCATGGCTGGAACATAGTAACAACAATAGGTCATGGCTGGAACATAGCAACAACTTAACAATAGGTCATGGCTGGAACATAGCAACAACTTAACAATAGGTCATGGCTGGAACATAGCAACAACTTAATAGGTCATAGCCAGAACATATCTTAATAGGTCATGGCTGGAACATAGCAACAACTTAACAATAGGTCATGGCTGGAACATAGCAACATTAATAGGTCATAGCCAGAACATAACTTAATAGGTCATGGCTGAAAACATAGCAACAACAGTAGGTTGTCAGACCTATATCAAACCACTCAGGAAAGTGCATTAAGCTACATGTACATGTTAATTGTTTCAAACATTTTTCCATAAATCCATACCTTTATGTTTAACACTTCTTGAGGCATGAATTTCCTGTATGTGTTGATCTACGACAGAGACATCTATTGGAGGTGATCGGGGGCAGAGATGACAATGTATATGTGGGACATCAGATCCTGGGATGGTCTTGGTGGAACACGATGTGCAAATCCTCTGTTTCATTCTTAATAGCATCTCATCAAGGGATGTCACTACAAAATCACAGGCCTACAAATATAGAAATAAGTTTCAAAATTATTACTAGAAGTACACACATTTCAGTATATATCAATACTTCGATTCCATAGGATTCCAGGGGATATTGGTATCTATTTATTTATGTATTTGGCATTATATTGGCATTTATTTATTGTGTTGATTTCAATTATGTTTCCTTAATATTTTCAAGAACATGATATGCATTAAATATTACAAGTAATATTCTCAACTACAGCAAATGTAATAAAGAGGAATAATACAGGAAATATTCGAACATGTCTGTATTCACGCCTTCTATAAACTGTAAACAAAGTCAACATTTCATCCGGGGTATATTCGCGAAGAATAACCCTGGTAATATGTGTAATGTGTGAAGTCATAACGCGGGTTGTAATGGCGGACCATAATGAATATTCGAAACATTTATGTGAGTTTTCATGTTCGAATCGTAATATAGACCTCAGAGCAGGGGTAATATCGTCGAATACACCCCTTAGGGATAGGCACAAAAGCTTTTGAACCCCTCACTCCCTTCGGTCGTTTGGGGTACAGAAAACATTTGTGCCTAGCCCTGTGGGGTGTATTCGACAATATTACCCCTGCTCTTCAGTCTATATTTCTTAATTACAACACTTGTATTACAGATTACAGGAAAAATTTCAATTACAGCACATGTAATACAGGTTCCAGGAAATATCCTCAAGTACAGCACATGTATTACAATTTACAGGAATTATTTCAATTACAGCACATAATTACATATAAGACTCTCACCTGCGTTTTCTCCTTTGATTGAGAACATCCAGCTTTACGTGACTCACTAAAATAAGAAACACAAATGGCTGTCAGAAAATAAACATATCAACATAAGCTTTTATAAAGTGCAGATTTGGGGGCACGAATATTTGACCAACTTTATATATGAATGGTACATAAATACTTAAATTCTCTGCCCAATGTATTTACTAGATGTGGTGTCACATATTAAATGCAGATTGCAGAATCAGATTACTTTTTGTACAGAGGTTATCTAGAATATAATCAAGTTACCATGATACTTGGACTTATATAATCAAGTTACCATGATACTTCAGACTTATATAATCAAGTTACCATGATACTTCGGACCTGATACTTCGGACTTCCAATATTAGACCAATTGAAATCCAGCAAACTAGGGCAATAATGATAATCTCTGACACCTACCTAAAGAGAACAAGACAAGGCAATCTTGTTAGGTGGTTCTTGAAGGATTTGCGACTGTTGAATATCTGGGAACACTGTGGGCAATGGAAGTGGGGGCTTCTGGATTCCATGTCCTTTCCATTACATTGAAGCCTACATTGCAAGATGGAAACATCTGAAGAGCAATACATCTCACTTTGTTAATTTTATTCATGATTGAGAAACTGAAACTCTGATTAAATAAGTTCGATGTTTTTATCATTCAATAATAAAAGGTATCGCATATGAGCTATATAATATCTATAGTAAGATAATTGAGTTTTTAGGTATCATGAGATGATGATGCATATTGTATGGGATTATGTAAATATCCATACCTTCACATTGAATGCGGAAGTTCCAGTGTGATTTGAGATGTAAGAGTGCTTTGTTGAGCTTAGTAGGCACGAAGAAGGATGGGGGACAGATTGGGCATTGGTAACTCTTCTTGCGTTTCAGAATGTTTTTTTGTAGCTTAGCAACCAGGTCATCATAACATTTTACAAAAGAGGGGCACTCAAGTCCCTCCATCTGAAAATACAGAAAATACAAATACGGCAGGTGTTGAAGTAATCAATCTGGTAACTAAAGTACTGAACATGTGCATTTATACAGGGCGTATCAAAAAAACGCAATAAGCAGTTATCTCGTAAAATCACAAAACTAGTGATGACTACATCAATTTCATTTAATGTACCATGAAGCCATGTCTAAGCTTAGAGACAAGGGACATCTTGAAGTCTACAAAAAAGTCGAGTAACTTTTTAAATGTCGGAGAGCTTAGTGATAGAAACTTATCGAGAAAATGATAATGTACCTAACCTACAACTGAAAACAATAGGCCTAATAATCTAAAAGGAGCTTCAATAAAACCTTTATTCGACAAAAAATTGTACAAATATTCAAACCTTTTCGAACCGGAAGTATAGGCTCCCTAGTACTGGAAGAAATGAGTGCTTAAAAAATCCCCGGGCGAGGAAATTCTCATATGATTTTACGAAGGCATGCTTCTGTGGCTTCTGTTTCTGTCTTGAAAATCGTATATTCCAATTCGATCATTCGATCATTTCCGATTTCTATTTTCTCTTTTTATTTGTATAAAAGATTTGTTTTAGAATTTCCCGGGATTCATTTAATCTACATTTATTTTTCGGGCCCTATTTTTCGTTCAGAGCTCTAGTACACCAGCTAAGTTCACTTCCGGTGAGAAACTTTTTAAAATTTTCTTAGATTAATTAATGAATTATTCTATCAAAGATCAGTTTAATTTACATTTGAATATATGAATTTTATGAAGATGTGTTTCTTGTTCATCTTACCCATGTGTTTTTTCTACTTTTTCTGCACTTCTACTTTTACTAAATTTTGGAGTAGATCTAGATCTAGGCCAATCTGCATCTGATTCGGTTCGGTTCTATAGCAATCTGCAACTGATTCGGTTCACTTTTGTGCATGCGCAAAAATGAAAGGTGCTTCCCATGATACCTTTCGTTTAAAGCATTCTCCCATTATAGTCCAATTGTAACGACCCTTGATAGCAAGTTGCTACTACGGCCCAGCTGTAGTGGCTTAAGCCTTTATAGCTCAGTCGGTAGAGCATCAGACTTTGGATCCAAGGGTCCTAGGTTCGATTCCCACACGGGGCATTGAATTTAGCACACTTTCTTTCAATTTCTATATCTGGCTTGTTACACTATGCTCGTTAGTTAGTTAGTTAGTCATTCCCCTGGGGCGCCCTCGGGTCATTACATTGGTGTCAGAAGTGGGATCAGAGCATTGGTTGTATCCTTTGCGCCCTTGTGTATATGGTAGTCACTGCTAGGGAAGCAGGGCTGACCACGAGGGCGTGGTCCTTTCAAAGGGGGAGATAGTGTAACGACCCTTGATAGCAAGTTGCTACTACGGCCCAGCTGTAGTGGCTTAAGCCTTTATAGCTCAGTCGGTAGAGCATCAGACTTCGGATCCAAGGGTCCTAGGTTCGATTCCCACACGGGGCATTGAATTTAGCACACTTTCTTTCAATTTCTATATCTGGCTTGTTACACTATGCTCGTTAGTTAGTTAGTCATTCCCCTGGGGCGCCCTCGGGTCATTACACAATCACCATCATCAATGCACCAGACTATCTCCCGTACCGACAAATATTGGTACAGTCTGTTTCATTGCTTCAAAGGCAAGCAGTTGAAGCTGAAAAATAAGAAATCTAAAGACTATTGTGCCATAATATATAGAAAAATATATTCATATTACACACGAATGACATTTGTATATTTCAGATTATTTAGTGTTTACATGGGCTTTCAACTAGAAGGGTAGGCAACATCCCATATTTCATACATAAGCATTGCCTTGGTTTTCAAAATTGAAGAATGTACACATTCCAAGAAAATCTTATTTTGTTCTTTCTATTGATGATTTAAAGAAATAACTCAAAAATAAAGACATGATCTTCTACATACATCTTGATAATTTAATAAAAAATAGAATTCATCATAATTATGACAATACAGAAAGTGAATATTCTCCCACAAATTATGTTTTTATTGGAATGTGTTCTTGAATAATTACCCACAATGCAATACTCAAAGAGAACATCTTGATACCTCTTATTCTTATTGGTCTTTTTTGTTTACTTTCACATGATATTGAATATATTTTATGCTTAAATCATATTGAAAATTGATTTTTATTCAAAATAATACTAAAGCATATATATTTATCAAATACTTTTTGAAATATTACCATAAAAGGGAAGCATGGCATTGCTCATTTTGAAGGTCTCATGTTATTTCATAGAGTTGCATACCTTTCTAATTGAAAGCCCATGGTGTTTAGTGCAATAAGCCTGTGCCCTCTTGTAATTTGAGGTCTATCCGCCATGTTATTTTTTCAGATTTAACCTGTCAGAGAAGCATCAAAATATAAGATATTACAGACTTTATGAGCCAATTTACAAGTAATCCGACATATACAAATGTCATTCGTGTGCAATATGAGGATTGAGATGTTCTCTTGTAATTTGAAGTCTAATATAAGAGGTTGCAGACTTTATAATATAAGCCAATTTACAAGCGATCCAAGATATACAAATGTCATTCGAGTGCAATATGAATATATTTTTCTATACATTATTGCACAATAGTCTTTAGATTTCTTATTTTTCAGGTTCAACTGCTTGCCTTTAAAGCAGTGAAACAGACTGTACTGGAGACTGACCAGTGAGTATTTGCTTGGGTACCGACATATGTTGTCATTCTATCGTCACCTTGTTGGGCCAGATAGAGTACCGACATAATGTTGGCTCGCAAGTGGCCCCTTTGTGGATTTTCTAGAGAACCGAACTTTTCGAAAAGAAATCCACTACTCTTACTTAGCTGGATACCAATGTCAAAAGTTACCTGACTAAGAAACTGAGTTTCAAATTGATTTCTGTAATAACTTGAAACAATCTTCTTATTTATTCCACAAATGTATGCAAATCCTACAAAACACATTTAGAAATAATGTATACCAGTAGATTTTGTTAGATTCATTAAATTTGTTCCATTAATTCATCCATATTACTCAGGAAAAATGCACAGTTTTAAATTCGCGATTTTACATTCACACAAATACAGGCGAAATCACTTTCCTTGCGAATTTAGCATGTTTTACAGTATTAAGCAGATCCAAAGACTTTTGGTCGGTTCTCTATTACAGTAGATCCTATTACTACGGGAGTGGCTTCAGTGCCGACATTTGGTTCTCTAGCCTATCCAACAAGGAGGGGCTTAAGTGCCGACATTTATTTGCCGGTACTCTAGCGAACCCACATAGCACAGTCTCCCGTACCGACAAATGTCTGCACTCTAGGCGACGCCTTAAAATTATTAAGGAATTTAGGACTATCCTAACATGTTTATCCATGATCCCAGGTAGTTATTTAAACCTACAATAATCCATTATACACTTTTGTACTAGATCGTACATCTAAAATCAGTACTGGTCATGTTGTGTGTTGAATGTTAAAGTATGATGATGGACTGTGGCGCCAAATACGGAAAAATTAAATGTATGGGCGAAACATATTAAATGAAATAACTTTGCCAGTTGTAGATTGCCCTTAGTGAGATTTTGGGTCTGACCTGACTACAGTCTGTTAAAATTTACTTCATAGTGACCAGTTGAACTTAATAAATAAGAAATATAAAGACCATTGTGCAATAATACATTCATACTATACAATATATATATTCCTATTGTACATGTGAATGACATTTGTATATCTTGAATTGCTTCTAAATTGGCCTATAAAGTGTGCAGCCTCTTATATTTTGATTCTTTTCCACCATGTTAATTCTGAAAAAATTGAAAAATTAACATGGCTGATAGACCTCAAATTATAAGGGGCACAGTCTTATTGCACTAAAAACTCAATAATATGAAATATACAAATGTCATTCGTGTGCAGTATGAATATGTTTTTCCATATATAATTGTGCAATCGTCTTTAGATTTTTTTTTTAGGTTCAACTGGTGACTATGAAGTAAATTTAACAGACTGTAAAGAAGAAGCTTATTGCCAAAAAATAAAGTATCAAATATAAAATACCACGCTGCTGAAAAATATGGAAAAATATATTCATATTATACACGAATGACTTTTGTATATCTTGGATTACTGGTTTGGGTAATAGACAGGGCCGTCAAGTGTCCTGCGACTCGCTGGATTTTCCTGAGAATTTGATTAAAAGTAGGCATGATCGCAGGTCTCGCAATGTCCTGCAAAAGTTTAGGCCTTCAAATTTCCCAAATTTCTGCAATATAATAATTTATTCAAATTAGGCTTAAATTAGGCGTGGCCCCCGAATCCCTTCATATGTCCCACGAAATCCCTTCTAATTCCAAAAATTCCTGCAACAAAATATTATTTCGAAGTAAAATGGATGCATTACATTTTTGTTTAGGCTCGTTAGTCATCTCTTATTTCAATATTTATTGTACCTGCACATGTTATTTTCTGGTAAAAAATAAAGTACTATAGATACGCTACTTAATTTTGGCAGATTTGCTCAATTTCAAATATTGGCAGCTGTTTAATTTGGCGGAGTCAGGTCTGAGCTCAACTATTGTCATTGATCTGGAAATAAGCATTTCAGATTCATGTGTTCTACTTACTGTAAGTTCTGTTATAGCACTGACATCCAAATAGAAATATCCCAAAAAAAGCAAAATTAAGTGAATCTACAGTATGAAGGCATTTGTGTATTTCTTTGCTTTTTCCAGGAAAGTAAACTGGTCAATGGTAACTCCAGTGTTCTCCAGAAACTTTCAGAAAAAATTTGGAAAAATAGAAACCATGCAATATCAGCATTTCCTGGTGTTACCATTGATTCATTACCAGGTTTACTAAAAGAAGATAATATAATAATACTTTCCTGAAAAAAGCAAGGAAATACACACATGCCTTCATACTTTATTTCACCCCCCCCCCCCCCATCTAAGTGTGAAAATATAAATTAAAGTGTCTCAAACGTCTCTCAACAACTGTATGTCATGCCGTAAAACAAAAAAATTTGAAATATTGAATTGGAGTTGTAGTTATAATGTCAGAGTATTTACTGATGTCACAAGTTGTACCTTTCAACCACTTTTAATATCAAACTCTCAATTCTATGTTTTATTTGAGCCTAATGCTTGTAATACTACTAAGATATACTGTTACATGTTACAGCACTCCTGAACTTGACAATAGGGTCACAATGCCACGCCAACGAACCAATATAAAGAAAAAGGTATGTTCTCAATAATATTTTCTGCATATGATTAAATAACTGTAGTTATGGTTCAAATTCGTGCATGGTTTTATAACTTTAAGAGTTATGGTTCAAATTTGTGCATCTGGTTTGAAGGAGATGATCACTGATATGTTGCCATGCTGTATTTCAGTTAATAGGTCCCTCGCTGGAGGAGATCATGATGAAGTTAATAGAGGAAACAGTCTGTGTGTGTGCACTTATAGCTGTCCCGCACGTACACTGTCCATTCTGCGTCTATTCACCGCCCTTTGACGTCCCCATTTTTGGAAAACACTTACAGGAAGAACATACGCCAAAAGTGAATGAAAATGAAGGTAAGGAAATACATTTTGCAACTGTTGATTGTATGGATATTACCAGAACAGCACTGTATCAACTGACTAATACAGTAGTTCAGTACCATCGTAATTCATTTCACTCATTGAATGACTTGCAAAGCATGGGGATCATTTCTACTCGTATCGAGTAGCTTATATTCACGAATGCATCTTTCAGTCAACCTTGTAGCTAGGGGCTACAGTGTTGATTGCAATTTGATGGCAAGCTCATTTAAATATGAATAGTACTAGCCATGTATCCCAGTAGCTGCAACCTATTGCGTCAATTCCAATCGCTGATCTAAATAACAGGTTAATGTGCTGTTTTAGCAACAAGTAACAATGATCTATGATCTGTTCGCTAACTCAACTGAGCGGCTTTATTATAATTGATCATAACAGTGGCATAAAAAATCATGCCATCACTGATCACTGTTCGTCAACTTAATATCCCAGTATCATGATTCGTTAAATCAACTTCAAAATGATGGGCTGATTTATGAAAATTAATATGTTAGTCCGGTAGCCAACAGCCAAAAGTTGCATCTGCGAATACTGGTAAATATATTCAGTTAATTTTTAGTATTTGGAAGCTAGTCTCACATAATAGGATTACTACTTTTTTTAATGAATAAAAGTACCACTGGTACTTGCTATTGTAATAACAGTACCACTAGTATTTGGTCACAGAATAACAGTACCACTATTACTTTCTCATAGAATAACAGTTCCACTAGTTCTTGCTCACAGAATAATAGTACCACTAGTACTTGCTCATGGAATAAAAAACCCACAGGTGACTGGTACCTGCTCATAGAATAATAATACCACTCATATTTCCTTTAAGAATAAAAGCACAAATGGTGCTTGCTAACAGAATAATAGTACATCTTGTACTTTCTTAAAGCATAATAGTACCGCTGGTACATGCTCACAAAATAAGAGTACTATTGTTACTTTTCCGCAGAGTATTAGTACCACTGGTACTTCCCACACATGGTGAGGTTGGTTTATTAAAAGAGATTCATTTTGAAGACCACAAGATATTTGCAAAACTTTAATTTATTTGAACAATCACATTTTTACAAGTTGATAGTTAAAACACTTTGGCATAAAAATAACAAACACTTGAAAAACACAGAGATATTTCCCCAAATAAGTTCTTCTCATATCTGGTGAAAAAACACATTTTGTTCATGTGTCACATATTTTCAACAGTGTTTGACTTCAGTTTAAGTACTTTTCTCATCCCAATTCTAAAGTTTGTCGATCTGACAGCATAAATAATAGGATTCATTCCAGAGTTGATGATTGCAAATATGTACGATATAAACATTCCCATGTACACGGTGTCATAGTCTAACCAATCAAATTGAATGGCTGTGAGGAAAACAACCAATGGTGTCCAACATACCTCAAATAAGCCAATCACAATTAGAGGTGTCTTTACGAGTTTGAAATTCATTTTGGCGATGTTTGACCTTGATAAAGTGGCTCCATTTGTTGTTTGCATTTTGTTCTGTTGCGTTTTTGCCGTCATGAATATGCAACTGTAGATAACGATCTGTGGTATTAGAACTAAAATGTATAAGACGCCAAACGTCTTCATCATAAATTCAGGTATAGTTGCGTACTTTGCACAATGCAAAATTGCTTGCTCCGGGTTGCTCTTAAATTGAAAGGTAATATCAATCACTATTGTTAAATAATATAGGACACAGAGTAACCATATTGCACATGATGTCATAATAGCTCTTTTATTTGTCATAATCGTCTGATATCGAAGTGGCCAAAATATTGCAATAAATCGGTCAATAGAAACCATCAGTAGAAAATGAAGTGATGCGAAAAATGGTATTGTAATTAGTAGTGGGTTAATCAATTGAAATGCAAAACTGCATATTAGTTCTAATGGCACATATCTCACAGGCAGCAATATTAAACAAGCCAAGCCAGTTAATTCATCCGCAACAGCTAAGTGTATAATAAAAATATTGGCCACTGTTCGTAATGGAATGTATGTTCTATATGTGACAATGACTAGCGTATTTCCCATCACTATCCATAAAGCTACCACTGTTTCAAGTATCATCATTAAAACCAAACCTGTATCATTTATTGGGAGGTTTGATAAAATCGTTCTTGAACTGTTGGTTGTAGATGTTGACCCATTCATACCTAATTGTTATGCATAGCACGCTGAATCTCAGCTGAAGGTAGTCAAGTTTTTATTCCAATTTGATTTCCATTTCATATTTCATGAACTTTCAGGACCTGTGTTCTTACAAAACACTTTCTCATATCCAGAGCTGTTAGTTCATGCATTGTCATACAAATATTGCATTCCTTTAGTATTAATGAGTATTCCTATCCTAATCACATGTATTCCAAAGGTTTATTTTCATGCTCTTAACTTATCTTGCCTAATAGTGCTAAGTGTGTTTACTCTGAGTGCTTTAAATCTTTTTGTTTCAGTGCATTAATGGCATTAATTATGCAATCCCATTAGCAATATCTGTAACATTTGTGACTAATGGAACTTGTTAACATCAATCTATTTTTGAAATTGATTTTCTAAAGTGGTTGTGTGTGGGATATATGTTGCCATACATGCAATGGAGCTCATGTAATGATGTAATATCCCTTTTTCTAATATCCCTTTCTATGTTGTTGCTGTGTTCCTGCTCTGCCCTGTTGTTGTTGCTATGTTCCAGCTCTGCCCAGGTTGTTGTTGCTATGTTCCAGCTCTGCCCCTGTTGTTGTTACTATGTTCCAGCTCTACCCTGTTGTTGTTGTTGTTGCTATGTTCCAGCTATTGTTGTTGCTATGTTACAGCTCTGCACTGTTGTTGTTGCTATGTTCCAGCTCTGCCCTGTTGTTGTTGCTATGTTCCAGCTCTGCCCTGTTGTTGTTGTTGTTGTTGCTATGTTCCAGCTCTGCCCTGTTGTTGTTGTTGTTGCTATGTTCCAGCTCTGCCCTGTTGTTATTGCTGTGTTCCTGCTCTGCCCTGTTGTTGTTGCTATGTTCCAGCTCTGCCCAGGTTGGTGTTGCTATGTTCCAGCTATTGTTGTTGCTATGTTCCAACTCTGCCCTGTTGTTGTTGCTATGTTCCAGCTCTGCTGTGGTGTTGTTGCTATGTTACAGCTCTGCACTGTTGTTGTTGCTATGTTCAAGCTTTGACATTTAGTTGTTGTTACTATATTCTGGCTCAATCCTATTGTTGCTATTATGTTCCAGCTCTGACCTATTGTTGTTGTTGATATGTTCTACCTCCGACCTATTGTTGCTGTTGCTATGTTTCAGTCCTGACCTATAGCTGTTGTTGCTATGTTCCAACTCTGACCTACTGTTGTTGCTATGGTTTAGCTCTGACCTATTGTTGTTGCTATGCTTTAGCTCTGACCTATTGTTGTTGCTATGCTTTAGCTCTGACCTATTGTTGTTGCTATGCTTTAGCTCTGACCTATAGCTGTTGTTACTATGTTCCAGCTCTGACCTATTGTTGTTACTATGTTCTAGGGCTGACTTACTTGATGTGTAAGAGACAGTGCCATGGGGGAACAACTTCTGGTCACTACCATTGCAGACAATGCACCAAAGTATTCAATGGCAAACTTGATCTGAAACATATAGAACATCATCGAAGAGATGATCTGTCTCAGAACAGACCTACAAAGGTGAGATTTAGTAATACCTGCAATCTGCATACTGCAAAACATGTTGAATTCATTCATGTAACATGAATTCTGAATCAATTTTTATTGTGTGTCTCGAATTTGAGAATTTTCCATTAGTCCTAATCTAAATTGTTATATAGTTTTTGTAACATGGGCAGAGTAAGAGATATTAGGGGTTGACAAAAGCAACATGTATAATTGAACTACTGAATTGCTTACCACCTCGCATACCTATATCTCCCAAAAAAACTGTGATATCTTATCACCAAGTTAAGTTTTTAAGATTAATGGAGAAATGTATGTGAAATATATATAATAATATTGTAAAATATAATATGTGAGATATGCCAATTACTCTGAATTAGTACAAAATTAGTACTAAATTAGCACTCTGGAAAAAACGCGCTCATGAGCCCTCATGCCATGACTGCTAATTTAGTACTAATTTTGAACTAACTGAGTACTCAGCATATGTAATGAAAAATCAATGAAATTAGCTCTATATTATCACTCATCATATGAGTAGTCATTTAGTACTAAAAATGCAATAAAACAGTACTCATGTCATAGTTGTTCATTTAGCACTAGTATTTACTGAAATGAGTACTCAATTAGCGCTCAAATGCCATGAGTACTGTTTTAGTACTCAGCATATCTCCCTGTTTAATTGTACCAAAAAAAGTAATTAAACTCACTCTGACTCATTCTCTGAAACTTTCTTGCATTGTTACTTGTTTTTCTATTTGGCTTTTAATTGATATCAGACTTCATAAAAAAACAGCCAGATTTGGTTATGTAGAATGATGAACCCATCTCAGCGGAAAAGCCAGGCTCTAAATAAAGTGAGGCATAAATAAGGCAAAGCTTCAAAACAATATCAATATACAGCTAAATGTTAATTAGTATGACAAAAAGAGCACTGGACTGAGGGAAACTATGGTGTTTATTTCCAGGTATTTCATACATTGACCAGCGTAATTTCCCCAGACCTAATGGAGTATATACCAGCAGACAACCAAGCTATCTGTGATACTTTACAACACAAGTTCAATGTCAAGTGTTCTCTCGTGAGTGACAAGTTGTGCGTTGTGAAAACAACTTTGGAGAAAATGTCGAAGCTCTACAATTTCCTCTCACCATTAGCTTCTGAGAAATCTAAAGACATCGATGTGCAAAAGGTTTGATATAAATCTCAAATAAACAGTATTAATAGAATATATCTAAATGCCTGGCTAATCTGAACACCTTCCAATCTGAACATCTTTTTCGGTCCCCAAACGGTGAACAGTCATATTTGAAAAATAAACCTGTCTAATCTGAACATATTTCTTCAAAATCCAGAATTTTTTAAATGTTAAAACATCAAAATGTGTACACCTCCAAATATAAATGCTTTGAGCCAGTCACAATGGTTTTGGGATTAGTCAGGCTTTACTGTAATAGTAAGAGCGATATTTATTTTTCTATTACATTATTTAACTGTAACTATCCTCAGTATTTATATGTGAATAGATCATGAGTAATACGAGAGGAATGAAAATTGTAGTCTCTGTTATGATTACACTGGACTTATAAGCATGATACATTCTTAATGAAAACCTCAATATCTTTTGATTTGCAACATTGACTTTTGGCCTTATGACTTTACTGTTGACTGCTTCAGGTACTATCTCGTTTGTCAAGTTTACTAATGTATACAATGATTCAAACATTTGAAAACCTCAATGAAGAATGATTTGAATGATTTGAAGTGCAATGCAGGATATATTCTGCTCGAGAAATTCCGTATTGGAACCAGACAAAGTCGAGTGCCAATACTGAATATGGAGAGCAGAATATATCCTGTATTGTACTTGAAATCATTCTATAACATTTTATCGTGTGATCCTCTGGATTGCTACTGAGTGAGAATGTCCCCTCTGTACCAATATTTTCTGTATTGCGACAGAGATGATCAATGGGGACAATCTTAATAGCAATACAGATTGGTACAGCAAAAGCACTGACCAATCAGAGGGCTTCCTTTTACTAATCATATGATAAATGTTTTTACTTATCTACAATTCTTTCCAGGTTGAATCCATATTCCAGGGATTCTCAAGCGCAAACATGTCAGCTGGGCAAACTAACCCTGAAGTAGAGCAGGGTAACAATTCCCGAGATGTGCAGAGTACCAATACCCAAATAGTGCAGGATGACAATTCCCAAATAGTGCAGAATGACAATACCCAAATAGTGCAGGATGACAATACCCAAATAGTGCAGAATGACAATACCCAAATAGTGCAGAGTACCAATACCCAAATAGTGCAGAATGACAATACCCAAATAGTGCAGAAAAACAATGCTCAAATGGTGAAGGGCAGTAATGAAACACTAAACATCACTTCGCCTTTTGTTCATGAGCAGCATTCAACTGAAAGTGATGGACCTGTCAAGTCTATTGAGATTGAAAAAACAAATTTACCAAAGAGCAATGATGTGGGAAATATTGGTATATCCGATTCCTCATTGAAACGATTAAGTTCTTCATTGAAAGAAGCACATAAGTTGATACGTGTAAGGATACGCTTGAAGGACTGTATGAAAAGTAAGTCACCAGGAGAGAGTATACAACCAAAGAAACTCAAACTATCTAGAACTTTGAGAAAATCTTCTAGAATAACACGTCCTAACACGCGTTACTCTAAACATGTCAAGATTAGTGAGAAAGTCAGTGAAAGGGCGATCCAGGACCAGCCGCGGGAAGAGAACAGTACAAAAGGTTTGAAAAATGATTCTCAAAACATACAAACTAAAGATGAAGTTAATACAGATGACTGTGATATGGATGATAATGATTATGCTATGGATGATATTGATGACAATGTTAACAATGGAGATGAAGATGTTAATGAAGTTGATAAAGAGCCTGAAATTAATGGGGATAGAAATACTGATGTTGGTGATAGTACCAACATTGATAAGGAAGAAAAGAGTTGTGCTGTTGATGAAAATGTAGATGAAGGTGTTAATAATGATAGACTTGATACCCAAATGAATGAAAATGACGATGCTGATGGAATGATTTCTGATGATGAAATTCTTACATTTGAAGAAGAAAATGGAAACATGAAAATGGTGTTTCAAATAGACAAACTAAAACAAGTTGAAGGCAAAGAAAATAATACTAAAAAAGAAAAACTTGACGCTAAAAAACGCTGGCCCTGTGATTTATGTGGTAAAAGGTTTACAAGGAAAGAGCAAGTGAAAATCCACAAGAGAAGACAAGTGTGTACCCGTCCTCCAAAACCAAAAAGTGTAAGAAAGCGACCACTTCCCGAGAAAAGAACTTGTCCCTTATGTTGCAAGGAAGTGTTTTACTTAGACTTACATTTAAAGAGAAAGACTTGCCAAAAGTAAACCCCTGAAGATTATAAGTGTATATGTACAGCCTGCGGCAAAGGTTTCATAAATGAAAACCTGCTCAGTCAGCATTACCGTTACACACATGGACCAAATAACAAGTCCCTCTGTCCTGAATGTGGTAAGAAAGTCTGGACTAAGAATCTAGCCGCTCATCTACGGGAAAGGCATCACAAAGGTCGTAAGGAGATGCACATGTGTCAAGTTTGCGGAACATTTTACACAAGAAAAAGCTCGTTGAATTCACACATCTTGAAAGAACATACTGAAGGTTACGACAGATATATACACAAATGTAAAGAATGCGGTAAAGGGTTCCAAAATGCCTATTATCTTAAGGGTCATGTTTTGACCAATCACAGTGATAGCGAGCCTACATTCCAGTGTCATAAATGTGGGAAAAAATTCTTTCAACGGTAAGTATAGTATTAATGTAATTTGAAGGAACTGGACAAAGCTATTAAGGAAACAAGAATATTCCATCAATGTTGTCAAATTATTCCAAAATCAAAATTAGTGGGTTGCGTGTACTATGTAGTATGTAATGATTATTTCCCTAGATTTATTTTCATACATTATATTTGAAATGATGATGGCCATTTTAGCTCACTTAATTGAATTTCTGTGTTATAGACCTAGTATACATACAAGGTATTTTAAAAGATGACAAACTGTTCGTCCTTTGTGCACAATTATAAAAGTATAAAGATATCTATTAAATGCTGAATGGTAAAGGCAAGTCACAAAAATGATGGTTATTGCAATACAATGTCAACACATCTTGCTTTGGACATAATAACAATTTTCTCTTTATTTCAGGCATACTCTCAGCAACCACTTCAAGCAAAAGCATTTAGCCTCATATTTGAAGTGTAGACTCTGCCACAGTGGTTTTAACAACAAAGCATTGCTGCATAATCATTTCTCAAAAAAACATAATGCTCAATTTTCTTGGTCCGAGTTCATTCAAGGATACCATTCGTGTAACCAGTGTGGCAAACTTTGCACGACAGAAGATCAACTAAAAAAACATTTGAAGAAATGCCAGGAGGTACACAAAACAGGAAGTGATGAGGGCGCCACTGTCCAGCACCATGACAACGTAGTAGAGACCCAACTAGAATACGAAGAACAATCAGAAAAATATATTTGTGCTATTTGTCATGCTATGTTTGATACCAAAGAGGAAGTAGATCTACACTTAGTAACTCATAATTATTGAGGTTTATAGTTGAGCTGCCAATACAAAGTGAAACCATGAATTTTGTGCATTTTGTATGCAATTTTTTTGTGTTACCTTCTTGGGTTAAACTCCAACTATAGAAGTATTGATGAATTAATGTTTACCTCTATTTAAGAAAGGCCTTGTCAATGTTGAAGTTCAATTACAGGGTGGGCCAATAAAAACTGGAACATTTTCCTATTTATTCTATTCTCTTTATTTTTGCAGTTCGATCCACAAAAATTCAGATACTTAATGTAAGATGATTATTAATTTTGTGAAGACTTTTGTGGATTGAACTGCAAAAATAAAGGGAATAGAATTAATAGAAAAATGTTCCAGTTTTTATTGGCCCACCCTGTACTGTAAATAGTTATGTAAATAGTCACCAGTACTATTAGACCACTCAAACAACAGTTGTATTTTATAATTATTGTATTTATTTGTATGTTCTTGTACATACAGATCTGTTTTAGAAAATAAATGGCAACTCCACAGAGTAGCAAATCACAACAAACAAATTATTCAAATCTGATATTTCCAAATGTACACCTTTCTAATATGTGAAGAAAGGAAAATCTATTCATTTGGATTTGAGTTGTCATAAGTTAGAAATGCGATTTGAGCCATTACAATTTTTGAAATGAATAGTATTTATGAAAAAAGAATTTACAAGGAGACAGACTGATAGATGGCTATTGGACAAATGGGTGGCTTTCCTATATAGATCAGTGACGTAGCCAGGAAGAAAAAGCAATGAGGCGAAAAATATTTCCAAACCTTGCCTCGCTTGCCTAACAATAGAAGAACACGATGATAACCCTTACGTAATGAGATTGTTCACAATTGAATCACAAATTGATGATTTAAGATTAAAAATCTGTAAAAGCTATACAATTAATTTACAACTCGTCATTGCCAGGGGAATATTTCTCAAAGGATGTTAAAAAGGGGACAAGGCAAGTGCCTCGTCTGCTTCATCCTGGCTACGCTAGAGTAGTTAACCAATTGGATTTCATAGGTCGGGAAATTATCAATTATAAAGTATACAATGTGTATATATTATTGGAATAGCATTCTCTCTTCTCGCAATAAAGCAATCAAATGCCTTTGAACATAATTATGAATGAATAAAAGTTGTTATGTTTATTTGGGAAATATTGTATGGTCCTAATACTGTCTAAAGCTAATTCCTTGCAAATATCATTTAATAGAATAAACTAGACTTTATCACTATGACCATTAGTGAAAAATTACATGTTATAAAAATCCAATGAAAAAGTGTATAAGACCAAGAAAAAGTTTGACCACAAGTGACCAACAAATTCTGTATTTGATAATACATTGCCAGACTGTAGACAATGGCTGTGCATTTAAAAAAATATAATCCTCATCATACTGTTCAATTACATCAGCTTATGCCTTTAGCTCCTTTGTCAGATTTGGGATTGTCTGTTTCAAGTTTGTAGCCATTAGGATAACGTCTTTTGAATCTCATGACAACATCAGGCTCCACCAGCTTCACACCATCTACCTGGTTGCCCAATGTCACCCTGGAATGTTAATACAGGTAATAAAAAATACATGCATAGATACATGAGATATATGCAAACAAAAATACATGTACAAGTCTCATGTGGGTATCATCTGTTGGGCATTATGACATCATGATGCACAATCAGATGAACTCAGTGAGGCTTACATGGCGAAAAAAGCTGAATTCTCGAAAACAAGACAGATACAAGCTAGAACCAATGGTTTGAAATTACGACAAGCATAGAACCCATAAACTGGTTTTAAATAAGAACCTACCAGTTAGGCTGTACATTATGAGGCCGTCCAAACAGTTCTATTTTCCTTGTCCCAGGAGACAGCCTTTCTATAATTCCATAAACTTCATCAGGTTTGTGACTGGTTGCTCTCACCTCCGCCACAATGACATCACAATCTAAGCCACGATTTGTAATATTCTTTGGATTTCCTTTGACACCAATCTACAAGGTATGATAAATGATACAACATTGTACATTTGAGTTCTTTTATTACAAAAAAATATGTTATTGCACAATTTGTCTAGCTGTTGTAAAATAAGCTTGCTTACTCTTGTCCAATGGAATTGTTGACCTGAATAGGACTATTATTATAAGGATTCATGTTTCATTAACAAAAGGGACTAAAGGGGGTAGAGTTGAGCTGAAAGAAAGTTATGAATTTGAAAAATGTCACTATTTTACAATATTATTTGTTTTTGTCTTTTCATGTCACATCTATTTCCTAAAAAGTTGAATGGTTCTGAACTTATTTTGAGATAACTTCCAGATGTGTAGTCTTTACTACAATACTAAAGTATATTGTATGAACATGTCAATGATAGATTCATGATCAATTTTTATTATATTTACCAGACAATGTTCCTTGCCATGGTTGAACCAATGTCCTGTTCTTCCCGTCCTGATAATTCTTTGTAATTGGTTGGTTTTTACCCAGATCAGCTCATCACATCTCTCATAACTAAAATTGTAGAAAAAGTAATGAAATATAGTTGATGAACCTAATGAAAAAACTTAACAACAAATTCTCGGAGAACATCTCACTTAATCTGTTAATGGGAAACGTGTCAGCTATGATTCAAGATTACTGTCATGTACTGTAAAACATAAAATGGCACATGGATCAAGATTTTTCAAAATTTGGATCATATAGAAATGAGTCACATAAAATGAACATTGTCTCGGACTATATGTTACAATGTGAAACATAAATAAACTAGATAACTCATCGTATGTAAAATACCATAAACGTGCCTACCCCCAAAGTTTCATACACTCTCTACCCAACTCCATAGCTCGGCCTGTGACCCATAAGAACAGATATCCATCATCTTGGAGATACGGCACTGCCATCCGCCTCATCTCATCATCAGCCATTGTGCCATAAGGCAGCTCCATATGAATGTCCCATGGGGGATCAGCCATTATCACAGCAAACTTGCCTAACACTTTCATGTCGAAGAACCTGAGATCACATTGCACCCACTGGAACAAGAATAGTCTATGATAATGAAGTGCAGAGCATGTACATCATATTTGGCACTTCATGGCTGAGCCTTCACTTTGAAAAAATAGTTACTGATCTTCATCTCCAATTCTTTAATATTTCTGTTAAGGGGGATGTTTCAAGAAGATTTTCTTTAAGAAACCATCACAACATACTTAAATTATCTAAAATATTTAGCAGATAAAATGATGTTGCTGTGGCTACTAAAAGGATGGATGTTGCCATGGTTACCTGGTGAGGAATCATTCTGATGTCATTGGTGCTAACAGGTTCATCAGGGCCTCGTACAGGGATAGTTTTAGCAACAACCTGTTTTTCTGACTCTGGGGGGTCAATTTCATAGTGAACATACTGAAACAAGAACACAAATGTGTACAAAATGTCCCCACCAATGGGTGATCCCATGAAATGGTTATCCTGAAAATGAGTAGACAAGACTTTACCAACACAATTTGAGGACGGAAAATCCAAAATGCCCACCTTAAAATTTACCCAGAATGCCAAAAATTTAGTCAGTTCTAGATTTTCAAACTAAGAACCATCCCTGAAAATTTTTAATTGATCCGTCACACAGTTAACTAGAAAACATGTAAACAAGACTTTACAGACAAGATTTTAGGATGGAAAATCCAAAATGGCTGCCTTGACATTTACCCAGAATGTCAAAAAACTAATCTGTTCCTAGATTTTCATACTAAGAATCATCCCTGAAAATATGACATCGATCTACCAAATGGTTCACCTGAAAACGCGTAGACAAGACTTTACAGACAAGATTTTAGGACAGAAAATCCAAAATGGCTGCCATGACATTTACACAGAATGTCAAAAAACTAATCAGATGTAGATTTTCACACTAAGAATCATCCCTGAAAATTTGAAATTGATCTACCAAACGGTTCACCTAAAAACGCGTAGACAAGACTTTACAGGCAAGATTTTAAGACGGAAAATCCAAAATGGCTGCCTTGACATTTATCCAGAATGCCAAAAAACTATTCAGATCTAGATTTTCATACTAAGAATCATCCTAAAAATTTGAAATTGATCTACAGAACGGTTCACCTGGAAATGCATAGACAAGACTTTACAGACAAGATTTTAGGACAGAAAATCCAAAATGGCTGCCTTGACATTTGCCCAGAATGCCAAAAAACTAATCAGTTCTACATTTTCATACTAAGAATCATCTCTGAAAATTTGAAATTGATCTACCAAACGGTTCACCTGAAAACGCGTAGACAAGACTTTACAGACAAGATTTTAGGACGGAAAATCCAAAATGGCTGCCTTGACATTTACCCAGAATGCCAAAAAACAAATCAGATCTAGATTTTTATACTAAGAATCATCCCTGAAAATTTGAAATTGATCCACCAAACGGTTCACCTGAAAACACGTAGACAAGACTTCACAGACAAGATTTTAGGATGGAAAAATCCAAAATGGCCGACAATAAAAAAGTGATAATGTGTTTTTGCTGATTTCTTCTTACAAAATTATCACATATAACTACTGTTAACAATAACATAGGCTTTTACAACAAAGTACATCTGAAATTATTTATAAAGCTACTAAATAGTTAAAGTATGAAAACTCAAAAACACCATTCAATATGATACAAAGTATTATCGTGCGCTAACTTTTCTTAAGACATTCAAAATGGCTGACATGACTGAGCTAACAGGTCCAAAACCTAATCAGATCTAGAATGAAGTGAGCTGAACAAGATGTTAAAGTTTTAAAAGCAACTGTGAAGCCGTTTTTCTTAAAGTTTGCAGACAAGGATTTTAGCATTTGACTTCAAAATGGCCGACAGGAAGTAGGTATCGAGTTAAAATTTTTTCATCCACATCTGTATGCACTCATAAGTTATCCCTGAAAATTTGAAGGTGATATCTGTAGCGGTTTTGGAGAAAACTCCCGGACGTACGGACAGACGGACAGACGGACGGACGGACGTACGGAAGGACAGACGGACGCGCCTAGGCCGACAATATGGCCCCACACTATGTGGTGGGACATAATAAAAGAGCAATGGTGGACTTGAAAAAGACAAATACATGTACATAGCTATATGTTGGCAATTTTTTTCTAAATATTGTGAAGTCTAGTATCCATGGAAACTAATTATTTATTGCTTTTATTTTGAAAAGATCGAGCAGTTTTTGGGAAGTAAAAATTGTAACGAATAACCGATCTTTAAGATGACCCTCACCTTGCATGTGTCCATATGGAAACATGTGTTTAAGAATGAGCAATCCCCTAATTGTTCATCAGTGTGTTTGTGTAATATCTTTCTAAAGTGGAGTTTATTGCAGTCCCTCCATGCCTTATTCTCCTCTCTACACTCAACTCTGGTGCCATGTGCACAGAACTCCTTCAATTGAGGCCCACCCTGAGATTTGAACTTCTCAACTAAAGACTTTTCCTGAAATATTTAACATTTGAATTTAAATTCATACAGTTGGAGTAAAATTTAGAATATTTTTGCTTGCTTCATTCCTTGAATTCCTACTACAATTGTAAGGAAAACATTGGCATTATTTTTCAAGATTGCTTTCAAATTGTAACTTTTCTTGCAACATAATGTTTTAATTCATTACACCTATTATTAATGGACAGTGAGACTTCATTGTATCAATATGTATCATTGGCCAGTACTGGAGTATAACTTACATTAGCTGTGGGCTTACTGAGTAAAGCTAGGATCTCATCTGTGTATTATAATATATATCATTGCAATAGTATAACTATAGTATAACTTACATTAGCTGTGGGCTTACTGAGTAAAGCTAGGATCTCATCTGTGTATTATAATATATATCATTGCAATGGTATAACTATAGTATAACTTACATTAGCTGTGGGCTTACTGAGTAAAGCTAGGATCTCATCTGTGTATTATAATATATATCATTGCAATGGTATAACTATAGTATAACTTACATTAGCCGTGGGCTTACTGAGTAAAGCAAGGATCTCATCTGTGTATTATAATATATATCATTGGAATAGTATAACTATAGTATAACTTACATTAGCTGTGGGCTTACTGAGTAAAGCAAGGATCTCATCTGTGTATTATAATATATATCATTGGAATAGTATAACTATAGTATAACTTACATTAGCTGTGGGCTTACTGAGTAAAGCTAGGATCTCATCTGTGTATTATAATATATATCATTGGAATAGTATAACTATAGTATAACTTACATTAGCTGTGGGCTTACTGAGTAAAGCAAGGATCTCATCTGTGTATTATAATATATATCATTGGCCAGTTCTGGAGTATAACTTACATTAGCTGTGGGCTTACTGAGTAAAGCTAGGATCTCATCTGTGTATTTCTTGTTTTCCATCTCCTTTGCTGACTCTTTTAGGAGAAGGCTCTAAACCAATAAGAAATATTTCATAATTCTATTACAGGCGGTGCAATATAAAAACACAAACAATGATTTTTTAAAGATTTCCCCCTAATTTGTTTAGTAGTCTGCAATCTCAATAGATATGTCATCTGAGGCCTACCACATTTAATTATAAATGTTACCAGAAGACTATGTAAGGAAATTATATATCTACCATACATTGTACATAGAAATAAATTTTTCGAAGAAAGTTAAAATTTTAAAAGTTGATAAAAACAATTTCCGAAAATATACTATTGGTATAATTTTGTCATTTCCCCCTCAATTTGTTATTTCAATGGATTCTCAACCATGGCCTGCCATTTTCAATAACATGTTTTTGCACAATTCCTAACTTGTCAGACAACCATGTAAGAACATTAGAGAAGGCTGTGATATCTCACGATGATGTAAGAAAGGTTGGCAAGATATCAAGTCCTAAGACTGCTAAGAGTCAGGGTGTGTCACATAGTTTTAGACATCTTATGTATGCATGCCGAAAAAGTATGCTGGTCCAGGCCAAAACAATGGCTCAGACTTAACTCAGGACCACCAGACCAGTGCCTATTTCACAGACAGCAAGAGTTAAGAATTAGATAACAGAAAATAGCATTACCTCCACAGATACAGCATCTCTCTTCTGTTGTTTAACATCAGGTTCAGTAGAATTACCAGGAGTGTCATCATCAAGCTTTCTCTTTCTAGTGTTGTCCACTGCAGGGGCAAATGCACTCAACTAGATGAAGAAACATATTCATATGAAATCTACAGTACACAAATAGCTTCCAATCATTAAACAACCATAAAAGTCTTGTTTAGTTTTTCAAATGGTATGATTTTAGCAAGTCAGCAAGAAGAACAAATTTAATTTCACAAAGTGGAGGTGGACTTGGGGATTTCATTAGTGAAGAATGTTGATTTTTTAATTGCATGTGAAAGGCAATGTAATGAACATAAAAGTTCTATTATAGAAGGGGAGTTAAAACCTTGAAATAAACTTTATTTTCCACCTAACTACCTTTCACAATTGGACACTATCCCTAAGTAAAGGCCAGTGTCCTTTCTCTCCTCTGGTTGAACCTTGCAATTTCCAATGTTTTTTTTCTGTATTTCCCATTGAAACTCTTGTAATCAAATTATGTATACTTCTGCCACAATTCCATATTTTAGTACCTATACATACTTTAGTACCTCAGTAGTATATATACTTCAGTACCTGCACATACTTCAATACCTATACTGTATATACTTGAATTATCTTCAGTACCTATACCTACTTGGTTATGGTCTATAGCTGTGACTGTCAACACTGGATGGAGGGCAGCCTCTGTCTGCTCAAACATGATACTGAAAAGATAAAGCAAAATGTTGTTCAGTCTGTTTCAGGTGATTGTACCAGAGTTTCTAAAGGCAAGTGATCTTTGGAAACCCCATGGTATGGTACTGTTGGAGGCTGTGTTTGGAGGCTGGAATTTGGAGAATATTTCAATTGAATTAAAGAGATTCTGATATGAAAAGCGTCTGAGTTTACATAAAGTATTTTACCTGATGAGACGCTGTGCTGAAAATTTCTGTAGGAGATTCTCTACTGTTGATGTGGCCACATCACGCCCTAGCTCCTTACATACTGTGCTCGCCAACACACCAGACTCAACTGGTAATACCAGACCAATGTCATTCAATGCCACCAGGAGATGGGTCTCTGCCTCGGGGTCAGAGAGGATTGGAGGAGGTGCACTTTCTACTTTGATAGGAGCTGGTTCTTGTTTGACTACTGGGGCTACTTCTGAAGGTTTAGTGGTGCTTTCTGAGCTACTTGGAGTCTTGCTTATGCTTGGGGTCGATGTGTCAGATTCAGCTGTAAATGTAAAAATTGTATATAATTGAAGATCGTGATGTTAATTCATCGCAAAACCTTATATAGGAATTGAGTAGACTTGGAGATGGTCATGATCCAAAATACATACCTTATGGCATTACCAATCAAAAACAAGTTTAAGTCTTAAAAAATACAAACAAAACAGTTGGGTAGGAGGATAAGGTATATGCTGCTGAACATGGTAAGTTGATACAATGTACATGGTGATCCGTCCGGTGACTGTTAGATTCAGACGGATAACACTTTTAAAGATACTGAGACAGATGGCAAACAGAAGGACCAGTCAGTTTTACAGAGTAAACAGAAGGGTAGAAAGGAGTATTATTTCGTCTTCACTACAACTCTACTCTGCACCACTGACTAGATATCTTTTGATCTTACCTTTTTCAGTTTTGATTTCAGATGTGCCAATGCCCATCAAAGCTTCACGTTCTTTTCGTCGCTTCGCCAGTCGTTCCCGCATACTGCTGGTCTTCGACTTTGCGGCCTGAATGTCGCTCCACGTGTCCGACATATTTCTGGTGCTGGATAACAACTATTTAGGTAGAAAATTGAAAATATACAGTGAAAAATTTGACAAAAGATTTTTAGATGGGCGCCGCCATATTGGATTTATTTACTCTGAACGAAACGTATTTTTATAGGTTTCCCGGGAATTTATATTTTGGCCACTACTGTGCTCTGCAGCATGATTGTTTCAGATTTTATCATAGCATTAAATATTTATTGAACATGAGTCACCTAAAATTTAAATCTCATTTGTCCCTTTAAACAATGTATTCATTTTATTTATTGTCTTCTAGATCATTCAACCTTGGGTAGACTAATCATACTTGGTGAACATACGAAGTGGTACAATAGGTGGTTTCATTTAAAGCATTCTGGGGCTGCTGTGACAAACTATAAGAATGTCCCGATTGAGATATTTCAGTATAAACACTGCACAACAGTAAATAACACAAGAGTGAAATTATTATTTTAATGTTTTTTGTTTTATTTCAGTTCAATAAGCAACATCAATATAATACATACATCTTTTCTACATAGCTCAATGTTTCACATTTTCACATTTTAAAGAGCACTTTTATTTCAAAATTTATTTTTAACAATAATAACAAGTGGGATGTCAATAAAAGGCTGACTAAAATTTACTAATCAGTATTTTATACACACATCATTTCATTCCATGGATCCTTTTATATCTCAATGCTCTCATTAAAATTATCCATTTTCTTTCCTTTATAAACAACAATATGCATATAGCACTTTTGTCCTTTAATACTTAAAACATGGGCCATTCACATCTTTGTAGCTTTCAAAGTGACCCACGCTCAAGCATAATCTACATCAGAGATCATTTGTACAGAGTATGCAAAAAGCAAGGTAAATACAATGCATTGAACGAACAATGGAGATCCTACCTTTGGCACACCTTGTACTGTAATTTGCAGTGATACAAGTTATGGCCATTAAGAGTGATAAGGCCATCTATTAGGCATCAATTTTTATCTATGAAAATAGGGAGTCTCTACTTTCCACAATTATGAACCTCTCCTGAAGAGGAAGTTGTCAGATATAAGACATAGCAAACAATGTAACAACCTCTCTACCAACTATTTACATCACTTCTTCTTGGGCACCCTGTACAGTGGTACACTCTGGTACACTCTGGAACACCCTGTACAATGATGTGGTGTTCATTTACATGACTATGACTACAGCGAAATCTTTAACACCAATTTTACAAAATCTCAAAAATACACGGTAGTTATAGTTGATCCTCACATTTACTGTACAAAGTGTCATATCACCTTTCCCTACCAATATACCATACACCAATACACGAAGATCTAGATTATGCTTGTTCTGGATTAGTAATTGCAAATCAGACCCTTAATAGCACCTCAAAATTTCAAACCTCAAAAAAGTTGCACAACCAGAGTTTGATATAACATGTATAAGGCCAAGGCAATGTCCAGTCAATTGTGCAATAAACTGGGGGGTCATTTCAGCATATTATGTCTGAAAATAACATGTGTCTGTGATCAATTTTGACATGTCAATTTGAAATTCTTGAGATATACCCTGGTCACAACACAATTAATGATGGACGCGACTTGGCAAAACACAATATGACTTAATACTTTCTGAAGATGATTTCTCCAAACTTCAGAAAGCTACAAATCGACACCTCAATAGTCTATTTTGTAATTCATCAAAACTATCGATTTGCAGATCTGTAACTAGGATTCAAGAACAAATGACCCATGAATCATATTTATGGCAATTTACAGTGAGATCTGATCCAGTATGAGGAGTAGTTCATAAGAAGTGGGATAAATGCTATAAATGAATCAAACTCTAATTGCACAAAACAATACCAAATTTGTGAGCCAAATTGCTATAAAGGAACTTGCTACCTCAGAAAAGTCCCACTTTTTATGAACCACCCTTCCACATGTTATAAAATAAGTCACTTTAACAACCTAGGCAAATATGTACATATTATGAGCATGCAATAGAACATAGCCTTACATTTTCAAATATTACTGTACAATGCGGTCTTATTCAAAGTTTTAAAACAAAAAATAAGGGTCTAACATTATCGCTTTTTGTATACAATTTTGTGTTACTTATTTTTTTTTAAATAATCTCTAGAGTATTCTTTAACACTAACATTTCAACCTTTCATAAGAACCTGTCATGTTTATTCCACCCTATTTCTCTCTTAATTCTGAATGATACATTTGCAAATTAATACCAAAGGGTATAAAATCAAACTTCATTTCCAAAGTGTTCTTTTTAAACTGTATGGATAAATGTTTTTCCTTAAAATTTGAATGGGGCACTTGCTTCCCTTTGCTATAAAAATGAGACTATTGTGATACATGTCTCCAGTTCACACCGGTCATTCAACTGGAAATACACAACCATTAGATCACTGTCTCTCTCTATATAAAGAGACAAAGGGAATAGTAAACTTAGTAGGCTGACAGTCTAGTGCACAGAAACAGGAAAGCTTGTACAGTATCATTGTTCTGTGTAAAAAACAAATGGACAAGTAAAAGCTTGAAGCCATATCAAACTACTGCCCTGATCTGCACTGTAATGTGCCATACTGTACTGTATAGGTTCATGAATTTGAAACTGCAATCAAGCTAAAGAGACTGTTAATTGAAGTAATATGAAATAATAGAATTAAATGATCATGGAACAATGAGCCTGTGCACTAGACTACTCAAACCTGCAACACATTGCTTAGTGTTGCATACAAGTTAAAACAGTATTGGCATTTTTAGGCTTTAGCTTTAGTGCCTATGGAGTTTATATACAGATATGTATGCCCAATCTTGCTTGTGTGCAAGCCTGCTCACAGATAAATAGCTCAAAGCACAAATTAATAATACTTTATTTATACTTCACAACTGGCCTCTAGCTGTAACTTAAAAAATATCCAGTTGTTCACTTCTTCAAAATAACCGTCAACCCATATTATTATAAAAATAATTTAATTGCAATATTCTGTAAAATATGTAGCAAGTGTCTTTCTTTTGTTTCACCACTAGGTGGCGTTAGAGCTGTGGTTATTTGACGGAAGCATATGATGTCCCTCTTGCAGATATCCAGGCTGTGAACACGTCCCTGAAACACAAAAATATTTACATTTACATCAACATCGAAAAAATAGCCAATCACATTTTGTCTAAGACATGGGTCAGACGGTGCAATTACTTCAGCAGAGGAAATAATAATTATCACCAATCCTATAAAATGTATGATAATTGCTGTTAATAATTCCAAGCCAATTTTTTTAAACATTTGACGTCATAAGAATAAACCCGGTGGGTGTATTGAAAAGTTGCAAAGTACAATGGTCTATTTAGAATGTGCAATTCAATGTGGGAGTTCACAGTCAGTGGAAATATATTCAGTGAAATAAGCAATTATTTCAACTATGACTACTTTAGAAGTCACTGGTCCCGGTTTTGCATTTTACTACATTTATTCCACTAACACAGTTCCAATGTAAACTAGATAATGGCAACTCCGCGGAGTAGCAAATCCCAACGAACAAAATATCAATTACCGAATTCCAATCAATTATACTCATTACATTAAAAATTTAGATTTTAGAATTGCGAATTCCTGCAAAGCAGCCATTTTGAATTTTCTGAGGTACAAATCAGAAAAATACTAGCATAATTGTGATCTACTCCAAAATTCCTTCAATTTGAGTATAATATAGCCATACTTTGAAGGGATCGAAAAATGATCGTACATTAGACGGCCATTTTGAATTTTACGAGGCTCGAATCAGAAAAAAGATACAATATTTGCAATCTACTCTTAATTGCCTTTCATTTGAGTATAATAAAGCTATACTTCAGAAAGATCTAAAAATTAGCGAAAATTTCTGTTTTCCTGACCCCCCATACACAGCCCCTGGGGGTCAGGATGAAAAACACGGAATATATGTGAAATAGATAGATGTTGCGAATATACTACCAAAATTTCAAACAATAATATTGATTACTTTGGTTTAGAATGAAAAATTTATGATTTTTGCGAAAAAGTCCCGTCATTTTTAAAGCGGTGGCCATCTTGAAAAATATTTTTTTTGCGTAAAACTATTTATCAATATACATCTTTCCACCAAATATGAAGAAAATCCGTCTACTAATATTTGAGTTATCTTCCGGACGGACGGACGGACTGACTGACTGACGGACTGACAGACTGACGGACTGACGGACGGATGGAGGGCTTCACTATATCCCTACCGAACTTCGTTCGTTGGGATAACTAACTGTATACTAACCTACAGTGTGATACGACACAGTCATTGCTACAGTATTCCTGATCCCATCCTATTTGTTCTACAGCTTGGTTGCCACAACCATTCCTCATACAATGCTGGAGAGAGAAGTTGTCTAACTGAGCAAGCTGAAAATAGAAATCAAGAATTTTTCAAATTTATTACCAAATCGAAACATTAACATAGATGCTCTTTTGTTAGAACTTGAATAAAATGTAGAATTTAGATGCTTGAAAATTTCTCGAGTTGAGATCCTATACCCCAAATGTATCAACATTTATCCTTTTAACCAAAGATTACATTTTTCAAAGAATGATGGCTATTTTATATTGGAAATCCATTCTTCGGGAGATGCACTATGCATATAAGATATGAGATGGACAAACAGATGGACAGACAACTTCTCTATATCAATATCTTCGTGTATTCCTTTGAATCAAATATAATAGCATTTATGTAATAATGAGCACTGAGCTGGGGTGATACTAAACATGTCTTAGAGTTTTTACTTCATGTACTTATGTGGACACTAGTTCTTCTGTGTATCAAAATTATCACAATTTGATCAATTAACAACTCAAGCACCAAAATTATTATTCTCTGTAGGAAAAAACACCTACAAAAATCAACTATACTGTACCTGGTCCTGAAGCTCTGTATCCTGCATATGTGATACGTCAGTCAATTGTGGGAGGGGCTTAGGGGCAATCTGGGTCAGTTGTTGAGTGGGAGGAGCTTGAGCTTGATATGCCCCCTGGGAGACATCAGTATTATTCTGATAAGAATCAGGTTGTGGCATGGACATTAATATAGGCTCCCTCTCCATGGCCATTCCTTTTTGTATCGGGTGTGTCATGGTTTGGGTGGGGTTGCTCATGGTATCCATCTTGACAGGGGATGGCAGGATTGAGACCATGGGGACAGGTTTCACCGGGGAGTTTGTTTCCGCAGGGTGTTCCTCAATTACGCCCTGCTTTGAGACTAGACTTGCTCTATACGCCGCAAGCTGTTTCAGGTAATCTTTCTTTGCAACCTCTGTTCTCTTTTTATAAGCCTGAATATACGAGGGGTATAATTTATAGAAATTTGATTCAGGCATCCTTTATAGAGCTGCAGGTATCAAAACAGTGTATATGAGATTTGATTCAGATGCCCTTTGTAGTGCTACAAGGATTAAAACAGTGTATGGTGCAGTGTTTTTAGAAAGTACTTTTCAAAATCCAAATGGTAATGCAATTAAAAACTTATAAGTACACATAATCTAGATATCTGGAAAAAGAGCACGGTACTTACCCCTTTCTGCTCTGGGTCGAGGCTGTCCCACATGGACGCTACAATCTTTGATATTTCACCAAAGTTGGCATTAGGATTACTGCCTTTTATGGCAGCCTGGGTGTCTCGAAAGAATAATGCATAAGCACTCACAGGCCTGAAAAATACATGGAGGTAGATATTTCATGGGTCATTCTTTATGTACAATTACAGTGCGAAAAGATGAATTAATACAAAGAAAAATAGGTACTGCACATAAGCAAGGTTCGAATCCAAGAAGTGCAAGATAATTTCATCTTTCATTATTTGAGTGGGAAATGAATTTCATTTAGAAAAAAAGCTTTATAAAATAATGCATTGGGAATCCCTATAGACAACTCTCCTAGTTGGCGAGCCGAGTGTTAAAAAACAATACATCACCAACAAACGAGTAAATAAACGAATGTGTAGGCTAGGCCTAAATCAACATTATAATTACTAAATGTACAGAATTCCCATAATAAAAAATACTACAGCCAATAATTTAATGAGTTCCAATAGTCCATTAATCAGAACCAACAATGAACAGGTAAATAAACCCTAAGCTGGCCAAATACCACAATGATCTATAGGAACATTAACTCGAATTATTGTTTGTGCAAATACGAAATAAACACGTAGTAATTCTCAACAAACTCAGTTGGTCTAATGCATAGATTCAAAAACTGGTTTACTAACTTTTATAATTAGTAAAATTAATGAAATTATGTGATGGGATTTCTAAAATTATAGGGATTTGTGTGCATCTATGCATTTTCACTTACTTTTGAGGCTCATTGGGATCCTTCTTCTTGCGCTTCTTGGCTGCCTTGCTCCCCTTCTTGCCACCCTTTGGAGCCCCACGCTTAGCTCCTGCCAGCTGAAAACAGAAGCAAAAACCATGTTCTATATTTAAGCATTTTAGAATTCTATGTACATTTTAGAATTCTATGTTCTATAACCTACTGTTTTAAAGTTCTGTGTTTAAGAGATCTGTTGTCTATTATTTTACAGTTTTATCTTCACGTTCAATTTCATGAAAATAATTAATATTTGCAAAACATACTTTTCTGTGTGTTAAGTAGAGAGAATGAGGCTCATGTTAAATTAAAGGATCTGTGCAATTAATTGCCAAAGTGAACGTGAATTCTGCTAATGTTTACTTGTATATGTAGAAGTGGTTTAAGCGTAATCAACTATTCGGACGCTGAGTGTACCATAACATATACCATTATCATTGTACCCTTTTCAATATGTTCAGTTCCTTCTTTAAAAGAGATATTTCTCTGCACCTTTTTAATAAATGATAATTTTTTGATCTAGCCTTATCTAGTCAGATTAGGCTAATCAAAATTCAGCAATCCAATCAGAATTAGTCACAGAATTGTATTCCTTCAAGATATTTCATATCTGAATTCCTGTTAACTTGTTACTTTTGGAATAATACGATGTTATCAGCATGAAAACTGTATATTATTTGTTCTATTAAGAGAGTAGTAATAACTACTAAGCCCCAGGGTTAGATAAAGTGCTGCTTTAGAAATGGGCAACAAACTAATGGAAAACATCAATTACTCCATAATTGATTTTTATGATGACATTTGGGAGTTATTTTTACTTTGGAGTATTACCTACGTATCTATTAAGTTGTCAGTTGAAATTAGCAGTCATTTCTCCTACATTGTTAATAAGTCAATGGAGACAGACATTACATGTGATATTATTGGTCTAGCATCAAGAGTGGTCATTACAAATGCCAACAAAATTGAGCAGTGGCATTTACCTTATCCTGTAGTCAATGTATGAATTACAGGTACCCACGAAAATATACCAGACAGGCCCGTAGCCAGGATTTACCAAGGAGGGGGGGGGGGGTTCAGTTTTCAAAAATTTCTAGGGGGGGGAGTTCACATTTGATTTTGGCCCAATTATGGCTGCATGATTTTGAACGAATTTTGGCCCCCCCCCCTGGCTACGGGCCTGCCAGAAAAATGATTTGTAAGCATCAATTCTGATTTGGTAATATAGTAGGAGCATATTGACTATGACTCCCATCTATCTTTAGTAACGACTAATTTAGACCATTAATGTTTAATGGTGGTGCATTTGTTTTTATTAATGGTGGCATTTTTTATCTGACAATACACTCATCAGGAGAAGCAATTTGTCTACCAAATGTACCTTATACAAAGAGAGAGAGAGGGGTGGCGAGATAATCTTTCAAAATGATAAATATTTTCTATTCTTATCTATTTATGTTGTTTATTTTGAGGAATTTCAAATATATAACATTTCAGGTTTAATAACCCTTTGGTTGGTCAATTTTAAATTAAACGAATGCAAGATTTTAAAGAATATATAAGAAGATAAATATGATTACTATCAAAGGTCATATCATCATATGAATATGTTGACTACGGTACCCTATCTATACCAACCTGGGCAAGGGGCATGTCATCACTGTCGCTATTGCTGCCGAGAGGAGATGGCGTCAGGCTTGAGTTCATCGGGGATCCCTCCTGCTCCATGATTGGTCGATTCAATGGGTGATGCTGCAGACCTAGAGGGTGATTAGAATGTTGAACCCTGCTAGGATTGTGTGTTGGGTATGGTGATCTGCCTTGTGATGTCACACTAGAATATGCGTTATAGATGTCTCTGTCAATAAACTCCTGGTTAAAGGACGTATGGAGGCTGTTCCCACTATGCAATTGGTCAACACTATTCGAGACGCTTATATCAGGGATGTTAATGTTTTGTGGAGGAAACAGAGGATTTAGATTATCAAGAGAGTTTAGGGCTGAATTTAGTGAGTAATCTGATTGGCTGACAGGTGGATGAGACAATCTTGGAACAGATGGCGCTACCTGTTGGCTGTGTCTAAAACTATCACTAGGTGGGGGATGGGAAAGTCTATTGTTGTTTAAACTATTAGAATTATTAATTAGTCCGTTGTTTAAACTGGTAGAATTGTCAACTAGTCTGTTGTTGAGATCGTTTCCAATCCCAGAGTTCCTGGTAAATGTTGTAAAGATATTCTGGTGATTAGATGTCCTGGTTACTGCTGGGTGCTGATTGTGTGTATCAGAGGAATGCTGGGAGTCATCAGGCTGTTGTGTAAATGTTGAATGCTGGGAGTCATCATGCTGTGGAAATGTCGATTGAAAGTCAAATTCATCATCACCAAAGCTGGGAATATGAAAAGTCTGAAAGCAAACATGTAAAATTGACAAATTATTGATTTCTTTATATTGATTTTAGTTCATTTTATCAACAAAAGCAATTTATCAAGATTTTTAATGAAAAAAGTAAAGACTAAATTTTTTGTATATAAAAACTGAGTAAATGAATAGCAAATGTAGATATATGGCTCACTCCCAGGGGAGGGGGGGTTACCCCATACGCGGCGAGGATCCCCGTCAAGGTTTATATATTGTGAACCCCCAGGGGCTCACTAGAGTCTTAAATTCACATGATTTATTAACGAAATTCATTTTTTATATAATTAGGAAGACTTATTTTACATGTCTCAGTGCTATTAATTGTATGTTTTATAATAGCTCCAGACAAATGGCAAACCTATTAGGCATTTTTATTAATTAATAAAAATGTAATTGCAATATATCTAAGTACAATGCTAGATGCAATTCTGATAAGAGACTCATATTAAACCCATAAATTATTCAATGATCAAATAATGCTTCTTAATTTAATGAATTTTTATTTTGTAATATAAATGTCAGTCTTTGATGGGTTTGATGAGATAATTGAATGAAATGTTAGCATAATTAATGCAGACACCATCCGGAGACACTATCACAAAGTTATTCAAGTTGCTTTTTTGTTAATGTGCAATGGGGTATCGCTGTAATGATATGATATATAATAGGCCTGATGCAGTAACATGCTATAACACAACCATCTTGTTAATATTCATTGTTAAAATTCAACTACTTTTTCAATAATTTCTTTTTTATCTTATGCAAGCTATTGTTTTCTACATTCTAATTACATGTTCATAAATCAAAAATCAACAAAATTCAACACCCAATTTATACATCAGGTCATAAAATTCAATTAGCACAAAATATACATGCAAAATCAATTAATCTTTCAAAAATCTAATATTCTTCATTTAAGTTGGCAAACTTTATCAAAGTAAAGAACTCGGGCCCTTAGGCATAATTACACTTTTACATCAACATTGTCATATATCGTATTTAAATACCAACAGTATCATTTTTGACATTTAGTGTCACAATACTAAGTATTTGCTTTGAGTGTGGATATTGTTCAAGATGGGTTTCAAAATTTAATACTGACTTATTTAAACAAAAAAAATTCCTTTAAATTGTTATTTTATGTGAAATTCTAATTACAGTATTTTATTATAACTAAACTAAAAAATAAATATTTAACTATCATAGTTGTAAATTTTTCATAGTGAATAAAAGATATTTTCATGTTTTAATAACTGTATCTATTTCAACTTGTGTATTTTACCTCTATTTACCTGATTCTGTAGAGCAACATTCATCATAAATCATTGTGATGTTTTGATCACTTTATAGTCATCCACAAATATTTTTTCTAAACTTTCACAATCCCTAGCAGGTTATTGTAGTATTAAAACAAATATCCAGCTCTGTATTTATATTCAATAAATAATATCAACACTATGGTTATACTGTTGTCCTATTACCAGTTGACTATAACGTTTCAATGTTCCTATAAAAATATTATAACTTTCTGTTAATGTTTATAATATTACTTCTACTCTTTTTTGCTGTCAAATGTCCTGTTGTTCAATCGCCACTGTTAAAAAATACCCTTTAAAAACATTTTATCTCATTTATTACAAAGACTTGTTTTTCATTGGATGGTTTTGTTATTCCATATGTCAGTGTAATAACCTTCCCGTCCAAGCCTCGACTAAATACTAAAATCAATACGAGGTCCAATGAGAATGATTAACAGGTGAAAATGCATATAGGTAGGTAGTAGCTCAGCTCTGTTTAAACCCTCAACATCTTAGAAGAGAAAACCAGCAGAAATTCGAAAAGTTAATATTTATACTAATGCTGACACCATATGGTGTTAAAAAGCCTTCAAAGCCTGACTATCGTGAATATCTTACAATTCACTGGAGCCCAAGTTATAATTAAGTCTACGTGAGTCAAATAAACCATGTTTCATGCATTGTCTACTTTTATTAAAATATTTGAAAAAATTATCAATCATGAATGGTTTTGTAGAGAACCCAGATTTATCTCTTTTCTACAATTAATTGTTTCCAGCGTATTGTCATATTGTTTCCTTTTTAAGCATCCTTAAAAAGATTTTGGATGTGACAGAGAAATGTTTGGTTGTCCTGTCATTAATTCTAATTGTGAGAACAAAATCTGATTTCAATAAATAATATTTATCATGATAAATATGCACATTGACCAAAATGCATTAAAAATATGTACCTTCATCCTGTTTGGGACACAATATGAAATGGATATATAAACAACACATTTTAAGAATTAACAAAAAAGTTTTTTTATATTTAAAACTAAGCTATACTATAAAATCAGGTTTATTCATTTTGACAAAACAAACTTCAAACAACTGACCGAGCGAACAAAACACATAGGGTATATACTGTCAATGAATTGTTTTTAATCTTCTAATCCCAATACAATTCACTTTGAGGTTTTGAGATTTTCCCTTAAGCCCACCTGTTGTAAGGATTTTAATTAGCAAATCCCCGCTAAATGAAGCCTCCTTGTCATAACAGAAACAGAAGATATCCTTTTTGTCATAGTAAAATAACGCCAGCAGAAGTTAATGCCAATTAACTGATCAATATCGTGCAATAACAGAAATATGCCTTCAAATGAGATAGCTTTTTTCAACATTTTATGATTGATTTAAAAAATGGACTTGGTAGTTATAAATTACTTCAATGAGGGGATTGGTTAATGAGCGTATTCCATGAGTGCACATAAATTTTCTTCAACAGATTGTTCTTAAAGATAATATCTCTCTGATGATATTGACATAATATATCCTTGTCAAAGTAATCGTATTAACCACTCAAAAAAATAATCAAGTTTGTAATTGATACATCATTGGAATATTTCCTAATTGATAAAATCACATAAACTTTATTTATAACATTAAAATTAGTATCTAGGTAAATAATCAACACTCGAATCTTCAATTACCCATGAAGTGTGTCTACCTAGCACTTAATTTCAAATTAATGCTCATTGAAATACTTAATATTGGTAATATTTGACCTTAGATTTTTAGTCTAAAGTCCATGATAACCTTTTCGGCCAACTTCACCTCAAAATATAATCAATCAACAAATCATAACTTTGAATCAAACATTTATTGAGATGTAAATCTAAACAATTCATTCAGGTCATTAATTAGGAAAGTATTTTGCCTGAAGACTTTACAGTTTAAATAATATGACAGATAAATGGTCAATTATGGTCCACCTGTTTTAGAATATGTATAATAAAGAAAAATAATTTAAATACCGTTGCAATAATATAATAGTATTTTGAGAGCTTTATGATCAATCCTAGAAAGTCTAAAATGGGACAGTTATGAAATAAAACAAACATACTCTTCTGATCGGATTCAATCTATGTAAAATATGTGCATTCTCATAGCATCTTATGGAAACAAGGCTGGGAAGAAATGAATGCCGTGGTTTATCATGATGTAAAACTAATAAAAGAAATAGTCTATAGTAGAAGTGACATTTCTGTAAAACCCACAATGACAAAACTGACTTTCAGGAGTAAAATGTGATCATTAAGTATTTGCAAATCCTCTAAGCTATGACTATGCTCTAAGAAAGGTTGGACAAATAGCCCAAACATTTCAATTACTTCTTTACCACCCCTATAATGAATGTCAAACAAATTCAGTAATTAAAGTACCAATGTAACATCTTACCAATTGTTTTTATAAATATATATTTTATTGACTTTATTAATCACTTAAGTGTACCAAAAAAACGTCAACTACAAACTATAACTACAAACTACAAAACTAGTTTGCATCAGTTTCACATGTTACGAGTATAATAACAAAACATCAGTATGATGTCTCCATAACATATGACTGTCTGAAATCTGTTGCGCTAATTTCCCTCCTCCTTAAAGATTTGTTTAGCGTATGTGCGTGGGACCGCTTCCTTCCCATGACTATTAACATGTCTATCACATTAAAAATGATAATCAAATGAACTGAGCAAATGAATAACAAAAAAAGTTATGTTTGCATCAATAAACTAAGTGTACAGAGAGACAAGTAAAATACACAATCAGAGCAGTATGATCTATAAAGTCTAAAAATGTTCGTTCAGGTAACATTTTAAATGTTAAAAAACCATGTAAAGGTAACATTTTAAATGTTAAAAAACATGTACAGATAACATTTTAAATGAAACATGTACAGGTAACATTTTAAATGTTAAACAATGTATAGGTAACATCTTAAATGTTAAACCATGTACAGGTAACATTCTAAATGTTAAACCATGTAAAGGTAACATTTTAAATGTTAAACCATGTACAGGTAACATTTTAAATGTTAAACCATGTACAGGTAACATTTTAAATGTCAAACCATGTACAGGTAACATTTTAAATGTTAAACCATGTACAGGTAACATTTTAAATGTTAAACCATGTACAGGTAACATTTTAAATGTTAAACCATGTACAGGTAACATTTTAAATGTTAAACTATGTACAGGTAACATTTCAAAAACATTAATTTTAAGATTTTCTATGATTTACTCAAAGTGCACTTGTATTTTCCTGGGAGAAGTTTCCTCATATTTTAAGCAGGTGTAATAATATCTCAATCAGAATTTATACCCTGCATGTGGAGTCTAGTTAAAAACTACGAAGCTCTCTTTTAAGAAGTGAAGTCAAACGAATGCAAAGGGTATAGAATTTAGTAATATTACAGTAAAAGATGACAAACAGACAAAATTATATTAATGGCAAAATGAATATGATTTGCGATATTAATCAATTAATGAACTGAAGACACAGAATGAAATTCAGTCACATTTGCTCTTTGGCTAGAATACAATAGAAGAGGTCCAAAAATCAACTACCTTAACATATGTGACTGCCACAGTATGTATGCCCTATAACTGGTCAGCACCATAGCCAGGAGAGCTTGTGTGGTTAGTGAACCCCCCTGGCCAAAAATTCTTTCAAAATCATGCAGTTTTTCACCATTTTGAGCACTTTTCAAGTGAGTTTAGCCCCTTTTTAGCCCCATGTTGTCAAAACTAAACCCCCTTGGAATTTTTCAAAAAATGACACCCCCTTGGCAAATACTGCCTGTGGACCTGCTGGTCTTGGCCATAACATTTTAGCTCACATGCTGGCCAAAGTAAATGTGACTCAGGCATAAATGGCTGAATGTTGTGTTAATACTGCAGTGTATGAGATTAGTAATTGTTGACGTATATGATGTCAATAACTTCACAAATATACATGTTTATTAATTGTATTAAAATACCTCATATCCTCCTTATTGTATCCTGCAAAATACAAGTTGAATATCATCAATCATAGAGGATAAACTTATATTCATAGATGTAATTTCAGAATGAATGTGTTTCACTAAAATTTCTCACAACAGGCTAAATAAATGAAAACAAGGGCAAAATCAATGGAAATCATGAATTTAACATGGAAAAGTCAACAGTCAAAAACAACAGGCAATTTTGTGAAAACAAACGGTGAAAATCACCTGTTGTCTGCTGGTAATAAAACCCCTGATTATGTTTCAAAGAGTATGTTGCAAATTAAGTTTGTGAAATTGTGTCTTTCAAAGCTACATTCAGGTGAAATGGTGCCAAGGCATTGAGATGCCAAAATGTCACTACCTGCTAAGTTGTCGCAAATGGTTCCAAAAATATAACGATTTGTTACAGATAACAGACTGCTGAAACTGATCGCCAACCATTGGCACTGAACTCCAAATGCTGATTACCAAAAATGGTCGCTAAAACAATATGTCACCATTTCTTTGTGGTTACATACAAATAGCTGAGTTTCTAGATTTCACAATATTCTATGTAATATCATATCACTTTGAGAACAAGAACCATTCTTTTCATTTTTCCAGATCGAGAGCTTCTTGTTTATTATTAAAATTAGAATTATTAGTACTAGAAACAGTAACTCCTCATCCTTCATGTTAAAATTACATGTAATCAAGTGTTACTTGTTCCTTGGAACATGTTAGTTTTATACCAAGTCTTGTTCTAGCTTGTTGGAGAATATGGATAGACATTTTGGTTACTTTTAACATTTGATTTTAGGTGCAAGAGTACCACATTAACTTGGATATAAAACCAAATATTCCAATGTCACAAATTTAAAATTAATTAGCTTTTAATTATGATGGTCTACCACTTCACTACCATATTATTTTACAAATACTACCCATTCTGATATTCTATCACATAGTACTACAATATAAGCAATTGCATTATATTCAATTCAATGTAATAACACCTTGAATGGAGCACCATTTATATTACAACCTCAAAGAATATATAACAAATATGACTTACCTGTTTTTCCATGTAGTTTCGAAGAAATCGTTGTCGTTGATTCTGCTTCTCTAAATAGCAGAGATCTAAAGATGGTGTTTCCAAGTTCTAAAAGTACATAATAAAAAGCAATTAGTTGTGTACATGTTATAGGCTCTTCCTATTCAATTAGCAAAAAGTAGGCAACAATAATTTCACGTCATCAATAATTCATCATTTGTTTTTGAGGTGTATGTGCTATTTTTAGCAAATGATAACTGACAGATACAATATGAATTTTTCATAAGATGCCTCAGGGAAATATTATTTGTTTAATATGATATTTCAGTGATCTGAACATTTCATGAAATATTAGGCATACAGTGAATTGTTAGTAACAAATGGAAATAGGTTCTGTTACGGTGACTTTACTTTAACCATCTTAAGGCAGTTCCGCACTTTCAGAAAAAATTTGAAAAAATAATTTAGGAAATATGTCATTTCAACAAAAAATTTGATCCGGAATTATGTATTCCATAATAATGTTTATATCCACATATCATTTTGAAAACTGTAACTCATTTTATTAATAAGTATTGGTAAACGTAATCATGAAAATTACACAAAAATAGTCATTGATTCCTTCTATATATTTATGATTCACGATATGATGTCTGTTTTTGAAAGTGAAATTCAGAATGGCTCATTTTATGACTTCTTATACATATATATACATAACATACATATCTTCTCGATTTAAACTAGACCCTTTTATATCTTAGATAAACCAAACTATGTTTGCTGATTGCACTTCAATGAATGATTTAGAATGATAAATGCTGCCCTAATGAAACATCAATATTAATACTCCAAATTCATTGAAGGTATGGTGAACTTTCTACAATCTTGACTTAAAAGTGCAGTCTACAAATTCTGACCCTATGTTTTAATTTACAATATAACCTATAACATAGGCATAGCGTGCACACCCCCCCCCCCATAACCAATAAAAATAGAACCACAAGATAGAAGAAAAGGAGCTTTAAAATGCTTTTTATTTGAAGCTTCTAGCTCAATTTTGAAGGAAGTTGCATCATTTTTTGTAAATTTAAAAAGAAATCTTAAAAATTCCTTGCTTATGCCATGATCTGCAAAGCGAAAAAAAATTGACTCTAAACCCCCAAAAAAACAAAAAAATTGTTGTCAATCAATGACCATACATTACATGACCATGTTTTTTTACAAAATGTTTTCAATAATTGGTTTAAAAGAAAAACAATCTTGTATCATTATCTAGAATATCTTAAAAAGATTAGAATTGTCCTACTTATTACCCAAGCATCTCTTAAATTAATATCATTGAAATCATCTTTCTCTGCCTCTTAATTATGACTACCTTGAGCTACCTTCTATTCACAGAAACACTAAGATTGCCACTTTGTAAACTGACAACTATAAAAGGATTATGATACTCGTCACATCTTTCTGTTTTTCAACCAGCAATCTACTCTGACCAAGTTGGTTATATTGATATCGCCAGATGGGACTGGGAAGGTATAATACTTTAATTGCGGTGGTTTTATATATGTCCTAATGTTGGAACACTACATAATGCTATCTCTGTGATTGATTTGATTGGTCCTCAACGTTTTCTGCAAAACTGTATGGGCAAGATCGAAAATAGACTCAGACTAACTCATGGCTTCTTCCAAAGGAGCGAAAATGCCATGATTTCTAATGATGGTAAATACCAGATACAGACAGGTACAACTAAGTTCATTGTTCTATTCTCTGTTTGCAAATATTGAGTGAGCAAAACTGGAGAAATATTTTTGTTTATCAAACTGATATTAAATCTATTAATTGTATCCTCAAATCAATATCCTTGGAGAGTAACTATGTACAAGGAAAATTTTGAACAAATAGCTGAATTAAAATATATATTTTATTGAGATTAATGTTTTATTAAATCAATTTCAATTTATTGGACTATCTGCCAACCAGTGGGTGTCAGTCACAAGTTGCCATAACATGTTGATACATAAACATGTTTTTTATAATAATATTATTTAACTGATATAAAATTACAGGATACAGCATCACATTATATTTTCTCAAATAACAAAAGTCTAGACTCGAGAAGGCAATGTCTTTTATTATGACCAAAAGTAAACCCAAATTGTTTTTTGATTCATTATCACCTGGTCTATTACTTGTGGCATCAAAATACTTTTGTGGTAAAAACCTTTATTTCTAAAAAAGTCAAAGCTTGAAAAAATCCCTCATCTTGAAAGAAGCAAAAAGTTGATTATGTCCATAATTATTGATAATTAATGTAAAAAAGCATGAATGAAATGTATCTCCAAATAGTTTCAATGATAAAAGAGAATATTTAGAACATCCAACGGCCAAATAAAAACACAAGAAAAATAACATATATTTTTGTATAATATGGTTACTCTATTCTGTGTATATTTTCTATAATTGCTTTATCAGAAAGGTATGTATTACAAAATGATCTTACCTTACACAGATAAGCATCCAATATATGGTGAAATTCTACATCCTTTCCTAAAACACATGTTGCTTCCATGCTTAACAACAATCCATAGTTACTATAGCAACAAAGTGAAATTCGGAAAACTGTCCAGTAATTTTTTTAACAATATTCCACTTGTAACGTTTCTTCACGTCCTATCTGTTAATGGACTCTTGATCAAAGAAATTATAAATAATTAATGAGCACTTTTTACTCTCTGTTTTTAAACAATGTGAGTTAATTCTTTATTCTAAAGGAGCCGATGCGTCTAGTGTAATTATTTTACAGTTGCAACAATACCTCTGGTGTATGCGTCAGTTAATAATGCTGTTTGCGACACTCTATGCTTGTATTTCTCAATTATCATTATATAACCTCATGTTCCTTAATTATAAACCTGTGAAATGTAATTTATAATATTTCATAAAGGATGCCTACTATAGTATTCTTCTTGTTTGCTATTTACAAGAGCATGAGTCTGTCTGCATGCAACTGTTTTGCAACTAACAAAACACGGGTGTACGATGGTGTCCGCCTCCCTGCGTGATTCCATATAGGCACAATGAGGGACTTTTTTGGTGATATAATATATATTAAGATTCTAATATTCCTGATGAGCATTTTTAATTGGTTAATCCCAATTAACAAAGTAAATTACCCTTTTAAGATACTTTACATTTTATGTCATTTATCTTAATGGATTACTCTTTATTTTATTAATTACAATTTAACCACCTGTATTGAAATTACCTGTCTGTAAAAGGGTAGAAATAAAAAAACATCTTAAAATATGCAATTGTGGTAAAGATTTAGAATTGGATTAAAGTAAAGTGAATATTTTTGAAAGGTTGTTAAAACTGGAGTAGCCATGAGTCTCACGTAACGCGTCTACACGTGCATTTCACTCGATCACTCAGGAACCAATAAAACACTGGATTTCCGTAACATGGTGTCTCAGACTTTAACCTCTCAAATGTAAAGTCAATATTCTTATCTAATTCACACTGCAATATCCCAATAAGTTGCCTTATTAAAGGAAAGAGGTTAACACATTGTTGATATCTTTTTTATCCTCTGTTTTCATTAATCCATACCTTGAATCTATTTACAAAGGAACTATTGAGGTAATAATGCTTTGTATTGTTTTGTAAAAAACAGTCACCGAAATTGCGGCTTTCAAACAGGAAGGCTCCTTAATAGTATTTGTAACTTGCAATTAAATAACTTTATGCAGAGAATGAAGTTCTGGTCAACCACAAATTATGGACCAGATAATAGAATAGATATTATTTAATACAACATGCAATAATAGAATCAATGCGTTAATTCAACATGCATTAAAAGTAACAATACATTATAAAGTGTCATATTATGTTTTAATTTTCCATATTTAGTTTTGAATTATGAAGTGAAATCAATCGATGCAATAATAATTAATGTTTAAGGTAGAAATAAGCTAATATTAGATCATCAAATGAAGTGTATTCAAAGAACTCAGCAAACAAAAAATGATGAAACAGGGTTAGAAGGCATGAACACGCACAATGTCACCACCTGCCTTTTGTTACAGATGAGATACCAACCACCAAACACCAACTGCCAAACACCAATCACTAAATGCAGAATACCAAATGTTAAACATTAATTACCAAAAAAGTTGGAACAATGTGTCACCACTTGTGGTTGTGACATAAAAACACAAGGGGCAACATTGTAATAAAAACAGCCTATAAATCATATAAAAATTAAACTAAAATAACTGCATTCTTAACATTATGATGCAAATAGCCAAACAAAATAGCTGCTTGATCTATTTGACCATAACAATGTGGTATTCTTCCTTTTATTAATCAACCCCTTTCGTCTGACCTCAATAATACCAGCTAACGTTTTGTAGTATACCCTATCAAATAGACCAGATCTACTCAAAAGCAATGACAAATAAATGATATTGTCTTTCTATTTTACTGCAAATACATAAACAGTCTTGAAACAATCAAGAACAATCCCTTTGGACTGACCCCACTAACCCAATTCCATAATTTGTAGTCTACCCTATCAAGGAGTCCAGGAAGACCCTGGAAACTGAAGGAAATGTCTTGTCACATGTTTGATCTCCCCCACACCTGAACATACAAGCAACCATACACCAAGCACAATACACTTCCTGAAAAAACATGGTTCAGCCATGACAAGCACAATATGTACCTTTCTCAACCATGACAAGAAACGACATCAAATACTGGAAGAATATGGAAATGAGAAGATTATATAAATTGATTGATTACTAGAAGCATACCCCCAGGCACCTTCTTGGTGACAAGTTCTTCAAGAGGAGGTGACACTTTCAATCGTAAAAATGTAGCAAATTGTCAATAATCAATCATTTCATACCCTTTGCATTCATTCGACTTCGCTTCTGAAAAGAGAGCTTCATCTTCACTCTTTCAGTTTTCAGTAAATCTTTGAACTCACAGAGCTTATCAGAGTTTGTGGTCGGAATAAGGACGACTTTCTAAATATGGTCATTTTCTCTGACGTAATCGCATAATTATTGTGCACAGTTTTTGCACATGTTCCTTCCAGCTCG